CCACATAAAGTAGACGGCCTTCCGCTCACCCCTTCCTAGTGGCTGCAACGCAGGAAGCGGGTAAATTATTTCCCTGTTTCCTGCGCCGTAGTCTAACCAGGCGCGTCGTTGTGCGCATTTAGCTGAACGTGGGCGGAACCTTGAGTGATACCAACAGAAGTGGTTTGTTGATCTAGTTTTTCATGGTCCACTCTTTAATCGAGAACATGCTCTTTCGGATGATCTGCCTCATCTGTGTTAGCTATATTTTCGCCAGTTTTTTCGTTTGTTACCTAGCTTCGGTCACTAGTTCTGAGATTACTGGGTCTTCGCTCATGCTCACATGGTTCCGTTTCCCTTCCGTGGACTGTCTTCCCTCTAACATCGAGTCAGCGGTGTGTGCTAAGTGTTCAGGGGGAGAGTCAATATCTTGAGCATCTTTAGGTTGTTGCATACACTCCCGGAGGGCTTGCATCTAACTTTGCTTTGGTACAGCCTCTCCCACCTCGCTGCTACATGTGGAACACGAACTGTGATAGGGATCTACCTCCTATAACAGTAATATATTTATTCCTGTCCATGTAGAAACACACCGACAGTACAGGCATGGATAAGTATTTTCTCTCCTTGAATCTACCGTCGTACACGCTGGTTGTGCGGCATGGAGAGACGTTTTATCCTCTTGTACTTAAGTACTGTGTATGGATGCCCATTAGAGGGATGAATTATTAGGTTTCACACATCCATGCTAACCACATAAGGTACCTGAGAACACACGCCTCTGCTTACGATGGCTACAGACCAAATACTATACCGTCAAAGTGCAATAGTTGAGCAAACAATTGGTCCAAGCCATGTCGATCGAAATCACTTGACCTAACTTTGGTGGTCATTAAAGAACCCACATCCCCATTAGTAGAGCTTCTCAGATCAGTTTCCATGTTTGAAAAATGTGACAATATAATGAGCAAAAATACTAGAATAAGTAGTACTTATTCATGGATAAAAATAAATAAAACAGAAATGCATAGATTTAGTAAAATATTATAATATAGAACGTGAAATGTGAACGAAATGGGCTCACCATATAAGAAACCAACTTTTCTATGGAAGCAGTTATTCAAATTACCGACTGACAACTCGTAATATTGAAGATGACTAATTCGCATCCTATATATGCTAATTTTTCGATACCATTCTTGTGGCCGGGTGAATGGAGGAACTGAGTCAAACATACAGGTTGTTCATCATACAGAAGACCGAGGTGGCCTTATATATCATGTAGAAGATATAGTACTTAATTGGTTAATCCTCTCATCCTTCTGAAACCCTGAATCACTAACTGGATCGGATTGGCCATAGAACACTAAATTGTCTGAGGTCCTGGGAAGCTACTTCACAGAATCCAATTTTGTAATTTCGCTGCTGCGAATGATACTAGGTTTGCCAATTAGTTCGTCCAATATTAGAATGATGGCATAGAAGGGTTAAATGTAGGAGAGTTGGTTATGATCAGATGTGTACTAAAAGACGTTTTGAGGGTTTCTTATATGAACTTCCTTATTTAATTGAAGGTGACCATTTAAGGAAAATAAAGTTAACGTGTGTAAAAAGAGACAGTGTGTATGTTAGGACTTCCAATTCTCATCTTGTTACTGATACCAGTTTGTTTAACTGAATCAATGGTGTTTGGCTGCTAGCTGCCATTTTGTCCGTGTGTTGAAGGTGGTCCTGTTGTTTTAATTAGTGGTTGTTCTACTTTTTAATGTTTGGGAGTACCAGCTGGTTTGTGGTCTGTTTATGTACGGGCACAGTTGCTGTAAATTTGTATTTTGTTGAAACTGTAGTTAAGTTTTTGCAAAATACTGTTGTACAAACCATGACTGAATTGACTGCAGTTTAAATCGCACGGTATGTTCAGGCTATCGAAGTAGGTGTTTGTTTACATTTATGTTACCCTAAAACATTACTGTTCGACTTCCATATACATTCTTCCAATTAGCTTCATTTTGTGGGCACATAGACTCATGGCGTATTCGAGGTTATTCACTTCAGTATAAGTATAAAACTTGGGCACTGTGGTAGAGCATAACTCCATTATGGATAAGATTTTATTTTGATAAATCACACAGTGTTGTACAGTGATAATAACTGGTGACGTTTCGAGCACAGACCATTGTTCCTAATCCTAATTATTATTGTACAACACTGATTTATCAAAATGAAATCTTATCCACAATGGAGTTATTCACTTCGACCACATAGTCTTGCAGTGTTCTGGTTATTCTGGTTCAAATTCTAGTTAATGACTGCAGGCTTGGAGCCTCCTTTAGTCGTTTCTTAAATATCTGTTGCTCAAGTAGTGAGTATTGGTTTGACATTTTACCACTAAGTTCTGCAGAGTATGAAGACATGTTCTTGATTTAATTTTTGTCTGGTATCGAGGGCCCTCAATAACTTTCACGTTCCGCATTGCGCCCGAGGAAAATACTAGCGGGTGGTAGCGTGGTGAGCTGACCACCTCACATTTAAGACGCAAGAGCGTGAACCAAACTTATTGCACAAGGCCTGACTATTCAAGCCAGCCACACGGGTCAACTCTGTTACGGGATTCGAATCTTGAAACCCATCGCTTCTGTGCCTAGACCATGTCACAAAAATCATTTCACTGCAGTTTATCATGTAATGCCATAGTTTCTATTAGAACTTCATTTTGTTGTCACTTCATCAGCAGACATGTGTATTCAGATTGTGGTCGATAATGGCGCGTTTCAGTAGCATAATTGGGATGGCATTGCCATTCAAGAAATTGAGTTATCGTTCTCTTTCCCTTTGTAAGAAAGCCGGGGACGAAGAGTTTGAGTACGTAGGCGCTGAAACGGAGCTCGGTCTTAGTGTGGTGTTACCCTAAAGTAACTCAGTGCCAGGTATCTTCCTGTTCATATTCAAATGGTTCACTCATTTCGTTCCAACTATTCTATTTTCAAGTAGTTTGAACTAGTGTCATCCTGCAATTGGTTTATACTTTGACTTGATTTCTCATGTATATTGGTTACGTAATACTACGGGGATTCCGGTTTTTATTTCGGAAAGCCGTGCGGTGCAGTCTAGTTGAGTAGCATGTAAATGGTTCACTGAATTGTATGCTTATGTAGTGCCGTACTTAATTCTCAGTTTTTTGAGTGTTTATATTTTATTTCTTCGTTACTCATGCTACTACTCAATCTCCACTGGTTTTCTTTACAGTCAGTTTGCGAAATAAACACAAATGTTGCATTGATCCACTAACTTTTTAGAACGGGGTTTAATAGGATAATTTAGCTGAAGATGTCAGATCAATTGGTTGATTCCAGTGAACCTTCAGCGTATATTGCAAATGCTGATGGTACATACACTGCCATACCACTAAGCTCAACTGAAGATGGACAAGTTGTTTTGCAGTTGGACGGAATGGGATTATCTAACGAAGGAGAAGAAATGGTTCTGATTGCGGCTGATGATACAACGACACTGGAAAGTTTGATCGCTTCAGGCGCTGTCACAGCTATTGCGACTGAAAATGGCACAGAGTATCTGCAGGTAAGTCTCCAAATTTTTCACCACATTTAAAAAAAGTTCGCCGACCCCAGTATGGAAGGAACACAAGTAATTGAGCTACCAGCAGATCAAATGCAACTTTGGGACCCAAACTCAAAAGCGTATTATGACCCGTCCGGTTTAGGGCCAGGTTTCGTTACATTAGGTCAATCTAGTGGTGTAACGTACCGCTGTCCATCGTGTCCGGCAATGTATGCCAATGCCAATGCTTTTACTAAACATATGCGAGAAAAGCATTTCGTTAAAGTATATACGTGTCGGCAGTGTGAAGAGTTTTTTGAGACCCTCAGTCAACTATTTCTTCATGCTCGACGTAGTCATGTTGATCCCAAAAAGCCCAAAAGAAATCCTGCTAATTTCAAATTTCATTGTGACCAGTGTAACTACATGACAAACAACGGCGGAACCATGGAACATCATAAACGTGCTCACACTGGAGAGAAACCCTTTGTGTGTGATGTTTGTAATAAACGGTTTGCACAAAAAGCCAATATGAAAACCCATCGGAATCGCCATATTCATCGTGATAAAATATTTCGTTGCGATACGTGTAATAAAGCCTTTTCATCGTATGATATTTATCTTGCTCACCTGCGGACAAGGGAACATGAACTTCGTGAACACTTTGCGATGATGTCTTCCTCACAAGTAAGTTGAATATATGCATGTTAGTCTAATCTACTCTAGTTAGCTTTAGAATGCTTGGGATGTGCGGTTACCTTCGACAGTATATACAATCTGAATAAACATACACGGAGTTGTCGGATTGTACGCACTCTTCAAACTAAATTTCGATGTTTACCATGCAATGCATATGTGAGTGACGTGGCATCACTAAAAGCCCACGTTAAAGCTCACGAAGGCAGTCAAATAATATCATGTCCAGTGTGTGGTGAACGTGGATTCCCTGGTTTCAATCAACTGAATCATCATATAACAAGAGCTCATGCTTTGAAAGTCAATCGTCGTCACGTCTGTCGTTATTGCGAATCCACATTTGAGTTAAAAAAGGAATTAGATACGCATATCCGCAACATGCATGCTGAAGAACGTAACGCACGTCAGTCAAGAGGAGCAGTTGGCCGCCTCAAATGCCGTTATGGTCATTGTGAATTCACAACAAACTCAATCATGCTGTTAGATCGACATCATGATCAACATCGACGTCAAGAAGAAGATGGAGAAGATGGTGGTCTTGAACTGCCTCCTGCTCGCTACTCATATACAAAGCGACGGAGGCCAAAATTAAAGTTGTCCAAAAGAAGTCGACTTATGGATGGATACGAAGATGACGAGGAGGCAGAGACCGGTGGTGAAGGTGATGACATGGGTGATAATGAAGGTGATGTCTATGAGGAAGTTGATGCGAACGGTAGTAAGTTCATCTCTTCTAAACTAATGTCTGAGTGTATGCAACCTTGACTGTGATCACTCTAACGTCATAGTTTACCAATTGCATCATGCGGATGGTCTACAAACCGTACTGTATCTAGGGAATGTGAATTAAAAATTAACAGCTATTTTGCGCTCAAAGTTCGATCGTCCTATAGATTTATCCAAAATGTATGTTTTCTCTCATGTTAAGATTCAGGGGAGAAAAGACCAAGCAAAGTAAATTTGTTCCCAATCTTTATATATATATATATATATAGTGCTTCTGGTAGCCCATGCACCAAGTGTTAGCCATACAGAAGCACTGACTCAGCAAACTTTGAAAATATGGATATTTATCCTTGTACCGAGTGCTGTAGGCCTCCACAGTAGTTTCAGAATGATGGACGCCTGTCCTACCTTACAATTCATTCCCTGATTGGTTTGTTGCATGTAGTTAAAATAATACTGCCTTTTTGAGTGAGATGCTGATGAGTTGGCACTAAGATCATTTTTCTCATCAACTAACCAGCGACACGATTCTAGCAGTGGCTTCATAATTTTTAATAACATTAGCTTCGTTCTTGTGGAAGTGGTAGCATGATATGATGCTCATTTATGCAAAATTGTACGTTGACAATCCAGTCATTCAATAGCAGCTCGTTTTTTTTGAAATATCAAATTTAATCTACCTCAGGGTTTTTAATAGTCACCTTTGAAACTCACTAGTTATTGTGAGCATACATGTTTGTCTTACACATGTTCACTGTTCTTCCTTCTATAGGTGTTACCAGACGTACAATCACATTTGTAAAGTCTATTAATCGGAAGGCACAAGATGGAGAAGAACACATCACAGCTAGTGTCTCAAGAGAGCCGACTACATCTACTCGTCGAATATCCCGAGCTCGGCGTCTACCAGCGTGGTATAAAGATTATGATACCGATTTCGTAATACACGATGAAGCTACTACAGAAAAGGAAGAAGTGCAGGCCCAACTACCACCAGGTATTGAACTAGAAGATCCGTCTACAATGGACAAAGCTGACATCCCAACTGAAGAGTGGAATATTGTTGTATATGACGATGATGATGATGAGGAGGAGGAGGACGAGGAGGAGGAGCAGGAGGATGAAGATGAAGATAGTCCGTTAGATTATGAAGATGAAGATGTCAATGTTTTAAATGAGAGTACTACTGACGTTATATTGGATGAAGATACTTTCTAATGAGTGAAGAGTACTGAGAATGTACAGAAACGATTACAGTATTATTATTCGTCTTTTAAAATATATGTACAGTCCCTGGATTATATTTCACTTCAGTGTATAAAAGGTATTTGTGTCATTTATTAAAATGCTTAGTGTTATTATTTCATAAAGCTATCATAACCTATCACGGTTTTCTCCAGAATGTTCACTTCCTGTATTTTTCTGTGTAAGATGCATTCACCATGTTTTGCATTTAGTTTTTTCATCTCACAACAGCTGACAAAATGCTTACGCAATACTTTGATCTTTATAACGTCTTTTAGCCTTGCCATCTGCTCTATGTGCTATATGTGTTCATTGAATAAATTGGCAGCATTTCTACCAGATTTTTAAAAGCTCAGTAGTTTGTTTTACTGCAGTTGGAAATGTTAGTTGTTTGGTTCCTTAATCCTACATTACTATGTGAGACACTGTTGAGTCGTGCATTCACACAAGTTGGTAATAACCTAATCCAGGACATCATAGTACTTCATTGTTCTCTTCCAAGGTGCTCAAATGTTAATGCTTAAGTAGATGACAATCCGTACATTCGTGGTAAATTACTTTTGAAAAGTTTTTACATTCTACCTAAAAAAGGACGACTTTTTGTCAAAAGCTGTTAATTCCCACAGTATAAAACAATATTTAAAAATCAGGATGCGAAGTGGTTTGTTTAGTTGGGTATTAAGTTATTTGGATAGTATATTCATTCAGGCAAACAAAAACAAGTGCTAATGAAGCAGATGTTTACGAAGTGCAGAAAATAAGTTAGACTCCCTGGTTCAAAAAGGACATAAAGCCTGGATACCAAATAAATTGCCATTGGAATCCACTAAATAACTGGAACTCCGTGTGCGAAAGAAACAGGTCCAGCCACTATCACTTCCCTGGCATGATTCACAAGTCCTATATTATTCTCCTTAGCGGATTATTGTTACTTTACACGTTAGTTTTACTTTTTACTAATTTGATTAAGGCATTACTATGCAGTTTCACAAGTTGTAATAGTACAAATCAGTGTATTTAGAATACAACTTCGGGATGTCATTAAATGGAAGTCTTGTAGGCTTTTAAGTCCATAAAAATAAGGAGAATCATAATACTTTCTGGTGTTTACAGGACGTGGAACACATTGTTAATCGTAAATCATTTGATTCTTGACTTTTGATGTATATCTCTATGTGGAAAGGGTTTTATAGGTAGGTGTTCAAGTCGACAAAATTCGTGAGCAAAACTGTTGGGAATTTGAGTATTGTTTGTACAGATTTAAGTGGTTCCTGGTGGCAGTTTCTTATTACCGATAAGTCTTGTTACACCTTCCATAAACATCATGTGAACTTTTACTGATGGTCTTTTTGAAAAGAGCTTCGTTAATGTATTCTCCTAGGTGTCCGTAGTGATTGGAAGACTAAGTTCAGCTCGGAAAAGATAAATTTATGAAGACCAAGAATATTTCAGGACCATATCATCAGGATGCAATAGTTATATCCTCTTACTGCGTCGGTTTTTGGAACTCAGATGTCACCACTGCCCATATTTTATGAACAGAGAGTGACACTTGGCTCTTCATCGAGAGATGTTGCAATTTCTCCTTGTGAAATAGCTACTGAGCATGTACGTTGCGCCAAACGGTTGTAAATTAATCAGCCGTGTAGAAACCTACGGAGTTGTACACTGTCATTCGGAAATAACCGATATTTTCGTTGTTATTTGTTTTGAGGATGAATGTACCAAATAAAATGATTATGTTTAGTCCCAACCTTTTAGATATTTCCATACATTTATTCCCCCTTGTGAATTTAAAATAAAGCAAGAGCAACAGTATTTGCAGAATAATATGGTACCATCATTTATTTCGTTAGCTTCTTGTCATCTACTCACAGCCTAAATAAATTAATAAGTTTATGTGCAGTTTTAACATACTTGCAATTTTTGCATGATGTCAGTTGACAAGAGGTTCCGGAATTAGTGAACAGTGGTCAGAAGATTATACTTATGTAGTTTTAGATAGGTAGTTCAAGTTTAAACAAAGTAAGTGTAAGCATACAATGCCAAAGGAGTTGCCTAATAAAGATGAGAGGTACGTAAGATGATGAGTGACTAATTAGTTAACAATGTACTGAGTTCAACTCAAATCATAGAAACAGGAGACAAGCAAAACTACACGGCATCAGAAGCAGGAGGTGAGGTTAAAGTCAGGGATTATGTAATTGAATGGAAGATAGAATAAAGGCATCCGGTTACCAGGGTAAGGGAAGATCGATAACTACTTCTTTCTGAGCACAAATTGAGTTTAAGGGGTTCGATAGAGATTGTTGCGGCGAACTTGAGGAGAATTGAACTTTTTCGTCTGTTGATAATTTTAAAGGATTTTTCGACTAGCACCTCATGATTCGTATCAAGGAGATACCTGATAATGGCACTATTGTAAGCGTTTGTTCCCTTGAGATGCAGATACATGTTCAGAAGATCGGAGGTGTACTCTTCTTTCTGTTCTCCCAGTGTAACTGCTCTCACAGATACACGTAAATTTGTATACACAGTTGGAATTAACAATGCAAAGAGTGCATGTTGGCTTTTGACTGCACCAAAGTGCATGTTGTCCGATAGACAGAAACCAACTTAGCTGCAGGAAAGGCTCTGGCTAGTGATGTACTCAATCTTCCGTTGATTATTGCTGCAGTATTTTCAATTTTAGATTCGAGTTGAATGAAGACAGGCTTTTTCCCACTGTGATTCGCTTGATGTTTGAGGCTTCACATCTATATCTGTTAATGAATCTTTCAGGGAAACCGTTGTTTTTCAACATTTTTTCTAGAATCATAAATTACTCCCCTGATTTTTCTGCAGAGCATATTCTCCTACCTCTACATTATAGAGTCTTGACTAATGCTCGTTTAAAGCTAACTGTACAAAAACTACTAAAATGTAGGTATTGTCCGCTCCATGTAGGCTTTCGGTAAATTGACCTAGGGAGACTAGGCGTTGCATGGAAATGTCAAGGAAATGGAACTTTCTATTATTTTCATGTTCCATAGTAAATTCAATATTTGTATGTGCGTCACTGATTAATCCTATCTACTCAGATGGTACCATATTATTCTGCAAAAGCTGTTGTTCCTGCTTTCATCAAACTCTTAGGTAATTGTATGCAACTGAGAGAGCATGTAGTTAACAAAATTGTTGTTGTCAACATTCTGTACTGTGCCTTTTGTGAAATGTCTGAAGATCTTTTATAGTGGTGTAGATATATTCACTCTTCGTCGTGTACGAAATTCTTTTAGTACTAATGCTCGACAATTAGCGTTACTCTCTCTGTTTTATTTTTATAGAAAAGCTTTGTGTGCTAATGTGAGTATGTAGGCGGTTATCATTTTCCGGTCACCAACAGTGGAAGATGATTTTTCAAAAACTACTTGGGGCAGAAAGTATGAGTATTGTGTGACTTCAGAGTTAAGGGACAACTGCTTAAGGCCCGTCACATTCGAAACTGGATAAGTATCCTGCTGATGTTACCTCCAAATGCATTCATAAATTTACATGCACCTGCGGCAGAAAGTACATTGGAAGGACAGAAAGAAGGGCTTCTCTCCTGCTTTCAGAGCATACTCCAAGAAACTTATGCTTAAAAGGAAGCAGATATTTACAAAGTGCAATTACCAGACACCTTGTGGATACGGGTCATTTTGTCCAAAATCGTTGAAAATATTAAACCTACAAAGGACAGCGAATCTACTACGATTTGCTGAAGCAATTTCAATCAAACGTTTCAGACCAAACTTATGCACACAGAAAGAGGGTGTAGTCAATCTCACTCCCTTGGTAACCGTATTACTTTCATTACACTGATTAGTCAGACACACTAGTAGGCTCAGCTCATTGAGCAAGTTTTCAATTTGGTGAACTTTAACCTTATTGAGTTGCCATGTTGATGTACAAGCTAACACTGTTTATTAGATGTTTCTGTCTTCTCTCACCCCTCTTTTTTTTCATAGTTTGATAGCATATAAATTGGTGGTAACTTAAACTAAAAGTTGTAATACTTATATTCCGGATGCGTTCATTTTATAGTGTTTTCTCTATTACCTTTCAAATATTGAAGTATGAAATATTATTATTTATAACCATTGTAATTTCAGGTAGTTTGCAGATGATGAGAACCTGTGAAATAGAATGATATTGTTTTCTACTGCAAATCTGGTCTTTCTTTCTCTATCGAAATTCGTAATTTACACAGCTCGAACTGAAACTTCACCACAGTTTCCTATGGGAACCTAATTTATTCACATCATAATATGCGCTACTGGTTGTTATGAGCGGTACCAAACTACTCAACTCAATCACTAGGATACAGCACCATGCGTCTAGGGTTCTCCTTTATGGTATGGAGCAGATAATTTCTGCTTCCAAAGCAAAATGGTGAAACTTCATCTCACACAGTGTCAGTTGCAAATCGCGAAAAAATGTGTAACTGCTTTTTTCCTACCCGTTATCCAAACGACGTTCGTGGCACAGTACACATGTTCCAGACGGTGTTGCTTGTTGAGCTATTGCGATGTGCAAGCCCCACCACCACTACGTCAAGGTAGCAGCTATCAGCGGTTGGAATATCAGACAATAATTCTGATTCAATAAGGAGATATTGAGAAATCAGTGGTGAGCGGAACGATTTCTTAGAAAAGCGGTCTTTTAACGATATCTCAGGATAAATGATGGAGACGTTAGAGGTAACAATTTGATGAGCGTTTCAACTAGCTTACAGCCATGCTTAATTTTCCCAGTATTCAATACTTGCTCGAATAGGATGTAAACATCAGTCCCTGAAATTTATCTGAAGTTGCGAGAGTCTGCAGTCTAAAATGAGGCAAAAGCATCTGGACTACATACTATGACTACAAAGGTGCTTAAGTATGGTGATGATAAATTGTTAGGTTAACTAAGACTTTAGGCAGTGTATGGGAATCTGAGACAGACTGATGCAAATGATTGGTTATCGCAGTCTTTTAGAAGGGAGACAAGTCTTAATGTGATAACCGTAGGGAGATCAGCTTGACTAATATATTGTCTAAACTTATCGGCACAATAATCCCGCATAGATTCAGACGGTACTCCGGAGAAACAAACCCACGAAAACTAGATAATTTTTAGGCGCGACCGAGTGTGTATTGATCATATCTCCACTCTTCAACAGACTGAAATACTTGCTTTCCAGCTAGATCATCATCTACAGTTCTACCCAAAAGTGGCGAATTTCTGTAATCGATTAGAATTACTAAGTATATTAGGATAGAGGTGGAGCCCATTACTTAACTGAAAAGTAAGTGTATCTTCTCTCAATCCTTTATTCTTCTAGATTCTGAAACATACGCATTCTTACCGACGTCCAACACTCGCCATATTTTTTAACCTGAAAACGGAAATTGACATCGTCGATCTAGAAGACTATGACAATCTATGGAGGTGAAAATAGTGCCAAGAAAGTGTATCGTAACAATCTAAGATTTTTGTTAGTATTCATGCGGCTCTGGAATAACATATGCAGAGTTGTCACCTGAAGTAGTCACAATCAGTGGGGGCCGTCAGGGATAACCACTGTCCTAACTTATGTCTAGTTTCATGATAGATGTATTAATGGATGTGATCCTAACTGATTTCAGCGACTTAGGGGTTGACTCGTTAAGAGGGAAGTGTTTCGTCGATTTAGATTATGCAGGTGATATAGTTCTTCTAGGTGAAGATGCTGACAAAGTGTAGAGTTTTCCAAACAAATTCAGCAGATATAGTACGATTAGCATGCGACTCGTACCACAAAAATGTAAGGCGATAGTACAGGACGGAATTACACCGACTTCTAGTCTGAAAATAGTGCGTGGAACAGTTTAGCTGACAGCCTTACTCATTTGTGAATTTGAATAAGCTCTAATATGATAATTGTTGATGAAATCTCAGCTCGAATACGAAAGGTTCATGTGACATTGGTCAACTGAAGTCATCTGTGCTGTAGGCATAATATCTGGCTGTCAGTCGAAGGACTTGTGTACTGCTCAGTAGTCAACTCCCTCCTTATGAGATATACCTATTCAAAACAGAGAATATTTGAAGAGGCTAGTTGTCTCTGACCACATTTGTTTGCCTTGCATCTCTCGTGTTAAGTGGCATGTATGGTGTAATCAGAAATATTGAGGTTGGGTGTAGAGTGTTGGGAAAGACAGACAGTCGATGAAATTCTAAAGCTGCATCTATTGAGATGACTAAAACACGTGTTGTGCATGCCAAGCTATCGTCTTCCTAGTCGAGTAATGTTACTGGACATAGGATTAGGTTGGGAGAGAGTTAGAAGTAATCTAATCAAAACAGAGAATTAATCCAAGAAATTTCTGACTGATGGTTTGAGTCATATCAGCAGGTGCAAACAGACTACCTGACCGGGATACATGAGGGGGTAAGAATCAGTTTCTTGAGACTGTTGTTGACATCGCTCAAAATCGTTCTCAATGGCGGAGATCTATTCACTCTCTATGAACTCCTAGATACATTAAATTCTGCTTCTCTCTATCTATTTATTTCTTTCCCTATACATTTCCTTTCAGTGTAATTTCCTTGCTTTTTTTCTTCCACATTTGTGTGCTTTATGAAGTGTGGCTTCTTCGACTGTCGTACTTTTGTGCAGTGTTTTATGTTGGAACTCAGTCACTGATATAAAAACAGAACTTGAGTACTATGGGAGAATATATTCCATAAACTCTTGATACAATGATGAGTGATAAATTATGCGTGAGACATCATCAGTAAATTGTACTGTATCCCTGTGTGGTTTTATCAAATTAATTTACTCTATGACAGAACTGGAACTCAGTCATTTTTTTAAAATTTCCTTCTATGTAATGTTGTGACTATCAGTACTGGCATACTTCTGTAAGTTGAAAGAGTAATCACCTAGCCATTCTGGAAAATCCTTTTTGATCATGTCTATCGATCATTCTCACATAAAACATCTTTCAGATGAATCCCTAACAACTGATAACATGTACACTTCTATTTTTTCACTTGAATATGATTACAAGCAGTAAAATGCTGTTGTGACGTCACGCTGTTAGTAGTACTTTATCAATCCTCCAAGCTTTCCAAACAAACAAGGAGTGGACACCAAGGAATTATCTGATTCTTACAAACTTGTCAAAAAGATAATGGATATGTGATGTCAAATAAGCTATTGGACGTGGAATTAGGCTCTGCTACAGTACCCAGGTCCTACTCATATAAACATACAGTTGTAAACAACGAAAGAGGTAGAATAATGTTTGTACGGGCGATGTTTACCGATTAACTTAGCAAACTGATTATAGATATGAAAAATCTATACCCACATATTTCTACTAGTCAAGCCAAACATCGTTCCCATCTATTTCTATTTCAGAAGAAATTCCACTGTTTTGCTTTTACATTTAAACGCAAAATTATTGAGTCGAAGGCACTAATTATTGAAAATCTTATTAATAGAGTGGTTTTTGCTCATATTTAATTGTATCTAAGGTCTTCCACTTGAAGTGGCTAAGAAACCATATAATGGATAAGATTTTATTTTAATAAATCACACAGTGTTGTACAGTTAAATTAACTGATGACGTTTCGAGCACAAACTATTGCTCATAATCAAATCAAGTTTCTTGATTTATGAGCAATAGTTTGTGCTCGAAACGTCATCAGTTAATTTAACTGTACAACACTGTGTGATTTATTAAAATAAAATCTTATCCATTATGGAGTTATACCCTACCACAGTGCCCAAGTTTTATACTTATATCAATAAGAAACCATATTTCTATGCAGTAATCAATGGACGAAAGTATGCTGTTATGCAGACGAAGTGACACTGGCATCCTCAACAAAAATAAACAATGAAACCATATTGTTAGCGCCTCTCAGTTTTCAGTCTCCCACTGTCACAATAAGGAAGAGTTAGGATGTAATGGTTGTTGTTTATTTCTTCCGATGAACTCAGTTTATGAAAAGCTATGTAAATCTTACTGGATTACTAGTTTCAACTTCAGGTTATAACATTTAATATATCTAATTACATATTTCTGCTGTTACTCGCCATATTACTCCAACTAACACGGGAAAATGATTGTTTAAAGGAACTACTACTGAGATGTACACTTAATGTACAATTCACATGCAAAGATGTTATTTACAGATAACAAGATTGGATCTCCACTGGGCCCATTGTTAGCAGACTGCTTCATGGCAAACATCGAGAATGGTTCACTCAAATCAACTATTGGTAATTTCCGGTTGTATGCTAGATATGTGAACGACATCTTTACTATCTGTGATGATGGTTACGATCTTAATCAATTACTACAAATATTCAACAACTGCCATTCAGCTACAAAGTTTACTCTTGAAATAGAAAACGGATCTAAAATCCCTTTTCTTGGTGTTGAACTTACAAGAAGAGCTGATGGAACTTTACAAAGGTCCATCCATACGAAACTCATGTGGAGCGGCCTACTTACAAGCTTCTACAGCTGGGTACCAATCAGTCGAAGAAGAAACCCAAATAGGTCCCTTGCTACTCGCGTCCGACGCATCTGCAGCTCTGATACCGTGGAAGAAGAAATCTTCATACTAAACGGTTATTCATCAAGATTCGTAGACAGAAACATCAAACAGAAAATCCGAAAGCGAGAGACGCCATCCGTGCCAAAAAAGATACTTTACATGAACCTCGACTTCAAAGATGACCCACTTAGTGATATCCTTAAGAGGAGAAATTTCCACCTCTTTAAGAAGAACTTTCTTCTAGGCAACACTGAGATTGGTGTTCTCCAGTCGCCCACTGATCTGCAGAAGTCCAGAGGACAAGGTCTCGCACCTGACCACTTCTTTGTGTATATATCAGTTCATCTGTGGCGGTGAAGCCAGGTACATCGGTCGTTCGATGCACATCCTGTCAAAAAGGGTCAAAGAACACTAGCCAGCATGGCTACAGAAAGGAAGTAGTGGCCGTATAAGGAGTGCAATAATCGAACATCTCGTCACTACTGGTTATTCCATCTCAGTAAACGCCTCCTGCTACAAAGTGAAGAACAACCTGCCAAAGACAATACGTTTCCGTCTTCTTTGCATTGCAGAAACCATAGCCATTCAGTCAGAAGAACCAGAACTATGCATACAAAAGAAAATTAGTCAGCCACTTCTACTATCATGGTAACAACTCTGTTGATCTGACTTAACTTTTGCTTGTTCGCATGTTTCTCTAACTACTTAGAAATCTTGTATTCCTCTAGAACTCTTACATAACTCCGTATTTTCTTTTCTTTGCATGTTTCCCCTGAGCACAACTCTTTCATCAAACTATTCATATTATTACGCACCTCTTTTTTAACAATCGTTTGTGACAACTCATCACTTTTGTTACTACCCTCTTATATCAACAACCAATTCCTCCACCAAAAATTTACTAATTGTATTTTCGTTTGACAAATTTAATGTACAAAACAACCACATATATTTGCAATTGTACAGCTGTGAAAATGAATTCGCTGAAAAGAGACTCTTCGTGGAACTACTGGACTTCTCTCTAATAATTGTTTGGGGACATCTGTTGTCTAGTAAACCCACCCCCCTCAATCTTTTCATATCTTCCACCAATGACAGCTATGACTTACAGCTGCAAAGGAAATACTGCACAGGTCCTTTGTTGGATAGTGAGCAATAAACATGGTTGCTAAAATTGCGTTTACTACTGAAGAATTAAGGCCGACATTGGCTATCATCTGATGAATACACATACACACTAGATTTAGATTTTAGATTGCGTAAAACATGTATTTTCATACTAAATAACATTTTTCGGTTTAAGTATCTCTCACAAGATTCAGTACAAAGAATAAGTCATAGATAGATTAATTGTTTTTAAAGATATTTTGTTTTTGCTTTGTTTATATGTTTTTTGTTTAAAGATAATGATTCTTTTGCACACAGGAAAAGATTATCCTTTTTCTCTCTTCATGAATTTACACATTCACATAGTAAACTTGATCCCATTTCAATCCAATACGCTGGTGGTTTGTTTGTTTTCAGTGGAACAGCAACAATAAAATTAGTTGACATACCTAAAGGATGCATTGATGGAAAATGATGAAAAATAGAGGCATCGATATAAAGAGAACTGAAAACTTTCATTTGACTGACATCTTTCTAATTGTTCTGTATAGGCTCATACTGGGGAATATCTGAGATACTCTACACCTATTCAACTGTGGTGTTCGTTAACAGTATTTCTGTTTGAAACCACGACCATTGCGTTTTCTGACGTTTATTTTACAAAATATACTACATCTGAACAAAATGAGAATTTAAAAGTTCACTGGGGAGATAAAAGGGAGCTCATCATTGGAAAAAGTTTCGCTTATTTAAAATCAATGTCAGGGTTACTGTAATTCAGGAGCACATCAAATTATGACACTTGTCTATCTGAACAATACGAAGTGAATTAAGTTATGTTGAATTCCACTAATTAAGCTGTCAAATTTCATTGGATTTAACTTCCAGTTTGTATTTTGTATTTATTTACCTTTCAATGGTCCAGAAAACACATGCAGATAAAGGAGTGAACAGATAACTGTGCACTCTAAATCACAGAGAAAATACAATTTATTAGTAATTAAAAAATGAAACTAGCTTGTCTAGAAACTTGACTACTTATACCGATTGGTTACTGCAGATCATCTGATTTCATTTCATAATCCGTAGCACAAATTGTCCTAAGTCAAAGAAGTTGATGTTGTGATCACCCACTACTGTAGTGCTTATTGTTTGTTCAGTGATGGTAGGGAAGCACTACGTATCTTAGATTTCCTGCTTGTTTGTATTCGCTTACAATCTTAAAAAGGCTGGGATACTCAACTCCCTATCATCTCAGACATTTTCCTCTTTGAAACAGCTTTAGATTAACCAACTGGTAGCTGGATAACCACGAATACAATGGAGTGAGTTCAGTCAACTTCTAGAAGTATGTGTAATATTATTTACTATAAAGTAAATCACGGGTCTGTTTAGTACTGTCTGACAGGATGTGAAAAACTCAGTATTAATGTCTCTGGAACTACCAGTGAGTAGTGTCGTTTCGAATATTTATGGTGTCATTATTTACAAAAGTTAGAGGTAAATATCAATAGTCATGAAAATGAAAACACGTAGTGCTTCCAGACACCTGAAATAAATCACAGCTAACTATTTCTCGGTGCACATGAGCACACTTTACTCACTTCACTGTGAGAAATTACAATAAATCAAAGATTTTGGATGATTGGAGGCAATCGGCAGGTTGCAGATACGCCTTGCTGAAGAGTGCCAACTAGCACGAAACCTAGGTCCAAGGCTTCCTGCCGATTGCCTCCAACCATCCAATATCATCACAAACAATGTACACCGTGATGGCGAGCTACCTAGAATGGTGGCCACATTACAGCCTGACTGATAGAATTCAGTCTGCACCAAAGAGAGGACTAGACGCATCACACTAGTTACTAGTGTCAAATCAAAATATCCACTACAGTCCTACAGGAGGTCAATCGCGAGCCCGAATAGCTCAGTGGTAACGTCTCTGACTGCAGCACTGGGTGACGCGGGTTCGAATCTCAGAAGGGACATGAGTTCCTACAAGGTTGCAGATACGCCTTGCTGAAGAGTGCCAACTAGCACGAAACCTAGGTCCAAGGCTTCCTGCCGATTGCCTCCAACCATCCAATATCATCACAAACAATGTACACCGTGTTGGCAAGCTACCTAGAATGGTGGCCACATTACAGCCTGACTGATAGAATTCAGTCTGCACCAAAGAGAGGACTAGACGCATCACACTAGTTACTAGTGTCAAATCAAAAAAATCAAAGATTCTTTATCTCATTGGGACATGAGATCCTATAGTAAAACTGAGTAGTCTTCTCTATAAGATTATTGAGCACGGATCCTAACATTACAGTCAGGATAAATATAATTACAAAATGCTGTGTAACTTGGTTATGAGATTTTTAAAAATCTACCAGCATCTTTTATTCTGAAGTATGAATTCTTGAAACCAAATTCAAATCAAACCGACCAGATAGCAGACGATATGTAAAATACTAACTTCATTATGCACTAAGTGTGTTAATTAGGCTGTAAAGACAGCAAATGATTGCTTACAAAACGGAAACCAATATCATTTTCTTCTGACTTTAAAAGAAGTCTAATGATTCAGGAAAAGTCCAGTGATAGTAAAAGATGGCTGAATTGTCGACTGATACTGACCTTGGACAAAAGAAAATCAGTTACAGGATTTCATCATGAGCTGACATTGGTTAGAGAACCATTGGAAAACCTGCAGGGAGTACTGGAAAGCTGTTTCCTTCATCAATACGCACCCACTGGGGTTCGAACCCAGGACCTTCTGATTACAAGGCGAGCTCGTATACCATTAAGCCACTGGGACCCGATCCAATGACCCGTGAATTCTAACTTCTGCCAATTCACGATATAGTGTGACCGCTAGCCAATGTCTTCGGCGAGTATTTGTCCCCACACCCGACCTGCTGCACCCTACTGGTCACGACTTCCCACTGGAACCCCAGGTAACTACCTACCTGAATAGGGCCAGTCGCATCATTACATTTCTTCAGGTACTAAAATGAACTATGTCAATCTGTTCCAATTAAACATTCATCTTACTCACTCTTTTTATTGACGATTGTACAGCTGTAGTAGTAGTAGTGTTCTAAGCTCTCGTATACCTGAGTGTGATTGATAGTCTTATATACAAACATCTGCTAAATTGCTGAGTTTTCCCACAAGCACTCCTCAACATCAAACCGATTCTTAAATGCAGAAATACTTTTTAACATGGGCACTAATAAACAAAAACACATAACAAAATAACTATCAACCACAACTGACAATATGTAACACATGACTACCTTTCTGTGCTTTTTGTAATGAACTAAAATAAACTGTTGTTAACTACATTACTCGTTACTCATACATAATAAGGCAGCGCCTTTTTCAATCCAATAACCTGAGGTCATCGAGTGAGGCAAATCAATCTCCACTACGAAATTCGTTGAATGACCTAAATCGAAATATTAATATGAGAAACTGGCAAAGGCAATTTCTAAATTTTGTAAAACAAATCTCGCATATATTTTTGTAAGTGCTAAACCCAATGTGCCTCATGTTTCTTGCCATAGAAAATGGGAATAATGGCATACTTAATCACAAAAAACAGTCAGCATAGAATAACAAGGTCAGTTATTCAATGAATGTGAGGTTCGAAGAGCTAAGTAACCAAAACAATTCTGAAAAAAAGATTGCGATGTAGATACCTGTTGTTACATTATTTATTCATTGAGACGGATGTTTTAACAATATCTTTTTCAAATCGTTCGAATTTTAATTCTTTCGCTCATACTTTGATTACATTTAAGTGAGGTGTGAAAGAAAAAGTAGTTTAATGCTTTTGCCAGTCAGCTTCTGCTAGACATTTTTCTATGAACTCGGTTTACCAATCAAAGATGGATTTAATTAAAGGACCGGTAGGAATGTTTCTCTGTCTACAGATGTGAGAGCCACTGGGGTAAGATAATCATTTATAAGAAGATTATATTTCTGTGACATGCGAAATAAAGTGATTTTGTGTTTAGAATTTTGAGAATACAGAAGACAGTGCCATCAGAATGAAATATTAAGTGTTTATTGATGTCAAGTTGATGAAGATTTGATTGCTAACAACCCAGAACCACATACTATTCTTTGATTCTAGTTTAAAAGTCTTTAGTAGTAGAAAAATCACAACCAGTTAAGGGAATGAATACAGAATTGTGAGTTATTAAACGAGTAGATTGCCTTTCAGTCACTCAAGTGGGAAATTATGGCCAATATAAACACTATCTGACTTTTATTTCCGTGCTGTTGATTTATTTCATTGGGCAGCTTGTCCACTTTATCTTCAAATATGAGTATATAAGACAATGGCTGGGTTTGTACTCACCTACCCACTGACACACTCAGAGCAATCAAATTCTTAGACGCCATGTATGTATTCGAATAAGGTATATTGGCCAAATAGCTGACTTATTGATGGACAAGAAATCGTTGTAACAACATTGCAGAATAAAACTCGAATGCAAACATGGTTAAGATATAGCCGAAAATACACAAATCCAATTTATATATTTCAAAGCAGCCTTTATCGCAAAGTAGCCGGTAAAATAACATGAAGTAATGAACGACTATTTCTGTCTAGATTAATAGTTTCCAGCAAAATAGCTAAGGACTTTCCAACTAATTTTAATCTGTGATGAAAACTGTCTTAGTCTTGGAATGAATCTAATTTTTACAGAAAGACTAGCTGAACTATTGTCTATCATCTACGAAAGGAAAAAGAGTTGTAACAGCAGAAGGTAAGACACAGAAGCATAGGTCTACTTTTCATTGATCAAACCGCTGTTCATACAAATACATATACATAGTTTATATTCTTTAACAAATCACTGAGCGTGTGATTTCGGTTTACATTGAACGACATGAAATAGAATGTTCAAATATACATAGGATTCTTTTATTAATGCAGAATATAACTGTGTGAAAAGTATCCTGTCTCTAACATCAAATAGAATGTTCAAATAGATCTATTGTATTCTGTTGCTACTGCTGAATTGAACTGTGGGAGTATGTGAGAATAATATTCTGTTGGCAAATATTATCTGCATCACACCACCACAGAGTTATTAAACTAAGGAAAAGGCGATAACCTAACCTAAAGTCACACAGTCGTTTATTATTAAGACTGAGATTATCTTGAAACTTTATAAAGCGTGACTGTTAATACACAGACGATGTGAACAGAAACCAGAGTTTCAGAAATCTAAAATTCGAAAGCAGCCGTGGTATCTGGCTATCGATCAATGGATGTGTTCACTGCAAAGCAGTTCACTCTCTCCTCTTTTATGACTGTGACACATGGTCAGTGAGAGTGGAAAATATGAAGAGGTTAGCTGTTTTTGACCCCAGATGTTTATGTCTGTCTCCCTTGCTAAGTGGTGTAATATAGTGAGCAATATCGACGTTAAGCGTAAAGTGTTTGGTAAGAAGAGTAAGTCAGTCGATGAAGGTGTGAAGCTACACCCCCTGAGTTGGCTAGGATACATGTTACGCACACCAAGCTACCACGTCCTTTGACGAGTAATGTTAGTTGATACAGATTTAGGTTGTAAAAGAGTTACGGGAGGTCAAACCAAAACCTGGTACCACTCCATGAAGTCTTTGACACTTGGTTTGCGTCTTATAGGGTGTTTCAGACTGCATGCCTGGTTGGGGTCCTCGAGATTCTAAGTACCAGTGACTGGAAATTTTTGATGATATGGCTCGAGATTGTTCTCAGTAGCACAGATGCATTCACTCTCTGTGGTCTCCGATATCCATTATCCCTTTTTTTGATCTTATTATTCTTTCTCCAGCACATCTCTGCTCACTATAGTTTTTTTAGAAATCTCTTGTCTCTATCTTTGCGTGCTGTATGAACTGCTGCATTTCTGTGTAAATTTCTATGTTGAACCCCGTCGGTTAGTCATTGCAATCGTTGTCTGAAATTTCTTTCAGTAAACAAACTATAATGAACATTAATCTTGTGCATATAAAATACCCATCAATCACTGAAAATGTTTTTGGGAGAAATAAAGCGGATACACACATATGACCTTGTAATGTGCATAAGACACTTACCAGTTGTTGACAACACACCAGCTCTTGCTGCTGTTTTATATAACGGTGCTATGTAGTGACTTGGATCTGGTGTATAATCCATTTCTGGCTTCATATGCAACACGGGCATAACTGCTAACATTTCTCCAAGTATGGAGTCAGTCACTTGCATAGTCTTATCATCCCATCTACATACAACAAAAAATAATTAACATGTTTTATTAAACAGAATATAAAATGCAACAGTGAAGAAAATTATAAGAATTAGATAGGGCTGAACAGCTAGTTGTTTTACTTAAACTCTTCAGAAATGCATGTAAATCGATGATACTAAAACAGGATAGTAAACTTTAAAAATAATGGCCATTGAACTCTGTAATGAGGCACTCAAATTCAGTCTTTGAATAGATGTAGAGTAACTATTCCTAAGATTAAGGAGACAGAAACAGATAGTTATCTATCGGTTTTCAGTTACAATGATCTTTTCATTTGTCATTTTGTGAAGAAGACTACATTCAGAATGTCCACAATGGAGGTATACTCTACCACATTGCTCAAGTTTTATCCTTATATCAAAATATCTCTTTATAGTTGTTGGAAGATAATGTACAGGAAGATTCGGAAAACAGCACGTAAACTTATTACTGAATACATATTCTAAACATAGTGACATATTTGTTCAGATTACCACAGAAAACCATCTACCAATTATGGTCTATTTTGGGACGAGGATAAAAGCTATCGCGTGGTATTTTCGCGCGTAGCATAGCAAGTACCATTATAGATATTCAAGCCTTGTAAAAAAGTTGATAAAACACCTTTAAAACAGTCAAACGTAATATCTGATGTGATTACGGCATCCCTCTTAGGGTGTAATGCAAAATCACATAAGAACAACTACCTGAGGAAATTCACCTCGCAATGCATTCTATCCATTCAACTAGACTGTCATGATGGTACAGCAAATTTGTTTCTCTATAAATTATATCCTCACTACGGTTTTTTCTTTTCTGATTTAACTAGGGTACAATGAAAAGATGTAAAATATATGATTGATCAAATTTGGAGACGCGTGTGATGAATCTGTGGTGAAAGGGAGTTGAAAATGAAGAAGATTGATTCTCAAAACTCTTCAATGCCAGTCAACCGTAGCTAGCAGAAAAACTTTTATAACATAAAACATTGACGTACAAATACATACAACCATATACATATAAAAAACTAAGATATCCCGTTCACCGTTTACTTTTGTAAAGCTGGAATAGGCCACCTAATGATAACTAACTTAGTTGCATTACTTTAGATAGATGAATTTTTCGTATTTGCAAATTATGACATAACATGTACTTATAAAGAGAAAATAATTCATTCACCTGAAACCATCCATATATAATCCGTGCACAAGTACACCGTCTTCCGGTTCATGTAGATTTGCATCACATTCCAATACTTCGCTTAAACGTAGTTTAGATGTTGCAAGAGAAATTTCTTCTTGATGACGATAGTGTGGTAGGACATTAAAATTAAAAGTTAAGTGATCTATCGGATAATCATACTTTCTGGCATAATTCTGTAAGATTCCAGTTAGAAAACCTAGAAAAAAAAACAGCAACAGTTAATTTCACTTTCTGCAGATTAATAAACGAAGCTGTGAATTTAGTTTTCTCGTTTGTGGCTCAGTCATTGATCTTCTTTGTCAGTGTTGTTGCAAAATGCGGGTGAGCAGACGGTAGCTAACTCATGAGTCACATTGCTTGCCTCACAGTGTTTAAATTGTCATGTATTGGTTTATAGGGTTTAAGTCAGATAACCAGCTGACATCACTTGGAAGACCACTGGAAACTATGGAGTATTGGACAAGTGTTTCTTCAGCAGTACATACCCATAACTCCACAAGGCACCTTTAGGTGGCGAACCCGTTGGTTATTCAGCCACTAGGATGGAACCTAATCGCCCATCAATTTGCAATTCTTCCAGTTCATGATACACGATGACAGACAATGTCATCGGCAAGTATCTGTCCTGACACCCGACTAGGTGAACTCCACTAGTCACGACGTTTCACTGGATTCCAAGCAGTTTCATTCTGTAGCTGGTCACTAGTGGGAATAAGATTAGTTTTCAAGTGTTTGTTTGCAGGTGCTGGTTTAGATCCCTAGTGGGTGCCTGCTACTGAAGAGCCATGGACTAAGACGAAACAACTACCAAGTAGTCAGTTTTCAGTGTTTCTACAACAGACGTCAGCTCGCTATTTAAACTGTATTTAACCAGTTCACTTGGTCGAAGAAGCAGCAAAGACAGGACTGCAGGTGAACATAGACAAGACGGAGGTTATCAAAATAACCAACAATAACGACAACAGCAGCAGCAACATCCAGCGCCAATCACCATCAACGGGAGGGATTTGAAAGAGGTTACTTCATTCACTTATCTAGGGAGCATTGTCTCAACTACAGGAGGAACGGACGAGGATGTCAAATCGAGAATCGGGAAGGCGAGAAACACATTCATCAACCTGAAACCAATCTGGAAATCTTCGTCACTCAGCATCAACAACAACATTCTTCGGATTTTCAATACAAACGTCAAGTCAGTTTTTCTATACGGATCAGAAACTTGGCGGGTCACCAAGAATATTTTCAACAGCCTGTTGCAGACCTTTATCAACAACTGTCTTCGTTCTATACTGAAGATTAGATGGCCGGAAAGAATCACAAACAAGAAACTATGGGAACAAACAAAACAGGAACCAATCGCCCAACAAATATGCAGAAGAAAGTGGAGATGGATTGGACACTCGCTGAGGAGGCCGCTGGGTGACATCGCGCGTCAGGCCGTAGCTCGAGTGGAACCCGAAAGGGAAGCGGCGAGTGGGACGTCCAAGAGTGACATGGAGGAGATCGTGTGAAGAGGAAATGAAACAGTATGGATTAACATGGATGCAAGTGAAAAGTACAGCACAAGACAGAAGCAAGTGGAGACGTGCAGTTGAAGCCCTATGTTCCACTAGGAACCCAAGGGAACAACAACAACAACTAACCAGTTCACTTAGTATACACTGTGGGCGTTTCACATTGTTTTTGGGATACATTTCGATAACTTATCATGTTGGATTAGTTAAGTGATTTAATTCCATGAAAAATCCTTACATTACTTCCTTGAAGGCTTCTCTGTACAGGATAAATTTGATAGAACACAATGAAAAATGAAGAAAAGAATAACATATGCAATCAAACATATATTTTATCCAGGAAAATTCCAGCACTTATCACTTATTTAATTAACTAAATATATTGAGATATGTGCTACTTAGAAGTATAAATTTAAGTAGTACATGTTGTGGAGTCTTCAGGAAAAAAATAATGAAAGTTTCCATTTAACTAGTAAAATCTTATTAGACGAAGCAAGTGACAGAGGACTGTAATTTGTTCTGTGTTACACCAAGTCATTACGATAAAAATATACGAGTTTTATACGAGGGAGATGTGTGTCAGTTAACTGTAACTAGAAGAATACAGTTCAAACTAGAGGTTTGTAATCAGGGTTTTCAAACCTCCCTGGGTGAACCTCTATATCCCCCAGCCCACTAATAAGTAGTAAATGGTTAACGAAGTTCAGATGTTGGTTTGCAGGGATTTGATTGATTGGTTACAGGATTTCATCATAAACTGATATCGATTAAAGGACCATTGGAAAACTTGGGAGTACTGGACAGCTGTTTCTTCCTAGTCTAGGACTCTCCATCGGTACGCACCCACAGCCAGCGTTCGAACCCGGGACCTTTTGGTTACAAGGCGAGCTCGTAGAGCATTAAGCCACTGGGACCCTATCCAATGGCCCATGAATTCCAACTTATGTCAATTCGTCATATGGCGCGACCACTAGAGAATGTTATCGACAAGTATTTTTCCTCACCCCCGACCTGCTTCACTGGTCACGAATTCCCACTAGGAGCCAGGTAACTACCTACCTGAAGTAAATTATTTTGAATGACTACACACATATATATATTAAAGAATGCCCGTGATAAATGTTCGGATTGAATTTCATTCTATCTGCCTAATAACTTCATATCAATGAATATCAACACAAAAATAAGAAGAGAAAAAGGATTTTTGTGGTATTAGTAATTCGATGTCATAAAAACAACATTAATATTATCAAATAGCAATTATTCCTTAATTAATAACTGCAGAAAGTAAAGAACAACTTATCGAAAAGAATATTCTTTGTTCACTGATCAATGTTTAGTATTGTGTTAATGTTCATTGTAATTGATTTAAATAAACACTGTACCTGTCTTCATCATTCTTGTTTTCTACAATATAACTATTATTAATAATGATAAATAGAAGTATATTGTATCGATATTAAGAAGAATTTGAGGAGACATATTGACGATTTTAACAAATTTCAAACTGGAATGGTATGTAACAAATTCATGGAAGATTTTGAATTCGGGCGTTTAAATCACATGTGTGAGTCATTCATTTATTCATTTGTTTATATAACGAATCCCATCCAACAGTGCGATCAAATTTCTTTTTCACTGTCTGTTATCTATGGGAGGTTAAATCGGATGAAGAAAGTAACTCTAAAAACCCTCCAAAATGCATTTCATGATAAGCTCATTTCCTTGAATCTTGAGATAATCAAAATTTCATTTTTTTTTTCTCGGTTACAAGGAGAGGTCGTAGACCATTTGTGTCCTACTGGCTGAATGGTCTGCTACCTCTGCTTGTTACCGGGATGCTCTAATTTCGAACCCCTGGTGGACGCATACTGCTGAATAGTCTCTAACTGGGGGGGGGGGAACTCCTATCCAGTAATCTTTGAATTTCTGATGGTTCTCTAATTGATGTCAGCACTTGATAGACATGATAATCAATCAGATCCATGCAAACCAACACTTTCTATCTCGATCAATTTTCAATCACTTAATAATGAACCTAACCGTCAAATATCGTAGCGGTAGGACAATTAACACTTCCATCCTATTCTGGCGATTGAGCTATTAGGTTATTATGGGGAAAAATCCTTCAGAAATAAGAATATGCTCTAGTTTGTGAATTTTACGAATTAACCTAAAGGTGTACTCTATCAAAAGCTGTGTAAACCAATAAATAAGTAACGACTATCAAAAATAAGTAAAAAGACATTCTATTTGGCAATGAATGACTGTCTTCAAACAAGCCTTAAATGATAAAATATTTTAATGCTTACAACTGCAGGTATATAAAGAAACTGTATTTACCCTGAGGAAAGAAGAACCCAGATATCCAAAATGAAATTGGTTTTCCTCTGATCATCCAAGTATGAATAAAATCACAGCGTAATACTAAATCTTTAACCCAACTTCCTAGTGGTTTTAAACTCGGATAAGCTTTAGACGACCACATTTCTGGTATTGAATTTTGTAGAAATGCTGTATAAATGCCTTCCAAGTCTTCTGACATTACAACAAAACCTTTAATAGCTTTTCTAAGTTGCTTTAATGAATTCTGTAGTGGAAAACAAAAGTAAAATAGCAAAGTTATTGAAGTACTAGTGAGTTATTTAAATGTTAGTGTTTGTTATGAAAAATTGCAGCAACATCAAATGAACTTATTTCCTTGTGAAGATTACAACTTGTACCATATAGAGCCGTAAGATTTATTAGCAACTCGATTGTAGATAGTATTTTTCTGCCCAGTCTTGATAAGTGCTCCTAGACAAGTTGCATTTTGATGTGGCATACTTCTTTCATCTATCTGCCTTTTCAATCCATCAAGTTGGATGCAGACTATTTGGGAATGCCGAATTTTTTAGAAAGATGCTTGCATAAATACCCTACTTGCATCAGATTTCTATCCAGAAGGTAGTATGAACTCTCTTCAAGACCTTCATATTGATGTAAAACAGTTAGGTAGTGATGGTAGATAACTGTAAGTTTATCATTGTCAAGTGAATTTTATTTTATAGTTTAACCTCAGGAATAAATGATTCCAGTTGGCTCGTTGAATTATCAAGACATGCAAATCTGACGACTTAGTTATCACTTGGGTGAAAAGCATACCAATCAATGACTATTTAATTCTTTCAGGTCAATCAGTAGTCAGTAGCACAAATGATGAAGATGTTTTGAATAATTTCACTGATAATTAGCAATATAAAATAATAACGAATGAAATAAAACTAAAAAAAATAAAATAAATAATATACACCACAACATACCTTGATAATGCTTAGTAATTTATTGAATCGATCAATTTCTTGAGTGAGTACAGTAGTTAGTGAATCAACTCGGCCTTTAGCATCAGTTTCAAATAAATCTGAACGAGCTTCTTCAATATTAAGTTTTTCTGGAAGTTTTTTTAATATTGAATCTGCATTCTCATAAACTAATTCATCACTTGTTTTACCCATAGCTGATGTACTTGTACGCGGTTGAACACTGAGTATAACAGATATCAGTTTACTAGTCTCTTGAAGCTTTTGAAATTCAAATTGTAAAATTAACATTCAAAAGGTCATTCATGAAAAACACTTTCTAAAATTATTACATTTATTAAATAAATAGTACCATACCATTCAAACTTGCAATCGGGCTAATTAAGCTAAGTAGAGAAGTTAGACAATTAAAGGAAACCAACAAGCAGTCCTCCTGTATTTAGAATAGTGATGGGGTCTCTAATTTTATCTCCTTATGATATGAAACAGAATCGTATACAGAGTCTTGAAATTTACAGAAAGACTATGTTGTTGGAAACCAATTAGCACAAAATTCAAGTCGAATGTAGTTGCTCTTAGATTAGTTATTAACCTTCAGAAATCTTTTGATTCTATGTAAGCTACATGTTATGTGAATGAACTGGTTTACACTGTAATATCTGATTTAGATTTGTGAAATTTATATGTAACCAACAGTAAGGTTGTCATATAATGAAATTGTAACAATAATTAAAGATTCTGTTGTAAACTTGGTGTGTGATTAACAGAGACAGTGTAAAATGCCTTTATTTGTTAGAAAACATCAAACGACTTTATATCTGGATAGCTTTGTAATTGTTGATGGATTAAAAGATAAAAATATTTGCTTGCATAGTTAGAGACAGAGTGGTATGGGAAAATCTATGGGGTAAACCCATGTTAAAGACAGGTAATCAGCAAATACTTTTAAGCTCAAATATAAATTTCAGTGCCACGCATACATCTTTATAGCACAGGAATAAATGATTTGAACTTACTTACCTTTGCTCCTAAGCACAAATTGCCATACATTCACTTGTTTATTATAATACAATAGGGTGAGATAGGGTATGAGCATTGAAAAGTTACACAGATAGGTTGGCTGATTGACTGCCTAACTGGATTTTCAATTCTTAGCGTCTTCAGAACTCCAACCAGACAGCCTGTCTGGACCTGCTGATATGACTCAAACCATCAGTCAGAAATTTCTTGGATTAATTCTGTGTTTTGATTAGATTACTTCTAACTCTCTACCAACCTAATCCTATGTCCAGTAACATTGCTCGACGAGGAAGACGATAGCTTGGCATGCACAACACGTGTTTTAGTCATCTCAATAGATGCAGCTTTAGAATTTCATCGACTGTCTCTCTTTCTGTCTGTCTTTCCCGACACTCTACACCCAACCTCAATATTTCTGATTACACCATACATGCCACTTAACACGAGAGATGCAAGGCAAACAAATGTGGTCAGAGACAACTAGCCTCTTCAAATATTCTCTGTTTTGAATAGGTATATCTCACAAGGAGGGAGTTGACTACTGAGCAGTACACTGACAGCCAGATATTATGCCTACAGCACAGATGACTTCAGTTGACCAATGTCACATGAACCTTTCGTATTCGAGCTGAGATTTCATCAACAATTATCATATTAGAGCTTATTCAAATTCACAAATGAGTAAGGCTGTCAGCTAAACTGTCCCACTGACTATTTTTTTAGTTTTAATCTTCACGCACCTAGACATGACTTGCAAGATATTTTGTTCATTTATGCATTAGTCATACACTTATGTTTTTTTCAGAGAATATAAATGTAAGCGTGAACAGTATTCATCTGAGTTGTAATCAAATTTGAACAATTTATTAGAACTTGCTTTATAAACTGCTTATTTTGTGAATTCAAAATTCAAAACAGTTTGCAATTGAGTGAATGTACTCACTCTTTATCACCTGAAGAATTCTAAATATCTTTATTGTCTTTTTCTCGATAAACTGTTTTCTTTTGCGTATCATTTTATTTCTGTTTTCTTCTATGCATGCTTCTTCGCATTGTGGTACCCTAGAATTTTGCACTTATACACTGATTCATCGATAATTCGTGTTTTATATATTAAGTATTGACTTAACGAATAAATATCCGGTGACCAATCTTTGTATGTATTCCAATATACTACTCTTTAGAATAGTTACTTCAACACAGATGGTGGGACTGAATAGCAGCAAAGGTCGGAATAAAGCTATACGCAGATCAATACTAGCTCATCCCGTCCATACTGGACATCAAATAGACTCTAACAAAGCTTTTAAAGTTATTTATCGTATATCACCCGACCTCTCGCATGGTCTACGAGTACGACTTTTACATACAGCAGAGGCAATCGGAATTCATTTGAACAAGTCAAATCTATGTGTTCACAAAAAAATGTAAACAGCCCCTTTCTATGCCATAGCCAACTACATAAAATGTATTAAGTTTTTAAAAACAACTTTTTCCACTCCCCTTGTTACTAACTATCTTTTGACTTTGTCAATTTTTTGACAATTCTAGCTAATTCAATTAATTTGTTTGTATTTTACGTGGCTCTTCTGAGTCATCCTATTCTTCTCAGTCATTATTGCTATTTTACAAATTTCTTGATTATGTAATAACTTGTTACTAAAGCCTAAAAATCAACTTATCTTGAATTCCGTAATTAATTTTAAAACTCAGATATCTTGTTACTAACATCTATTAGTAACTTGTTTTGATGACCTTTAACCTGTTAATTTCACCACCGCCTATATCTAAAACTGATTAACTAGAATAACCAGTTGGTTGGTAAAAGAAAATTTTGATTTAAAAAAATATATATTAGTGTCGAACCAATGATGAGGAACTAAATGAAAAGGAATATATTTCTTCACTCAATCTGTTGTTTCTTCTAAATATAGAAAAGCCAAACAGGCTTCTTGGGATTACCTATATTAACTAACGTCTATAGTGAAACGCGACTTAGTTAAAACATCCTGCAATCAGGTGGGATACTGTAAAGGTTCTAAAACATGATAAAGTTAGGAGGGGAGGGGAGCCACTGGTCACGGGCTCTTCCTCTCTCGGATCGTCATTCAGATGTTCAGCACGAGTGATGTAACACTTGGCACTCACATACAGAAATGTTAAGATGAAAAAACACTAAGTAATAGAGTTCAGATGGTTGTGTGATAATGACCAATAAATTTTGCTCATGCAGTTAACAATTTTATATGACTACGTGGTAAATCAAATTACTGTATGCTGGAATCAATGATCAGAGACTCATAAACAGAAAATCAGTTGAAAACATATGATTAGGATAAGATTACTAACCAAGTAAACGCTGAGGTTAGAGACTTTAACAATCAGCTGTTCAGGGCACGAGTGAAGAAATGTGCATACAAATCAGTCATTGGATCAAAAGGAAGGAACTTCAACTCTGCAAACAGTGATGAATAACCCGTTCTAAAGCTATAGATAATATTTTACATTCAAACATTTATAAAACTCTGAATTTATAATACGTTAATAATTACCTGATAGACTAAATTAGCATTTTCATGCATTCCGAATAACTCCGGAGCAGCGCTGAATGGAAGGCTAGACACATATTCTGAGTATTCAGATAGTGTTGTTTTATCCGGTGGATAATAAATACCAGATGGTGAATATACATAACCTGGTTCCAGTGTAGATGGATGGAAGAAACGCTGAAGAATTGTACGTAAACATCGTTGATCCCAGAAATCTGTTACACGTCCACCATAAGTAATCTAACGTAATGAAAAATTTTGAATAAGTTACTTCACAGTTTATCTGGTTATGGTTATAGCAGTAACTATTACTGGTAGTAATAATGGTTAGACATCTGCATACCCTCTCCAGTGTTCTTTAGTTTTAATACAATGTCGTTTCGTCGTTGCTTGAATAAAGTCCAGTTAAACCATCTCAATATTGACAGTTTTATAGCAAAAATAAAGTGGTACCGATAAGCTGGGTTTCAGCTAGGCAACCACATTAACGGCTATTTAAAAAATTGGCTTTCTTAAGCATTTTAATTTATGTGAACTGCTAAGGCTTTCTTCTCCATTATTTTACTATTTCCTGGTTGCTCATATCTTTACGGTGAACAGTAGGGTTTCTATTGGTGGATGAATAAACCAAATCATGAATAAATTCAATTATAAAGGGAACTCATTGTTGGCAGTAATGCTATATTCGTGTATAATAACAACAGAAATTAAAATTCAGGTATATATACTTTTGGCATGAAAATAAGGATGAATAAAATGCAGTGAAGTTTGTAATATAAGTCGCAATTTCTTAAATTTAACCTTCTTTCGTCACACTACTACTAAGTGCTTAATTTACCACACAGTAAAGATGAAATATTCATTTAGATAACCTGTTACCAAAGGGTGACAATGGAATTATCACTAAAGTAGATAAATAATATAAGAAAGTTTGTGAATCTTTTTAACTGCTTTTCTGACACTCTGGTAGTTCTTCACTTAACCAAATGGTAAAAGAGACACTTATTGAGGATGAGAATGACTGTCTGACGAAAATAATTAGTACAATGGAACAAAAACCTGATGTGAAAGAAATTTCAGGTTACGACGGGGTTTTTACTAATTTGGAGTTCTAATGATTCATTTGAGCAACACAGTTGCTACCCAGGTATCATCTTTAACCACTGGAAATCCTATTCGTTTACTCAAAAGATAGTGATTTGAAAATGTGCCAAAATTAACCAAAAAGTCGGGTTTTTTTAATGGTATCGTGAATGTGATTTATTTTTATTTCCTTAACAAAAACTATCTTCTAAAGTTTCATTGGAGATTAGGAGTGAAGTGATAATAATGAATGTGTATAGCGACTTATCACATACTCACATAATACATGGATAAAAGCCCTGGTTATCAGAGTGCTTTTAGAAAACAGTCAGAAGCTAGGTATCATTATTCTGCAGGAGGACAAATTAGTAATACAAAGATCACTTAGTAGAGTCTTTTTATGACTCAGATTTGTCTTCAACTTCACTAATCTTCTCAAAGAAGTTAAAACATGTTACTTGAAAAAAGGACTTTCCAGACGTGCAAATCAGACCTACTGACAATCCAACTCTTTAGCTAGTTCTTTATTATTGATAATATGATAATCTTAAATGACTACACAGTGAAAAACACGAGAAAAACAAAGTACAATAACCAAAAGCTTGACCATATTGAATATATATTGTTTGTATATTATCAAACTGCCACTGTTAATTGTTCTGTGGCAATCAACTGTCAAACAAGCTTTACGTTTACTTCAGTCACCATAATGAATAAAAGAGATAAAACGCCACTATGAAAATATACTCGTTTTTCTGTATTTGAGTTGAACTAGAGACAGTCTGGCTTATTATCTCAACGCAAAAGAATTTCGGTTGAATTCCTGTGAAGAACATATAGAGTAATAATAATTCTCAGAAAATATCTGTTCTTAAAAGGAAACTGAAATAAGACGAAAAAAAAATAAAAAAAATAAGATAATGTACTAATTACCTCAGCTGTAATATAGGTTAAAGCATCCCATGGTATGTGGGACTCTTGACAAAACATTTCTAAATTTAATATGGCGCATTCTCTGTCTGAGTCATTGAAATCGTAACTGATATTCCAACCTAGTGGACCAAACTTTTTCCTCTCCAATATAATTGAATGGAAGAAACATATGCCGAAGACTAACTTACGCCAGTCAGCTCCCAGAACTTTGCATTAGAAACGAATAAACAAACAAAATTATACAAAAAATTATGATGGAGTGAAATCTGAATTATACACTAGTCAGAGCTGTATTTACCGTCTTAAAATGACAGCCCTCCTGAATACAATGCGATACAAAAATACAATCAATAATGCATCAGTATGTTCTACTTTGATCATGTAATACTTGTGAAATCTTACTGAAAGGATTATGGATTTAAGCAAGTTAGATTTTCTTCATAACAACTGAAGTCACACTTTGTTAAAAACCATTTGGAGGCGAAAAGCAACTAACTGGCATTCCTGATCAGGTGCAATGCTGGGACTGATGTTCACCAACAAGTATACAGGCACACGTTAAGAAACATGCGTTATTTATGAGTTCAGAACTATGGCAGAGTAAAGTAGAAACAACCAAATTCATAAGATGTCATCAGTTCGCTGTAAATTTGTCCCCTTCCTCAGCTCTAGAGTACAGACTAAAATTGTTTAATCTGTGTTGCGTTTTTGTGGAATGGTCAATCTGACTGTCAACTGGTGTTAGTTAACCTCACTGTCTTTGTTTATTGTTACATGTTGAAAACAACTGCTTTTTGAGAGGCGCTTCAGCTAAGACGTATTTCATGGTTGTATTATAGACGCAGATCATGAAGTAAACTCCAATATTATTGCATAGATGCTTCAGGTTTAGGAGGGTGCCAAATCTCCTTGGTTAAAGCATTCTAAGTAACTTCAAAGATGACTTTTTTTGCTTCACGTTCCCCAGTGGAACATAGGGCTTCAAGCTAGTGGCTTGAAGTTTCTGTAGCAGTGTTTATTTTACAGGATGTGGTTGCCAGCCTCATGCCCAACCTTTCCTCTTCACCAGCATTATTTCTGGCTTAGCGAGGTAAAGGAGTGCGTCGGCCGGGGATCGAACCCCGGACCATGTGCATGGTCGGCGAGAGTCCTAACCGCTATGCCACCGACACACCTTTTTATCGTCTAATAAAGATGATTTATTGATTAAGCTTTCAGCATCACTATCGCCCTAGGTATCATCAGTGAATTAAACTACCTGCAAATCGCTACATCAACGAATTAATTGCTTTACTAATAAACTTGATCAGTATCACTCGTTTCATTGAAAACCACTTGAAAGTGTCTTAAAAATACGTATCCTATTCAATCAACTTAGGACTTCCATTAATTGCAGCTGATTTACACTGTTCAGATGTGGTACTCCACGTATAGTTTGACATAAAATCTCTTTGTAGGTGGGTACGTATGTTTCTGAGGTACATTTTTTCTTATGTAACATTGATTAAAACAAATGATATTGAAGTTGCCTTATGGAGTTATTATTTCTCTTCACTCTTGGCTATTTCATTTGAGGATATTTATAGAATCTAACAAGAGAAATATTATTTCTAGAACTAGCTAACAAAAGTTTCTTGGAATTATTACTTCATCCTATGACAAAAAAGCTCTTTTTATTTCTGAGAACAAATCTGTGGTTGAAGATAAACCTGACGAGAAACCAAACAAACAAGAAGTAGCGCTAACGACTGGTGATAATTTTCTTCTTAAAACCATTCCATTCCTTACATAATACAACACAATCTACCTGAAAATCCTGAATCGCAATGAAAATTGATTATTAGCCAATTAAACCTCTGAATCACAATTTACGGAAACTGACATTTTCCTTTTTTTTTGTAGAAAAAATATTTTAAAAAAGGTTCAGAATAACCTTATCGTACCATGTGTTTCAAATGCTCCCCTTGAGATATCATTAATCGCTCTGCTGAGATTCGCTCTTAATCCTTTTGGCGGTTCATTGGTCACCTTTACAGAATTTTGCAATACGAAGATTGGAAATGATTTTGCCGGCATTGAACTTAAATATAAGCGATAGTCAACGTGAGTTGATCTAGGATTTTCAGCGCGCTGTTTCACTATCTCTTCCAACCTGATCATCCATGATGCAGCCAGATGACAGTTCTTTGGAAATGGTAAATAAAAACATTTAAAAAAGACTTTTAAAATATCAGTTCTAATCATATATGGTAACAGAATTAGTGGAAGTATATCAGCTATCTGTCCAATTTTTATAACAGTCATAGAATGGAATGAATTTTACAATATATATAAAAATTTGAATGCTATTGAAGTGGCTGACTTAACAGTCTTTTAGTAAACTTAGAGATAGACAGACATAAAATACACTGAACTCATCACATCCATAGATCAGTTCATTTAAATGAGCTTCACACAAATATTTGGGAAAAGAAGTATAAGAAATAAAAATATCAATATCAACAGTTGTAAAAATCATCGAGAAATAGGAAACAACGCAAATAGATGAAAAGCAGAAAAATAATAAATTTCTAACAATAATATGACAATACGAAATAAATGCGTATTATCGGGAGTAATGTTAAACTCTGCGTAGGTCAGGGTAGTTCTACGTAATTATCACAAGACTTTTGTTTTTTTCTTTAAAACTGGAGAAAAACCTGCGACTAAGTTGAGTCTGAAGGAATTATGTAAGTGTCAAACATTGCAGCATATACCTCACTCCTCCCAGCTGAATGCTCTCATATGGTCCTGACGATAACTCAATGTTCTAGTTAATTTGTAATCGTACATTGTGTAACTGGAAAGTAGTCAGAGGCTCAGAAAACTGCTATCGGAGCCCGTCTATCCATTCATTCGGTCTCACTGATATTACCTCAGTCTGAAGATTCATCAAGTGTAATGTATGGAGGATTTTATGATTATGTCAGAAAAATATACATTTCTACAGTATTAATTTTTACTACTAACTTGAAATGTCAATGTTAACCTCAGGAATTAAGTAGACTTCTTAACACACACTAAAATTCATGAAAATGCTTATCATTTGCAGTGTTTTTCAGTAATTCTTCACTAGAAACTAGGTCACAATTTTCTCCTGCACAACTGCTTATTTTGAGAACTTTGTTAACAAATTAATATACTGTCTGAAAAAAGTATCCATAGATTTTAAAATTTTCAACAAAAGCAATATCACTCTGTAGCCGCAATATTAATTTAATTTCCACTGAATCATTCCCAGGATATATTCAAGTATTCAGAAGTAATATTTAGTTGACCTTAAGATACTAAATCTCACCGCAGATTGATATCAGTTAGGTAACCCCAGTGAGTGAGTACTAGGATGAAACAGCTGGCCATTCCTAGTGGTTTTCAGTGGTTCTCCAACTGATATCAACCCGTGGTAAAACTTTAAACAAATCAAATCCCCACAAAATCTCCCGAAAAATTACCTTGAAAATAGCGTGGTAGTGTGATACAGACAATGTGTACCAACGGAATATTATTCTCACATATTCACACAGTTCAACTCGGCATCAGCAACAGAATAGGATATATCTATCTATTTGACGTTAGAATCAGAATACTTTTTTCACGGTTACATAATGCATTAACAAAAGAACACTATGCATATTTGAACATTCTACTTCATGTCGCTCAATGTAAATCGAAATCACACGCTCAGAGATTGGTTACAGAATATCAACTGTATATATATAAACAGCGGTTTGATCAAGATAAATATACTTTGGCTTCCGTGTCTTGCCTTCTGCTGTTACAACTTCAATTTATATTAATTAAGCAAGCCTTCATATTATTGTAACAACAGAAGCCAAGACACGGAAGACAAGTTATATTTATCTAGATCAGACCGCTGTTTATATACATACAGTTCATATTCTTTAACAAATCACTGACCTTGTGATTTCGGTTTAAACTGAGCGACATGAAGTATAATGATAAATATATATACATATTATTCTTTTGTTAATTCAGTATATAACCGTGGGAAAAGTATTCTGACTCTAACGTCAAATAGAATGTTTAAATAGATATACTGTATGCAGTATTGAACTGTGGGAATAACACTCCGACTCTAGCCACAATCAGAATGTTCAAATAGGTATATCGTATTCTGTTGAACTGTGTGAATATGTGAGAATAATATTCCGTTGGCAAACATTGTCTGTGTCACACCACAACAACCTTACCTTGTATGCGAGTCCATTAGCAGGTTATAAAAGTGAAGACAGAAAGGAGGATAATACAAAATGGTCGTAGTATAAAAGTAGCACTATAATTTGGATAAGGTATTTTGATTGGACATCGACTTTGATAAGGCCCTGGACAGTGATGATCGTGAAGTAATTTGTAAACTGCTTCAACACTACGGAGTGCTGTGTCCCAAACCTTCATCAACCTCATTCAACTACCACATGACAATGCCACATGTCAAGTGATTCACCACGGAAAACTCTGTGATGTCTGCCTTTCAAGTGAAAACAGGAGTAGGACAAGTCTGCCCACTCTCACCGAGGATATTCCTGATTATGATGAACTAGATCATGCGACAGACCGTGAGCAGTGACAAGTCAAAATGCGTTAGACAGATGAAAAGACTCTAGAAGATATGGATTTAGTGCATGATTTATGTCTAATCTCACACAAGCTCGAGTGTGCACAGTCGAGAACCGACAAGTTGGCAGAAGAGGCAGGCAGTGGAGACAGGACTTCAAGTAAGCATAGAGGAGACAGGGGTGTTGAAAATACTTAGCTAACAACAACAACAACAAACACCAATCACAATGAACTGTAGAAATCGAAGAGCGATCACCTCTCTCAATTATCTAGGAACCATGGTTTAGACTACGGTTGGCACTCATGAAGATTTCAAGTGAAGGATCGGTAAGGCAAGACAAGCAAGCTTTAATCCGAAACCATTGTTGAGATGCACTGCACTCATCGTAAGGGAAAGGATCTAGATCTTCAATACTAATGTCGAGTCAGTTCTCCTATATGGATCAGAGACTTGCAGTGTCACCAAAAGCATTTCCAACACACTGCTCCGGACTTTCATCAGAAGCCTCCTTCTCTGCATACTCATGATCAGATGGCCATCCAGAATGGATAAGCAGCAAGGGACTCTGGTAACGAGTCAACCAATAACCTATTTGCCAACAAATATGCTGAAGAATAGTGGGGTGGATCAGACTCACACTGAAGAGACCGTTGAATGAAATCATGTGCGAGACTGACGAGTGGAAGCCTAATGAGCGGTGGCGAGCTAGGTGTATGATGGTGACATGGGGGCGATCATGTGAGGAGGGGATTAAAGCGTGTGGGCAATCGTAATATCAGGTAAAAGGATGATACAGAAAAGTGTGAAATGGAGATGTGCTGTTGAAATCCCTTGTTCCACTGGGGAACTAAGGGAATAATAATATCGTGACCAGTAGGGTGTCAGGATAAATACTCACCGAAGACATTGGCTAGCTGTCGCGCTATGTCACGAATTGGCAGAAGTTAGACTTCATGGGCCATTGGATCGGGTCCCAGTGGCTTATTGTCCTACGAGCTCAATCCTTGTAACCAGAAGATCCTGGGTTCGAATCCCGGTGGGTGCGTACTGATGAAGAGTCTCACGCACTAGGACGAAATAGCTGTCTAGCACTCCCAGATTTCCCAATGGTTCTCTAACCGATACCAGCTCACGATGAAGTCCTGTGACCAATCAATCATATCCCTACAAACCAATACTTGAATAATAGTATCACTTTGACTGAGCGCTAGATAGTAACTAGTGTCATGTGTTTAGTCTTTCGTTTGGTGTAGACTAAATTCTACCAGTCAGTATAAGGCATGCATTCATGTTCGCAGATGTCATCCTTCTTGAACTATATTATCTAGTGTTTGGAAATATAGAAAAGTAAGTGTTAATCTGATTCTTTTTATTGACTGTATCGCTTCCTGGGCTCAATTTCTTGGCACAACTTTTTAATTCAATCTAAGTACTGCCTCTCATTCTATTCATCTCAATAATTACAGACGTAGAACTTCACTTTCAAGGAAAATGCCACTTTGTGGAAGACATTTATCTGCATTACACAGATATTTGGCATCTATTAACAATATGGTATCTATGGCCAATCACCGTGCCTCTCAATTTTTATTCACTTAGCGAGTTCCAGGTTATCATCATTCTAATGCAGTGATCATATAGCAACATTTAATCATAATAAATCCAAGGTTTACGGTAACGGCAAATATGGCATAACAGGAAAGACAACCCTTAAATTAAAGCAGACGAACATATTTGAAATCCCGTTGGTAAGAAGTAAACTTATCTGCTCAAAGTTAACCGATTTTGGGATTTCAGATTGAGACCAAAAATTTTTCATATTTCAGGGGACAGGAGTTCGGAATGTAATTTCAAAGCTTATGCAGCTTATGATGCCAGATCATCGTTAGTTCATTTCAAATTAATTATACTTCAGACGGCGTAAAGCTGATTGTTCATCATACATACCATTTGTTCCTATTGACCTAATCAGTGTGGTTTGAAAACCACCTTGAGAGTACACACTTTCTCTGTGCCTACCTTGAAACTTACGTTTATGCTGTAGGCAATGAAGCTAATTTTAAGCCTATAGCGAAGAAGTGAGGCAAATCAACAACAGCTGTATTTTTCACAAGGAATTATTGGGATGGATTAAATTATCTTTACCAAAAACGTATTAATCATTAGGGTTGAATTAGGTGACAGTTACTGTTGACTGATAGGGTCAGTAATCTGAATACAGCGAGACTTCAACAAAATACAGAATTTCTCACCGTGCTGATAACTTAGCCTATCAGGTTCAGTCGATTTCAATAAAGATTAAGACTTGCATGAAGAGAAAAATATAACTGGATAATCTGTTTAATATCATGGACAAACACGAGGAATAACTAATGTACTGACAAAAAATTAAATGTCTCAGAGTTCAGTGAACAATGAGTAGTTTACATTGATAACATGACAAAACGCCTACAGCAATTGCATAGATTTATATTCTAAAGGATCAAAAAACGATTACTTTCTATCTATATTTAATGTTCATTTGATCAATAGACACATAATTCGTTAATCTTTGTAAGACAAATCATTTCATATTTCACTGTCATTTAAAATCTCATAATAATACTAACTTACCTGCAGAAATACCCAATCTCCTGTTTTACTTGCTTCTTCAATTAACTTCTCTGCTTTTGGTCCTTGACCTTGACCTAGAGAAACCGAGTGTACACGTTCTGAATAACCGTATTCTTTGGCAAATTTCTGAAACTGATTCATTGGATCAGAACCAGTAGATAAAATAAAAACAAGTGGTGTGATACGGTCCATTTCTTTATATAAAATAGGCAAACTACACGGTGGTGTTTCGATGAACTCTTCACCTAAACTAACACGAACAAATTCTGTAACAGCTTTTACAACACTCTCTTCATGTATAGTTGATATTAATAACAGTTTTTGGAAACCTGTTAAATTATCCTGATAATTAGCCCGTGGAAGATTTTCATGACTTTTAGGAGTTAGGTTATACGCGTCTAATTCTTCAACATCGTTTTGTAACTCATCATTACTGTTTTGCTGTTGTTCACTTTCTTTAAAGCTTATCAATGGATTAAAATTCACTGATATTGAACACTTTCTAACATCTTCAGGCAGTGATGAAAACTGATCAGGGAAATGATGAGCCAGATCGACTATTCTTCGCCATTGTCTTGCATTTAACCAATCAAGCGTATCAGCTGGTTGTTCAGTCCGTTTATATTCCTTGATATCTTCAGGTGTACCCAACAAGAAATAGTTCCATTCTTGTGTAGTGATTTGATCCATTTGCCTTAATATCTGCACGCATAGCATGAACGAAAAGACTAGTTTATCACGTTCAAATAAACCACGAGCAACATTATTATATGTGGATTTAGTAGTGGATTCAAGAAGAATTTGTATACGTTCTTCTAAACTTGATGCTTGTTGACTGTTTTGAATTGTTGAGTTGAATAACTAAGGGAAATAAAAGAAGACAGTATAGTTAGCAATGTTACCATCAAACTGTAGATAAAAAGAGCTAAACATTTACTGAAAGTTATATTATCGGAACTTTCTAGCTACTACAGATGAAACAATCCTAAAGTATCATATTTGTACGACTTGCTAGTGAATTTAATCATAAAGATTACTAGTTCGGAGACACTATCCAGTTAATATTACAAAGTATTCGAGAGATAGTCCCTTTTTGATGGTGTGATACAGACAAGGTGTGCCAACGGAATATTATTCTCACATACTCCCACAATTCAATTCGGCATTAGGAACAGAATACAATAGATCTATTTGAACATTCTATTTCATGTCGTTCAATGTAAACCAAAATCACACGCTCAGTGATTGGTTAAAGAATATAAACTATCTATATGCCATAATTATTATTTTATTCCTTTACGTTCCCAGTGGAATATGGGGCTTCAAGTCAGAGCTTTGAAGTTTAGGTAGCAGTGGCGTTTACTTTTACGGGATGGGGTCACCAGCCTCATGTTCAACCTTCCATCTTTACCAGTCTTATTACGTGCGCTGGCCGGGGATCGTACCCCAAACGACCTGCGTAGCTGACGAGCCTTCTATCTCTGTTCCACCAGCGGACTAAGCATTACTAATTAATAATCCATATTGTGACCGCCCTTATTTGAATATTTCAAGAAGAAAGTTATGAAAATAGCAGAAGGAAGAAGTGTAATCAGAGGCTTCAGCACATTTTAGAAGATAAGATGAGGCAAATATAAAAGCGCGATGATACATTCGATGTTTCACATAAATCCGGTCCATAACTCTCACGAAGTGGGTGATTCTCAACATTGGAAATATACACCCATTTCTTAAATGATTGTTCATATTGTTTCAACTAAATTGCTGAATTCATTTGAGATAATAAAAGTGATCCTTCTGACTTCATGTGTAAAAGACATTCATGTACAGGTAAATTTTGTTCAAAAGTAGTCGCTGGGCAAGTATCACCTAATTGTAAATATGTGTATTTATACAATCTAATCAGGATATTCTATTAACAGTTTGGACATTTCTGCTGTTCACACAAATAAAATTGATATTCTTAAAATTCACACCTCCTGTTATCACCTGTGCGTCGGTTAGGACGCTCGCCGACCATGCACATGGTCCGGGGTTCGATCCCCAGTCGACGCACTCCTTTACCTAGCTAAGCAAGAAATAATGCTGGTGAAGAGGAAAGGTTGGGCATGAGGCTAGCAACCCCATTCTGCAAAATAAACACTACCATAGAAACTTCAAGCCACCAGCTTGAAGCCCTATGTTCCAATGAGGAACGTGAAGGAAAAAAAGAATATCACCTGAAGATAATAGTTACATTCGCCTAAGCTACACCTTCACAGTAATTCTGGATGTTTTAGTTCGTTCGTATTTGAACAATAAACTAAGAAGGGTAAAACAGAAAAAAGTCAGAATCATTTTTCAAACTGCTTACATTCTTAAAATATTTCAATGAAAACTGATACATAGGATCGATTTCAGACATAGTCGTGATAACGAAATACATCACAGATCCTCTTGAAGCAACTGGTAAGTATTTAGAGCGTGCATTTGTAATTTTTTGTTCTGTTAATGTAGCTTCTGCTAAACGTTTAGTAATCTCACTCGACTTGGCTTTAGACTCATTCAGTGTATTGATCAAATCTTCGTTGTCCAGAATATTCCCTTTAGATTCAAATAACAATTTAAGTATACGGTCTTCTGTATCCTAAGGCATTTAAAAAAAACAATATAGATGACGAAGATTTTTTAATTTGAACATAACAATTGAACAATGAATGCAAAAATAAATTCATACTACTTGCAAGTAGTCTAAGTTGTTTAGAATAACTTGTTCATATGCAAGTTGACGCTACGAAATCTTGTCAATGAAAGTAGTCACAAGCTTAATATGAAAATGCCAACTCTTTTCTGACAATATTGACAGAAACACTGAACACTTGATTACAAATTGGGGAAAAATAAAATGTGACTACTGTACAACATATGAAAGAAGTTCAGTGGTTTTTAGTAGTTTACAGAATCATTATATGCTCTTATGAAGCTATCACAATGTAGGCTTGACAGTTTATCACTGTAGGTGAAAGTTACCATTTTTTCGAACAACGTCGTCATGACAATAAATTAGTTAAATGTAATCCCAGAGTGTTTTTAAAATCAAAACACAATTTTTGTGAAAGTTTAGGTGTGTAAGCTTCAACTTCTTCAGCAAAATAAGAAGGATTGGGCAGTACATAAAAAAAGAAGATTCAGTTAGGGTCAGCGCTTAAATTATTCCAGAAAACTTACAACATCTATGGTCTGGATACTGATAATTTTGTTATCTTCACGGAAGCGCAACAGAAAATCCACTAAGAAAATCAGAAGGACTGTCCTTCACTCAGATTCAGTTCAGTATAGTTTATTTCTATAAAAATTTTGATTGTCTCTACTTATGTTCATAAATCGATAACGAAACATTTACTTATGAAATATAAACCATATAGAAGGTTAAAAAATATGAATAAAACTGGCAATTCATACTTCAAGTTAGATTTCTTCACAAGCAAACATCAGCCAGTGTATACTACTGAAATGTTGTACTTCCTAGTTTTAAAATTGTTTTCTAGCAGATGTCACTTCATAAGAAGGTGTACAGTTGAATTAACTAAATCTCAAAACAGCTTAATAACCAGTCCCTAGTTCACTTATTTTCGAAAAGGTACAACTGAAAGTCAGCTGTAAAGTACAAAAGTAGGACTAAACAATAAGCTTATCAGAGTGCTAGAAAGCGTTACCTACAATCTTGAAGGACATTTCAACACGTCGGTGTATAAAAAGCACCAGACTGGTCAATAGATAATTTAATACACTTTTGTTTTAGCTTATTTTCTAACTGGTAAATTTTAGCAATGCAAATGTTGATTCCAGTTAACATAAATATAATTACCTGTAACATCAACTGTTCAGTGTAAAAGCATCTTTATTTGTGGAAATGAATGACACAGAGTTGCATTTTTTTTTAGAGATTATAGCTTCTTTTGAACTATATTATTCTGATGAATTGGGATAATGTCTAGCAATTTCTAGTAATAATACACTATGCATATAACATTACCGATAGCTTACTCGAAAAACTCACTTTCAACTGATTTTTATCTGTATTGATGCGTACAATTAACTGACTGCGTTGTTCTTCCAGCTCAGGACGTTCGATACCTGTCACTTCACCAAGCAATTGATCTTCTAAACCAGCTGGTGTGACGGTGAAATTGATAATCGTTACTTTAATTGACACTTCTGGTAAATAATGAGGGTTGGCTAATTTACTAGTGATATAAAATCTGAAATTTTTATCATATTCAATATCTGAGTCACCTAGTCGAATAAGCAGTCGACCGCCAGACATGAAAATTTGCTTTAATAATATTGGTTCTAAGGCAGGGTCTAGTGTTTCTCCAACATCTTCGAGAAGAACTGGAAACCCAACCCGTATACAATTTTCCAGTATTCTCAGCAGATTTGAATCTGTTAACTTGATTACTTTTAAATTATTTTCTGCCTCCATAACACGTATCCAACGATTTGCTTGTTCTTGTGGATCGATCATCAGTGGCCATCGTCTTGAACGTGTCACTAGTATAGCATTATCTGTACTGACTTGATCACGTGGTAAACCTTGTGTATTCCACTGTCTCACTTCGAATGCATCACCGAGAACGCTGAATAAGGTTGGATTATCACTTACTGGTATACCTAGTTCCCGACACCGAAGGACCCATTTGTTCACCAAGAGTTCACGATACTCTGATGTGAAAGCTCCATAATAGGCGACACATGCAGCAGCGACAAACACATCACCAATAACATTTTCAAGTTGTGCTTCGTATTCATCAATCGATATTTTCCATCTATCTTGTTCATCAGCCAAAGCACTTGTCAGTTTACCAGCGCGTTTCAAACGAGCTGATGTCAACGCTAGACGATGTTCAAGTTTCTTCTTTTCAGCAACTGATTCATCATATTCTGCTTGTAAGGAAGCAATTTTTCGTTCAACTTTGACTAGTTCAGCTTGTTTCTCCTGAAGTTTACGCATTACATTGTCTAACTCTGCATTCGCCTCTTCTAATCTGAAACAGAAGTAGAATACAGCAGTCGCCAAACCAGTGAACTACTGCAAACGAGTATTAAACAACATATTTCTAGGTTCCACCGTTTGAATGAAGCGTCCAGTTGCCACAATCTGAATTAAATACCCCCCATCTAATCTTTCTTTAGACTGCATTTAATAATTTACATGTAATTGTAAAAATGGGCGTACTAAATTGCAAGAAATTTGCACCTCATAAATGCTGATGGTACTAACATAGCATTGTCATGATCTAAAAAAATCTATTACAAATATTAAATGGGCAAAATAATTCGGTTCTATACAGACTTTCAGAGGTTGTCATTGAATACTAATTATCCCCTCTCTTGTGTTCCTTTCAAAATGCTTTTATGTCTCAAAAATGATTATAGTCCGCTACCATTTACTCTGTTATAGATTTGCCACCTGGACAACTTATATAGCTGATCATTATTCTTACAGAGGAACACTCGTGGACTTCATAAGTGATTGTAAACGTTTCATAAGGACTCAACCAAGTGATCTATAGTTCACTACACACTTCAGAACCAAGTGAAATAGGTTCACTTTGCATCCTATTTGGCGTCAAATACTGGTTGACAAATGAAGACCGTTGATTAGTGTGAATGTAACTGAATACCACAGTAAGTAAAAAAAACGCAAGAACAATAGTTACAGCATAAAACAAATACACATAAATGATGCCTTACCGTTTTCTTTTCGGCTCGACAGTACGAAACACATGAGCGTATAAGTTCAAAGCTCGAACCCACATGCACATAGATTTACATGCTTTACTGGTTTTCTCAACGATTTCCGGTGTAAATTCAGGATTATCAATGTATTTTTTCAGTTTTTTCAACTGACCATCAGTAATTTCATCTTTTGGAAATTCAACTAGTTTCCTAAGAAAGTTGGAATCCCCTAATACAACTTTCGCAGTTGCCCAGTCTCCTCTAAATGAAAAAAAATGAAACGTATGAAATAAACATTTAGAGTTGACAGTGGTTATTATTCTTTTTTGCTACAAGAGGATTTAAACCAGGAAACTACTTGTCAACTGAATGGCAATGTTCATTTGATGAATAAGTTTTAGTTCCATTTTTATAGTATTGATTTGCTCGAGAGATATATGATGTGTGTTTTTAAATTGCAGTACCAACTAGAAAAATAGGCGTTCTTCTTCAAAACCAGTTACTGACTGCTTATTATTATTATAATTAATATTATTATTATTATTATTTGGATAGTTATGCTTTGGTAGCTGCAGGTGCAGAAAGACAGTAGAAGAGAATAAAAATCCCAGTGTTAATATGAAGCCTCAGAACTGACAAATGGCGTACGGTATTCATTATGTGGAAAAGTGAACTGTCTCTACCAATAACTACTAACTTTAAGAAGTGGTTAGATTTGAATATATCAAAAGTAAAGTGGACCTTACTACTTTACTTCTGAAAGTTTAACTATTCCCAAAATATTGAGCGCTTAGTATAAGGTGCTAACACCATGGTGGCTAGGGGATGGATTGACTGAAGGGTCATACTGTCAACATACTGGCTGTGGCAGTAGAGTTAAGTTGTTGTCATCGAATACTAATTAACCCAGCTATGCTGCCATCTCATAGTGGAAAGCAGGAAGAAAAAGGTCAACCCTAAATACCACATAGCTTAACTTATATTGTGGCAGATTGTATCTGATGATAGGCTTTCTCGTACATATAAAACAACATAGACACAATTTATATGAGTGAGTGTGGTCTGAACCATTCAGATAGGTGAAACTTATGCTCTTTCAAACACTTCAAAGAAAAAATTATCTTTCACAACAGAAACAGAAGACTAATATCAAATAGCAACATACTTGTAATAAGACATGCAACTTATTCCCTTATCACCTAATATCTACATCCCAGCTCACAACTTCTACCAAATACAGTTCAGTCAACTTTTCGTGATATTGTGACAACTTTTGTAGTGTCTAGAGTGTAAAACGATTCTTGTTTTATTAAGCTATAGAGTTTAATCTCCAAGTCCTATACAAAAACAAGCAACTAGTTTTGTGGTGGTGTGATACAGACAATGTTTGCCAACGGAATATTATTCTCACATACTCCCACAGTTCAATTCGGCTTTAGCAACAGAATACCATACATCTATCTATTTGAACATTCTATTTGATGTTAGAGACAGGATACTTTCCCCACGGTTATATACTGAATTAACAAAGGAATACTATGTATATTTGAACATTCTACTTCATATCGTTCAATGTAAACCGAAATCACAAGCTCAGTGATTTGTTAGAGAATATAAACTATGTATATGTATGTGTATAAACAGCGGTTTGATCAATGAAAAGTAGACCTATGCTTCTGTGTCTTGCCTTCTGTTGTAACAGTTTCACGAATAGACGTCGCTTTTCCAGAGGTGCATGCAATTAGCCATGCAGCCAATATAGTAAATCTGCTAAATTTACCCTATGGATATAAGTAAATTTCTTAACTAGTTATCCTTGAAAAGGATCTCAATATGTATTTATCTGCATACCGCCAGACTGATTGTACCGCTAAGCACAAAATGATGATGATAATGACTATTGACGTGTGTTAACAGTTCCTGTCTATGCACCAACTGATTGCAGCTCGGGTGAGATAAAGAATCAGTCCAACCACAACCTATGAGATCTGCAGTTAGAAACAAAACATTCAGATACGATTTTATTATCGGGTGGTTATTAATTCACAAGTAATGAGGCTAAGCTGAACAGAGGAATATCTTATAGGCATCTACGGGATCACATGTTGATGAATTGACAACATTGACGTCTTTCTCATTAATTAACCGACGGCACATTTCTGGCACTAACTTCCCAATTACTATTATTATTATTCTAGTGGGACATAGGATTTCAGCAACTCCTCTCCATTTCACTCTATTCTATGCAGTCCTTTTATCTAGCCCCATGACTTCCCATTAGCTGTATCTCCTCACACGATCTCCTCCATGTTACCCTCGGAGGCCCAACTCGTTGTTTCTCATTCATGTTCCACTCAAGGTCGCGGTGTATGACGCTACCCAGAGGCAGTCTCAAAGTGTGTCCAGTCCATCTCCATGACCTTCGGCATATTTGTTGGGAAAACGTGATGAACATGTTAAGTAAATTGCATTCAAAGACAATTAAGAGCAAATGAATATTTACAGCCTGAATGGAATAGGTCCCCACAGGTACTGAACGGCATGATGAGATAAAGCTGTTTGAAAATGAGCTATCTAAATATCTTTATAGTAAACAGTAAAAGTGATAGGCGGAAAAAATGATAAGAGAGTTAGAAACGGACTGTACTCAATAACCAATTAAGTATAGAAACAATATAGTGACAGTGGAAAGTGAAAAGAATTTCATTATAGTTGAAACTTCAATCAGGTCCCAAAACGAGTAGAACGCTTCTGGAGTAGTTAAATTAGCCTGCAGATAATCAGCAGTAATAAGACACATTTTTCAATTCTACGAATCCAACCAAAGATTGATTCACAATTCAGACGAAGAAGATCAAAAGGACCTCACGGGCATAATTCGGAAACTTTTAATTATAGTGGCAACTAGGCAACTTATTGACTAAATTTTCAACTTAAAAACTCTTCACATGTCACAAAATCTAAGTAACGAGGTTAGAAACTAGTTATTTCAAGGCAACCCAATATTGTTGTGAGAGACCGATGTAGTATATGGTTAATCATCCAACCTGACAAGATAGGGAATGTACCAAGTTCACCAATAAATGTTTCAAATTAGATAATCCATTATCATTTATTGATTGATCGAAACTAGAAATATTAATCTCGAAAAAAATTGGGAGTTTTCCGAAATTATCTGGGTTATGCTGGGAAAACCTTTGTTCTTCAGTGGGTTCTCAACGCAGATATACACTCCGGAATATAACATTTGCTCCACTTCTCTATCCGTACATAGTGTTCAACTACAACCTTCGACAGACGCTTTAGAAATGTGAGCTAATCAAAGCATTCCATCCAGCATCATCCAACCGTTTAACCCACCATTATCTGAGGTAAAATGAAGCAGTTGCATCTCCTTGGAATATTCAGTATTACCATCCTTTATCAACTTTGTCATACAATTACTGACATAAGTGAATGTTGGCAAAAATTAAAAATACGGTTTTAGAGAAGAAGCAAAGTGGTCAACTTGGCTATACATTCATCTGTATATAGTAAAGAGGTGAGAAAGTGAATGCATTTACACTAAGTGTCTCATCAGTTAGTCATGTGTTATGCATGCTGAGCAGTCACCTATCTTGACAGTCAGTGTTAGCTAGAACACGACTATGTCACAGAAAAGTTATTTATACCGTTAATTCTTTTATCTATCCTCTGTTGATGTTTCCTTTGTGTTAACGTTTATGCTATTTACTACTAGTAAGTAGTATGAGTTTGCAATTTGTTTATTTTGTTGTCATTCCGCAGCCACAATTATTCACTTCCATTGAAATTCCCCTCATTAAATACATCAATATTCTGTTAGGTTTGTAGTAGTTATGTAGCTACTGTTTTACCGTATCCTTTATTTGAAATCTTTTCTTGGCAGTGCACATTCGTGCTTTGTCTATTGTTAATCATGGATCATATTTGACACAGTCCTGTTTTCATCTTATTGAAGCACAGTGATATTGCTTTCAATGCTACTCAGCCTACATTTGAGGGCAGTAGTTTCTACTCATTATTCTCCTATTTAATTTTGAACCATTCTTTTATTTTACGTTTGATTAACTTAATCAAGGGTACGATCGTAAATTATTGTTCAGGATATCTTAAAATAAATCCATCTACGGTGACACTAAAACATGTTTCCGGTTCATGACGTTATTGAATATCAGTTTAAACCATGTCAGAAGATGAATTTTTCTCGACTGAGTCCTTTGGATTGCCAAACTTATTAACGTCGTACAAAATTGTGCAGATGCTATTTTATTATTTTCTAGAGTTTAAACATTCATTTTGTTCAGTTATTCTCTCTTCTCCTGAAATTCTTTAGTGCAGAATTACTTTTTTTTGTTTTTTAACTGTTTTTCTGCATTGTAAGAATGCAAACTGACACAGTTTGGTGCCACAGGATACATTCAACCTGTCTGCTTGTAAATTATGAAAGCGAGGAGTACATTTCCACTTGAAGAATACTTTGTACTTGTTAACAATGTTTAGTGTTTAACACTGATGGAAAGATATAAGTTACCCTTTTGGGTTATAAGTGGTTATCCAGCATACGAAACAGTATGTTTACGATGAAGTGATATAGACCAAATACTCATATTGTTAGGAAGAGAACTGAAAGAAGTAAAACAATAAACTTGAACAGTTCATCTTCATAACTTATTATTTATATTCATAGGAGATTTTACAATATCGGTTCCTCATCAGTTTTAGGAGTTCTCTTGATATTACTGAATCATGATGATTAGCTGTCGCTTGACTACTCGAATACCTGGGATTATTAATAAACCAACCCTAAATGAAAATTAACACCTAGTGAAATGTTTAAAGCCATCACTGAGTTATTGTTCTATGTCTGGTAAGTCGTGTTGGGATGCAACACATAACTTAGAAATCAATTACATCGTAGTGTTATAAATTAAATGAGTACACATATTTTGAAGATTTGTATATACCTGTGCTTTCGTCTCTATTAATAGACAACGGACTTAGCCATTGAACAAACTCTTACAAACATTGACACATTTGTAAAACTCACTCACTTTTGTCCAAGCATTACACAAACTGCTTCCATAACAGTTTGTACCAACTGTGGAGGCTTGGTAAACACGCGAATTTCTGATATGTCATTTTTATCCAACGAATCAAGTGCTTTGTTAGCTGCCTCAAGTGCTGGAATCGCCTCATCTAAATCACGTTGGGCATCATCAGCAATAATTTGATTTTCGGCAGCTTTCTGTTTAGCCAAAGCTTCATCTTCTTTCACGCGATTACGAACACTATCGGCCTAAAGAGAAAGAGTGAAGAAACAAAAGACAAAGGTGTTATTCGTATAAGATTGAGTATTAATATGTTGCATTTGTGAATAAAAGAATCTGCCGTTAATTCTAGTGATTACGATAAACGGATTTTTTCGTGGTTTATTCAAACGAATCATTTTTGGCTATTCTATGCTTTTTCGGTTCACAAACTGATCGATTAAACTTGCCTTTCTTACAGAAGCTCTGAGAATGGTATCAGTACTACTCACTTTGTAATTCTTCACTTAGCAAACAAACAGATAAATTCAGTAGCCTGAAATATTTTCATATCTTCTATTTTCACTGTCATTGTACTGGGGGACTGCTTAGTGGTGAACTGTGCTTTCTATACCAAATCTTAATGTTTTCCAGTGGTGTTCATGGTGCGAATACGTGAAGAGCATTGAGTACTCGTACTGAGATCTCTTTAGCTACCAGTACATTACTACTGAAACTCCCCGAGTAGGTACAACGGCCAAGCCATCTAATTACATAATGTCTCTACCATGGCCATCGTAAAAAGTCAGTGGTGATTTCTCCGTTACCTTTCTTACCCAATCTTCCTCTCTATTCCCGTTGTTTTTACGTTTTTCGATTTCTGTCTGCACTATTATGGTTTTTATCCCAACTTCCTGCCTCTTTTGTTATTATCACACTTCCAATCCCTGATTGAAAACAAAAAGTCAATTTTCAACATAATAATGATCCTACTGTGTTTCTATCCCATCTTCCTGGTTATTACATTTTGACCTTTGGCCAGAAACAGTTCTGGAACTTTCACACCCATTTTCTATAAATACACAAATGTGCAGCCCAGTTAATGACTTCGTAGAAAAGAAAATTTTCTTCGCTGCAACTTTTTTAAAATATTTCCTATGATCTGATGTTTTGCTTCTTAAATAAGTTTCTTAGCTGATCCTTTTTTAAACCACGATCTGAGAATTGTAATCGGACTTTTACTTATGGTAATGAAGTGAATGTAGTTAGTATGTTCACCAAAATGGAACTATTTCAATTGAGTACTTTATGTCAGTGAAATTATCTCCCAATGTATTCTTAAAAAGTCATCATCAGTGTATCTACAAAAAGGGTGACAGAAAATGTAGCAGGGAACACCTATGACAAACCAAAAATAGAAATTCTGTAGAATCTCTGGTAAATTTTAAAAAGGTAAAGTAAGGAGAACTAAATGGTGATGCTCACTTATCCAACACTTTATTGGCTGTCAGGCTATGTCATTCTATGTCTCAACCGTGTGGAGCAAATTCCTTCTTAAAGGCACCAATAGTGATGGAAACCGCGGAAGGAGGACCTGACTATTCCAAACCACACAATGTAGGAAACCTCATTACTGTATTGTCAGCTTCTCTCTATATCACACAAGCCAACAATCAGTGGCCTCATGGACTGATTCCATCTTTTGTTCTGACTGTTTTTAACTCTTTTCTAACTTAATCCAATTCTCGCCAGTATTGCTTGCTTAAGAGGGCGGTGGTTCGGTAAGCAGAGCACATGTTGCCTAAACTGACGTAGCTTAATAACGTCGTCCACTGGATTTCCAATCCAACCTAACATTCGAAGACAAACTTAAACATTACTGAAAGTGTATCTCCACGTAGTGTGAACAAATAAACGAGGATGCAAATTCCCAAATAACTGAAGTGATCAACACATCCAACCAGTTCATCATCTGTCTTCAACCTAGAAGAATGTAGTAACCAGTCATGAAGCACCATCTTGCATCTGAAAGGGTCAAGATGCGTGACAAACACGGGCAGATTTTGTTCAAAGTGTCAGCTTCTTCAGCTAAAATGACAACACAATCTGCATACGCCAAACAAACACGACTTTTCCCTGGTACCAAGCCAATACTAGGGGAAAGATATGATGAATGCACGCTAATCTAGACTTGAAATCTCACAGTGTTTTCCTATTAGTCTGACTTGGTCCACATACAGCTGTGAAGTCTTAGGCACTAAATTAGTCAGAGCTAATTCTCCAGCAAGGAGAATTTTCTCCCTTCTTTATAAACTGAGTTAATGTATATCAATAGTGGAACTCCAGCCTAGCCTTATGAAAACCCCACTTAAAAAATTCGAGTTCTTCGTTGGATATCAAATGAATAACATCAAAGTTAAATTTAGTGTAGTACAAGGGTGCAAAATAAATAGGGATCAAGTAGAACAGGCTAAGAGGAATCCGAAAAATATCAGTGGCAACTATAGCAATTACTTTACCTGTTCTTGATCTTCACTCAACTTAATCATTAGTTTTTCCGTATCGCGTTGCTTGACTTCAAGTGTCGGTCTCATTGCTGTCAATTCCACTTCCATTTTTGCGATTAAATCATTTGTTTCCAAAATCTTATTCAAACCATTGCGAAATTTATCTCTGCCATCCAATAATTCTCTGGGAAAAAACAGAATAAAAATTAGATTTCAGAGAGTTTACTGGTTAACTGAAAACCTAAGAAAGTCGCATATTTGTCAACTATCGCTTGATGACGTTCACCTCTTGAGCTAACTTATCTCCACCAGGTACCGAATGGACCAGCTATGCAAATAATAAAGTTAAACTATTACTCGTGAGTCTAATCCAGCAAGGTAAATTCTACAGTTTTGACGCAGAATAATAAGGAATGGGCTCTTGAAATAAACATCACTTTCTGTTATGGGCCACTGATGATTGCAGAGGTCTCCTGAAGATTCTTCCAAGCCAACTAAATAACCACTGAGCTTGACTCAGAATAAAAATTATTCACATGAAGAGAAAAAAATGTATTCAGTTTTAGTTTAGGTAGCATTATCATTTATTTAATTTGTTATTTAATAAACCACCGAGTGATATTGCTTCCTTATGGGAAATTTGTCCAATATCGTATAGATTACTTGCATCCGAAGTTGCGAACATTCTGAAAGGCATAGTATATCACCACGACAGTATAAAAATGAATAGTAGGTAATTTCAAAGCTGAATTCTGTCCTATGGATTGATTAGACTAGGCTCCACTAATAAGTCTGTGACGCTTTTACTATCTTATCAGTTATTGTGCAATTAATAATTGATCATTTCATCTTGATTCATTTGGTTTGGAATTCAGCTGACTTGGGTTTCTGGAGAAATCATGGTTGGATTAACTTTGATATCTTATTTTCGGCTTGTCAGTGCGTGACTTGATCAAATCAGAAATATTTACCCTTATCAACCAACTAAGTATTTTTAGCAAGTTAAATAGAAAATGAAATTATTTCTCGAATTCTGTTCAGTGTTGCGAAGATTATTTCAAGTCTCAGACAAAGCCTATTGGCGATTTCACCTTAGAAAAGCTTAATTATGCTAGCTGTATCCAGTAAGAGACTGAACTGCCTATCAAAGGAAGGACAGATCTGTTATGCGGCAGTTTGCTCTATCCTGCTTTCTAGCTTCGAGAGACGACCACTAAAATAGCTTTCCTCTGACAGCAGGTCATTTAATTCGTTTCCGCGTGGTATACAGTGTGCAGGTTAATCATCAGGTGTAAGATAACAGGAGCAAATCAACCAATGTGATCATTAATCTACATTTACCGAAGTGGTTGGGATATATTCTACTGATTTAGAGTTTCTAAATCACTCAGTTGTTGCTACTACTGTTAGAGCAAGTTAAAATTTTTAAAAAATGCAAAAATACTCACTTGATTCGCTTGTTTAGCATAGTGGTATATAATTCAAGTAGTTCCAAGTAGCTTGTAGGTGTAGTGTAGTAATGTCGTTTCAGCTCAGCATAAAAACGTTCAGCTGTTTGTGAGACACTCAAATGAATATCAGTGGATAATTTGGACACAGCCTCCTTTTAATGAGGGGAAAAAGTAATCAAGAATAGTTTGTAAATCTCTCCTGAACTAACCAAACGAGTCGTTTGTAATTTTTAATTTCAAAAAATGACATAAATCAGCAGAGTCAAGCTTACTTCTTTATTCTACTAATCAAACTTAAATTTTGGCACTACTCAGTGAATAAGTTTCAAAACATGGAGAAAAGTGGAAACCAATGTAGTCTTTAGAGGTTTGCTTAGTCTGAACCAAGACCTCATCTTAAACTCATGGACTGTGCTGCCTTAGGCATTTTGTGATACCATAAAATCATAAATTCGATGTTCTTGTGATTGAATTGTTGAAGAATGTAAGGATGTATTACTATAATTCCCTTAGTTCCCCAGTGGAACAAGGGATTTCAACAGCACATCTCCATTTCACACTTTTCTGTATCATCCTTTTATCTGATCCTACGATGGCCCACACGCTTTAATCCCCTCCTCACATGATCGCCCCCATGTCACCGTCATACACCTACCTCGCCACTGCTCATTAGGCTTCCACTCGTCGGTCTCGCACATGATTTCATTCAACGGTCTCTTCAGTGTGAGTCTGATCCACCCCACTATTCTTCAGCATATTTTTTGGCAAAAAGGTTATTGGTTGGCTTGTGACCAGAGTCCCTTGCTGCTTATCCATTGTGGATGGCCATCTGGTCATGAGTATGCAGAGAAGGAGGCTGATGATGAAAGTCCGGAGCAGTGTGTTGGAACTGCTGTTGATGACACTCCACCTCCAATAACCAGTTCATTTAAGCCACAGAAGTGTGCGAAGAGTTCTCCGTTCTCATTTATTTCACCGAAGGGCTTTCAGTCTGTGATGAGTACTCTTCATTTATTGTCTTCTTCCAGTTTAGCATTCATAGAATCCAATTATTATTATTCTTATTGTTCCCTTGGGTTCCTAGCGGAACATAGGGCTTCAACTGCACGTCTCCACTTGCTTCTCTCTTCTGCTGTACTTTTCACTTGCATCCATGTTAGTCCATACTGTTTCAACTCTTCTTCACACGATATCCTCCATGTCACCCTTGGACGTCCCACTCGCCGCTTCCTTTTCGGGTTCCACTCGAGGCCCTGGGGAGTGGTGCTAGCAACTCCACCCCCAAAACTTAACCAAACTGCTACAGAAACTTCAACGCACAAATATATTAAAAATCCTAAAAACATAAAATCCAATAGTACTTTGATATCACCATTTGGTGTCCCGTCCACTTTTGTTTGCAGGTGTCTGTAGAAGTCTAACTTATTTTATTTTTCTGCGTTGTTTGTGGGTGCATGGGATTGGGTAGTTGTTGAATCTTGCTGTCACTGTCCTGAAGGAGATTGGTTCTCATTGCATAAGAGCTTTGGATGCTGTTGGCGACATCATGATAGCCACTCACTCCCTCAGTGTGCTCGCGGTTATCATCTAGGAGACCAGAGCAGATTTCTGACTATCCTTTTAACAATTTAAATAGTCCACACCGATTCCGTCTACCCCCATAGATTTCTAGTATTTCTATGCCATATCTTCTGATTACTTTAGCAGCTTGAGTAGCCTTCCCAGCTTGGTACAGAGTGTCAACATTTCACATCTACATGCTTACTTTTACTTTGTCCGAAAGCAGACACATCGGCTGACTGACTTTCCTAAGTCATCCACCAGCCTGGATCACTTCGTCACTCAGATTCCAGCTAAGATTAAGCTGGTTTTGTACATTCACTTAGCATTTCGGAAATTCTGTAATTATTAGGTTGGTTTTCGGGGATAAAGCTGCTGGCCTCACGCCCAACCCTCCCTCTTTTTCCAGTCTTCGGACTGCCTAATAAACTAGGAGAGCGTGTAAGCATGTACTAGATGGAAGTATTTGTTAATACCCTTGGTTCTTATTGTTCCACATTATCACTGTAGGGTGCATATCAATTTCATCCTTTTTTATGACACGTTTGTGAAACAAGAAAAGCAGAAATTAGTAAGTATTTAACCAGTAGCGTCCTTGAACGTTCTTTTACACACGGTATAACCACAGACAGGATGAAACGTTAGATTTAAAAGTCAAGCTGCTTAAATACATTACGTTCATCGATTGGCTAAGATAACGTCATTATAGTTCTTTTTTATCAGCAGCAGTGGGGATAAATTGGTTAGTCTTCTATCGAGAAGGAAATTTGTTTTATAAAAACAGAAGTAGAAATTGAGCAGTGTAGTAAAGTATACTTTGAGTCTAATTATTCATATCTTTAAGAAGACGTTATTTGTTTAATTAGTTTCCATGACCTCTAGTGCATTTTCTTCACGTGGTCCCTTAGACAGCTGAGTTCTGACTTTCATGAAGACCTTCCTACAACCACCAGCCCTATGTTAATTCTCTATCTGAATAATTACATTTTTCACTCAATAAATAAGTTTTTCAATATAAATCGGTTGTTCGTAGGATTGCTTTAGGACGACATTTTTTTGTTTTTGTTAAGTGATCGCTAAAACAGTTTTTTCATTGATGACTCAGTTGTGGATGTGTTTATATCGCTAGTGTACCTGAAAAATAAAATTCATTACTGCAAATATGCATCAAAACATAGACTTAAGACAGAATGATAAAACAATAAAGCAATATCTATTAAGCGGGATAGGGTCTCTATGCTTTCGATATTGCTAAAGATAACACCGAAACTAGCTGCTGTTTTGAACCTCATTCGGAATGTTGATGCATCTACGGAGGCGTTTCAAACAGATGCGCATCAAAAACACGGAACTTGCACTTAATTTATAGTCGCTATGAAACAAAAAACAATAGTGATATTTATATTTCTACAAAAAAATTCTACTTCAAATGACAGCAAAAGTCAGTAGATACCCAAACACTATTTAATCAAATAAACTGAATAATTAGCAACTACTCATTTTAAGTAAGTAAACTTACTTTCATCTCATCTGAACTGAAGTCAGCTTGTGAAAAGGCAAACTTCGCAACACTATACAATGCGTCTTCAGGCCATTCAACAAACCAATCAATTGTACAGCAGTTTACCAATGATGGAAACATTCTGCAGCGCACTCGGAAATTTGAACCAACTGGTGACATACACAGGACGATATGAAGGTTATTACGTACACGATTGATGCAGAATTCATAAATTGCATCACGATTTCCCTCAGCAATACCAGCATCTTTAGCAGCTGGTCGACACCCAATTATCAAACGTTCATATTCATCACTTTCAAATAAATTTGGTACTTCACCGGAATTTAATATATTATTAATATCTTCAAGGAATTCTTCTACAATTATTTGATTATCTGTGAATAAGAATACAGTTGGTTTATTTTCCACTCCAGCTGAAATATACAATCTTTTTAAATCTTCATGAAATGATGAATAGTCGTAACCACGACATAATTCAATCTGGAAACATTTGTATTCATTAATATGAGCGGCTAACCTAAAGTACAGCCAAAAACAAATAAGAGAAAACAATTAAAACCGCATCCAGCATATTTCTGATTCGGTCAAGTAGTAAGAAAACAATGAATGAATTAAGATATAATTATCTCAATCTGTTTGGAAAGTTCAGTTGAATCTAATATACCGTTAATCAGTTGATAATCCAAAAACTTATAGGTGACAGTCCAATAATAGTTCCTAGTATGTCGCTAGACTGTTTTAATCCAGTGATATGACAATGTCCAGATTGTAATTCATCGGTAATAAAACATTTTTCCCACTAAGTAAATTCGTAAACTTGTATGATGGAAGCTTAACAGTGTGAACATACTAGTGAATAGAGATGAAACATCAAGTGATGCCATATATTTGCCAAATGCGTTCAAGTTTTTAATCTTGTCAATAGATTGAAAAGTATCCTTGACGCTATGCCTCACTAACTCGTCATGCAAGGGTTGAAGTAGCGGTACTGCCCACTTTGCCGTTTTGTCATAAGGTGAATGAGACATGTCTAGTATGGGACTTAGGGGCACTCATGATTTATGCACTTTCGGTACACCGTACGTGCATGAGATGGTGCTCTTTGTAGATTTTGTGTCTTCGTAGGATTTTGGTGGTATATACCCTTCACCTTTCAAATCCTTCAATAGGTTTGTGATTTCTCTCTCTAATTTTTCCATCCGATCTGAATTTTAATATCTGAATTTTGTTGATATAGTGTACGATGAAGGATTACGTAGTGATTTGATTTTGTGCAACTTCAATAATGCTCACACAGCAGTCCATTTCACCTATGAACGAGAATACAAAGACTCTTCACACTTCATCGACGTCATACTAACGAGAAGAGGGGATGGTTCCGTCAAAAAACCATATTTGGAAAGCTAGAGATCAAAGCTTAGTCTATACGCTTCCTTAGCTTCGTAACGATGAAATACAAATGTAATCTGATCAGGTGCTTAGCATTTAGATCGAGGTCAATTTGTTCCGAAGACTGTGTGGAGAAGCAACTCCAATTCATCCGAGACATTCTAAGTGAGAACGAATATCCAGAGAAGTTCATTAAAGCCAACATAGGTTTCAATTGCTGCAAACGTGAACTGGCAACATTGGAAAATGCAGGGAGATACTCCTGCATAGATTCTATAGCAACGTTTAACCAGGACAATAAGGAAAACTTTCTACTCTGTACGTCTGTTCCCATTCTTCAGTAGCCATCAAATGTTCACCCAGCAACTCAAAGATGTCTTAATTAACCTTAGCTCTTCTTCATGCAAAATACCATTTCAACTGTTCTTGTGGTTCAAGTTATATAGGGCGCACGATTAGGCAGGTTCATATACGGGTTCGAGAGCATGTGCCAACTTGGTTCAGCAGGGGGAAATTAAATGCATAAAAAGCTCGATCCTGTCACAATTGGTCGGTACTGAACATAGCATCGACGTCAACACAGCTTTCAGGGTTATATACCGAATTCCGAAGTCATTTTCACGTACAGTTTGCTTACGTCTGCTACACATAGCTGAAGCTGTTGCAACAAGATCGACTAAACCGGCAACGAGGAGACAGGCATGAGATGGACCCACACAAAAAACTTGCAGGATCTAGACTTTGCCGATGATAAATGTCTGATTTCCCACAAACTGGAAGATATGCAAGTGGAAAGCAACAAGTTGGCAGAACAAGCATCAAAGATAGGAATTCAGGTGAACATAGAAAAAACAGAGGTGATGAAGATTCCTGGGCAACACCAACAGCAACAACAACAGACAACAATCAGCATAAATGGAAGGAACCTGGAAGAAACAACCTTCTTTACCTACCTGGGAAGCATCGTTTCAACTACAGGCGGAACTGACGAGGATATCAAAGCAAGGATCGGGAAAGCAAGACAAGCTTTCACTACTCTCAAGTCTGTGTGGAGGTCAACAGCACTCAGCATCAAAAATAAGATCCGGATTTTCAACTCCAATGTGAAGTCAGTGCTACTTACTATACGGATCAGAGACTTGGCGCGTCATAAAGAGCATCTCAAACAAACTACAGACCTTCATTAACAGTTGTCTTCGCTCAATACTCAAGATCAGATGGCCAGAAAAGATCAGCAACAGAGATCTCTGACAATGAGCGAACCAACCAGGAACCGATTGTGAAACAAATAGGCAGGAAGAAATGGAGATGGATTGGCCATACTCTGAGGAAACCATCAAGTGACATCACTAGATAAGCCCTCGAGTGGAACCCGAAAGGGAAGCGGCAAGTTGGTCATCCAAGGGTGACCTGGAGGAGGTCATGTGAAGAGGAGAAGAAAGCATGTGGGCAGACTTAGAGTCAGGTGAAAAATCTAGCAGAGAACCGAACACAATGGAGACGCGCGGCTGAAGCCCTATGTTCCTCTAGGAATTAAACGAAATAGTAATAATAAACTGGAACTCTGTATCCAAAAAGAACACGTCCAGACACTCTTCTTACCGTGGCCAAACTTCGATTAATGATTCTTCTTCTCACCAAGAGTACTTCTTCCCCTTAACCCTCTTGGTTGTTTTCTTTCTTTCTTCGCTTATTATTACAATTATTTTTATTCGTCATAATTTATACCCTTCATGCAAACATTCTCTCAATACCATTGAATTTTCCATTTATACTATCCGGACTTATTGTTAGTGATATTATCCCCTTTCTCAGTATATGCCTTCACCCGTTTCATTTCACACATTCGTCATTTCATTATGAACCTCTCATTGCAGTCTTACTATCTCCCCTTTAAATACATACCACTTTGTACTAACCACTCACCTGACACCGTCTATAACCTTGAACTGACTTGTCAATTTTCCTACCCCACACTCCACAAATCTATTATGACTAATCACCACCATTGTCTCCCATTTTACAATATTTTGTTGTAGATTTCACGTTTGTCACACAAATACTACTATTTATTTTGACACCCCATAACTAATCTGTTATTCTACGTAAAAAATGTATCCGCCGCATAATTGGCCATTATTGTAAGGATAAGAAATATTATATTTTTTAAGTGTAAGAACCTGAAGAGAAATTATCGAAAAGAATATCATTCGTTCAGATTAGCTTTTAAAGAATTACAAAATGAGACGGTGACTTAACGGACACAGAAGACAATTATCACTGGTTAATCAGAACTGTAAGCAGAACCTGGCTTTCAATTGAACGAAAAACTTATATGCATTTCAGAGCGAACGTTTCCCAGTTTACGTCTTAAAAATAAGTTTAAATATTCAACTTCGATTCTATAAATGTGTCATGCAGTTGGACAAAAACTATTTTGTCTGCACTAGTTAAAAACAAATTCAAATTAAATCCTAATTTGTAAAATTGTTCGGAAAGTTCCATCTTAGAGGCCCGAAAAAGACAGTGACGATGACTCAGTTATAGCTACATATACAAGTTATTTGTGTTTTTAGTCGACAGACGAGTGCCAAAATTAAGATCACTGCTCGCTAATTACTTTACAGCATATAGGTGCAAAAATATTTTGTGACGTATTTCATCAGTTGATCCACTTCGTGACATTTTTACTTTCCCACTGTGTAGGGGTGTCTCCCAAAGCAAGGCTATTCGTTGTATTAGCCTTACAAGGATATCCACATGTTGAGCTCATCTTTGTCTCCTGACTGGTTCGTACAGTGTGAGAGCTATCCAGCTTACATTATACAAACAGCAGTTTAAAATACAACTTGTAAATTACCATCTTAACTAGATGAATTATGGAAACACATTTAAGAAAATAAAAGCAATTTGAGTTTACCTTGTCAGGGATTGTTTTCCTGTACCACCAACACCGACCAACAATGCATTGCCTCTGTCTTGTCTAATCATTCGTGCAATACGACAAACATGTTCAACGGCATCAACAAAGAAGACAAGTTTCACATCTTTTGACATAACTAAGTTGTAATCGTCTAAATACTAGAAAAGAAGTATCAATGAACTAACTGACAGGAAGTCTAACTGATTAAGTACAAGTTACGCAGAAACTCATTATAATTGATTTTATTAATAATATATGTGGTTATTTGCATATATATATATATATATTAATATAAACTAATTAATTCATATAACATCCTTATTGACTGAACGACTTTTTAAGTTCTGTACTTTATCACGTATCACAAATAAGACTGTATAGCTTGAATATTAAGTTGTTGAACAGAAATATGCCTCCGATGAATAAATCTTTGTTTTCCTTATTCTTAAATAAATCGGCATACTTCCATAACAACGTAGTTATTTAGTCCTAAGTTTGTCGACTAGACTATTTTGACCAGGTGAGCAATTTGGCCACTAAACTTGATAATACAACTGTAGTGATCATTCAGCACTTGTTGAATCATATTTGAATTAGGCTTTGAAAATGACAGTTGCAATTACTCAGAACAATATGAAAATCGACAATTGTCTTCACATTTTCGAACCATAAAACTATTTCAACAGCTGATGTGTTTTCCATATATTTTTTATAAAATGTAGTATGCAGCTTCACTTGATTTATGTATGGTCAAGAGATGATTGCTTTGGTATCAGCTCACTAAGGTTTTTGGAGAGTCTCTCTCTCTCCCTTAGTCTCATTTAGTAGAGTTTCATGAAGAGTCTGTATGTAGCACAGAAACTCTTTCTTACTTTTCTCATGATGAAAATGGAAGATTTAAAAACAGTAAAGCTGTAAAATCATAGGTGTTAGGTGTAAAGTGTGAGATTAGGGATTTAAGTTAGGTAGTGAGGTTATTAATCTTCATTGATGAAGATGAAAGATCCATCGGTAACAAATAAACATGAGTTGTCAGATCTAAAGAGGGCAAAAATCTACAGAGTCAATAAATACTAGTTTAGGAAGTATGATTTATCTGATCACGATTATCAAGATGCTAAGACTCAGTGGTTGGAAACTTTAAATGATACACTCGAAATCGTTCATGGAGGAGCACATATTTGTACTTTTTAGATTATGAGTTTTGTGGGGATCTGAACTAATTTCAGAGCATATGCCTTTGATCGTCTTTAGAAAACCTTCATTGATATTTATTTAGGACGCGAAATGAAAGCAAACAGTTTGACAAAGAGACTGTTCAGTAACTGCTGATTCAGTATACTTGTGCTGTTTCAATTTCACTGTCTATCCATGCAGAAAAGGTACATTCACACTGAAGACAACGTTAAAGTTTGAGTGAAATAGTGGTCCACTGCTCTGTGGCTTAAAATTCATGACAAATACATATGCATCTGTTGAAAATTTATAAGAACAGACAAAAATTTAGCCAAGAAGATTAATGCAGGATCTGGAGCTAACATTCAAAATTTCATGCATCACACTATCACTAAATTAGAAGCGCAAATGCAAGTGAACAAGAGGTCAAATCATAAAAATGTATAAACTTACATCCATTAATAACGATTTCAGCTTTTCAATATCATACAACTCCTCATAATATCGTTCTGCCCGGGGAACACCAGGTCTTAAAAAGTCACCGAATAGTATTGGATTCTTGGAAAATGTTTCTGGTTCAATTGTCTAGAAGTAAGAGATTTAAAGTATCACTAATTCAATATAAAGAGATAAATATTATACCTGAAGGAGCCGGTACAATTAGCTCCATTGTTCAGAACCCAAGCAGTTTAAAGAAGGATTCATGTAAACAAGAAGAATCAAGAAATGAGAATAACAATATGAGCAATTATAGTAAATTTATTCATCAATATTTCTATGATCAACTGAAAACATTATATGAAGCTAAACTGGTACTCAGCTTGTCCACTAAACATGCACTTGCACACAGGGTTGAGGATTCATTACCAATGATAGCCTCATAGGTGCATATTTATGAGTTAGACTGCTGCTGAAGGGCTAGTTCCATAAGCCGCACTGAGGGGGCCTTATCTATCCATAGGCTTGAACATGTATTTCTATGGTTGGATGAAGGGGCAACCAAATGCATAATAACAATGTCATATCTCTCTTAACTTAGAACTTAGGAGTGACGTACTTAAAAAACTGGTTGACAAGACCACTAAGGAAAATATTTTTTGCTGTCACTCTAGGAATAACTTACTGCAGACTTCCACTGGCGAACTTTAGTGTCAAGGTAAGGTTACCTCGATTATCCGATTCCTATGTGTATTTATATATTCACCTGCTCTTGTGGAACTAGGTACCTGGGACGTTCATTGAGAAAGATATTCTGTGCGTCTGAAAACAATTCTCAGGTTGGCTGAGCAATGGAGTGAGTAAAGCCATTACACTCATCTATATTGTAATTTACAGTAGATAATAATCACACAGCATCTGATGCATCTTCTAACATAGTTTACAAAGACCGATAAAGTTTGCCGAAAAGGGGATGAGTGTTTTCGCTTTGTAAAACTGAAGATCTGGTAATACGTAGGATAACGCCAGAAATTTGTGTGGTAAAACAATCTGTTCACAAAACTTTTTTTAATCGATTTCATTTTGTTTTATTTTACTTCGCATCACAAAGTTTATTTCATTTATTTTATTATATTTGCGACACTTATTTTTCTATTTTATTGAATTTGAACATGAAGAATTCACATATTCGCATTTCCGAGTGTACTTAATCATCTCGCCATCCAATTTACGCATGTCTATTGGACTTCGTGTTGACCATTACATATTCATATTGCCTAATCAGTCTGTGACCCAAAATCATCTATACCAGCATTATCGCTCTCTAGTATTTCCACTAACTGGCAAATTCTAACATTCACACACAAGGTTCTATATGAAAGGTTTCGGTGACTAAAAGTAAACTTCATGTTGCCAGTTATTCAAAAGGCGTAGGATTATGAGTGAACTAGTATTTAAACACATTTATTCTGATGTATTTGAATAGCTTAGCAACCTGCTGTTTACTTTCAGTTTTTTTGGTTCATATAAAGAAAGACTGACTGAAGAAGCCCTAAAATACATAAGTAGGTCCCAAAAGTTTGATGTTAGCCGATGCATAGCCAGTTCTGATCAACAAACAAGATGATACGCATCATGCTCAATCTATTTCCCCGATTATCTTAGTTATTGTAATTTTGATTAGTTTCCCTGACAAAGATCGGAACAGTATGCCGAACGCAATCGTCGGGATTATTTTTTTCAATTCTGGCGAGATTTTACAAATATGAGCTTTACATATGTTTACTTTTCACTCGAAGCCCAGTTTTTGTGGAACTATTCGGTCAAATCTTGTTCACAGTTCATATAAGGTTGTTAATCTTTATTGTTTTCATATATATATGTATATATGAAAATGAAATCGTCGAAATGTGGATTGTCTTCGCTTAAAACTCTTTTTTATACATTACTGATCTAGGAAATAACACGTCAAAGGTTTGATCTGCATTATTATAGATGCAATCATTCAACTGTTTGATCTAGAAGGTATTTATCTGCCCTAGAAGCAGAACTGGATCTTCTGAAAGAAACCTTCATCCAAAATGGATACCCTCCAAATTCGTTGACAAAATATCAAACCAAATGTCCAGAGGAACGAAACATCACTTGTTTCGAAAAAGATACTTTACATGAATCTGGATTTCAAGGGAGACTGAGCTTGCGATATCCTCAAGAGAAGAATTTCAGCATCTTTGAGAAGAACATTCTTCGCAGCAACGCTAAGAGTAGTGTTCTCCAGTATTCTACTAATTTGCAGAAGCCTTAAGGTCAAGATCTTGCATATGGCCACTTCTATGTGTATATATCAGTTCGCCTGTTGCTGTGGAGCCAGGTATATTGATTGTTCGACGCGTATGCTGTCCAAAAGGGCTCAAGAACATGATCTCGCATGGCTGTAAAAAGGTAATAGTCGCTGTATAAGAAGTGCAATAATCGAACATCTCATCAACACTGATCATTCCATCTCAACAAACGCCTCCTGCTTCAAAGTAATTTACAAAGTGAAGAACAACCTATCAATGGCAATACGCTTTCGTCTCACCTTTGTATTGCTGAAGCCTTAGCCATTCAGTTGGAGAAACCCGAGTTATGTATACAAAAGAAAATCATTCAACCACTTCTACTATCTTGGTAACAACGTGTTGACTTCTGCTAAATTGATGTTTGTGTGCTCGTTTATTTTTAAACTCCTGATACCATTTGTAATTTTTAGAACTCTTACATAATTCCATATTTTCCTTTGTTTCTGTGTGCATCCTAATCACAGCTCACTCATTAAACTATTCATCTTACTGCGTAACTGTATCACGCTTATTCAACTTCTTTTATGTGTTGATTGACATTAATAACTATGTTTCTTCACAACACATCAACACTACCCTCTTACCAATCTTCACCCCTCCTAGTTACCATTTTATTACTCATCACATGTCTTTGAAATGTCTTGACAACAGTAACCCTTACTTATTGTTATTCTTATCGGACAAACGTGATGTACACACACAACAAAATAAGTATATATAATTGCGATTGTACAGCTAAGTGAATGAATTCGCCAAAAAGAGACTCTTCGTTGAACTACGTGTTTTGTTTTCATTAATGTCTAGATGGGGATTATTCATCAAATGTATGTACACTAAATGTTTTAATCTGAAGTACTTGCAGTCTAGCACAATATTCAAAGAACTACTCATATTGTACGTTGAAGACTACAAATCATATTTCAAATAATTCCAGAGTTACCAATGTACTGTACAAAAAAAGGAAAAAGTAGTTGAAACATACCTCACCAAAGTACTTTGAGGCCATATCTGAAAGAATTTGGTTGAAAAAGTTCTTATCTTCTTGATTTATCAGTCGATCATGAAATACACGTTGAGCTTCATGGTAAAACAGTTTACTTAAGGTTTGTTTGTCGCGTACAATATTCAAATCACCTTGCAAAACCCCTTTAAGGTAAACACAAGAACCAGTTGTGTATGGATGTAAATAAAATGTTCTAATGAGGAAGTGCAATTGGAAAAGTATCATCACATCAGTAGAATACATATAACTTTGTCACAAAATAATTGCATGGCTTTTGTACCTTTAAGATGTACGAAAGTTAGCTGATGTCTTGAATTGAAATACAAGGATGTTACAGTCCACTGGAAGGTATATCCCAGTCTTTGGAATATTGGAATTTTATCAATAGTACACTTAATCACTCACACTGTCAGTATGTTAATGCAAGAAAGAACTGGAAAAATAAGGTCTCAAGACATAGTGCTTCGCAGTATCCAGCCGGTTAAAAACAACAATTCTGAAGTGGTTATCCTTGTCGTTCTTCTTATTTGAACGCTCTTCACTTAAAACTGCACGCTATAGTATTCGACGACTAAGGGTGAGTAATATGCCCCAGTCACTACAGTATAGAAGCGGTTTACCAGTTTATTGGGTGATATACACCATTCACCTAAGACTCTTCCTTCAACTTCAGTATCATGCGCCAGAGAAATTAAAAAAACATTTTCAAGTCTTCTGATTATAATGACCATTACTCATAATCAAATACTGGAATGTACCAGTTACTATGCTGTGCTTTAGATTGTAAATCACTCGTCGGATAACTTACAGATACCTAGTGGTTTGTGGTAACTCGCTAAATAAATCTTTAATAAGTAAATAATTACTGTCACGTATACACGTGAACAGGATTAACACATGAACTTTCACATTGATGAATTCTGTCACTTCCTCAAGTGAAGAACTAAAAACATTTGAGATTCTCAAAAAGGTGTGTATATGTTGAGATGAACAACAGAATTCGGGTACTGTAGTAGAGTATAGTTTTATCATAGAAAAGATTTACCAGATAAAAGCACACAGTAATACAGAATGATTTATTGATGATATTCCGAGCATAATTTTCTGCTCATAACCGTGTCAAGGCACTCTCTCAACTTATTTTGTTGAGTCGGCTGAGTAGGGCCCTTCAGCCTCCAGAGCATTTTCCTGAGTGAGTTTGTAGGTTTACATGCCATTCTAATTCACGCTTTATTAAGAATCCACGTAGGGTTTCAGATGTCCCTCCCTTATATGGAGAAGTTTTAGATGGCTTTAATTCTTCCCAGTTTACGTTATGGTTGACAGTTTCACTAATATTTTGTCTTTTATGATGTGAGTTTTTGAGTCTTCCTGATGGATTTTATGGGTTAATTATTTTACGTTAATACTTCTATCTGTTTCACTTTATTATTTAGGTTTTTCTATGTACTACTACTATTAATAATAATAATAATAATAGTAACAATAGCTTTATTCTGGAAAATGCGTTTACACACAATACAAAATTCTCAGCGAGTCTATTTCCGCAGGATCTTCAAATAATAAAATAATCGATGATTTATCATCTGAAGAAATATTGTTCCAGTCGAAGCTTGCTCCAATAGTTCTCCGCAATGTTCTTCCTCTATACCATTCCAGAAATTTCTCACATTAAGTAGAAACTTATTTGAAATTGTGCGCGAGTATGGATTGTGTCTCATAGGTATAACAAGATCATTAAAACAATACGAAACGGAGTAGACACGATGCATTTTGTTGTATGGAAAATTTAGCTGGCCCTATGATTTAAGCAGGCCACTGACGAATCGAGTTTTCGCTAAGCTGGTTAGACATTTGACAAAGTCAATCTTTACAGATAACGGATGAGTTGGTTTAAAGCTTAAATACCTATTAAATTGTGCCGTCGTTTTACAGTGATGCATAATTCACCTTTCCCTGTCCATTTTATTTTACAATCTAATGCAGCTAATTCTCCTTATTCATTTTCTAACTCAATGGTGAATTTAAATCCCTCTACTACTGCGTTTATATTAGTGAAGAAACTAGAGACAAGTTCTGTTTTTAACATCGTGAAATTATCATCCGCATGTCTCCAGCATACATTCGGGTTATAATTAAGTGTTTCAAGAGCCACATTTTGTCAATTGTCCATATCCACAAGTAGTTGATTCCTTTGCTCAAATATGCAAATAAACACACAACGGATAGCTTAACTTTTGAGTCGGTGCTTATTATTATGTCGGTTGACGTTAGTAATATTATATTAGTTTGATATGAATATGGGTAATAAAATGTACTTAAAATGTCATCAGTTAGTAATATTGTATCACTATGTGTTTTTATCAAGTAAAATTATTCTGTTATGAAATAATCTACCAACAAGTTCACTCACATCATGATTCAATGGCACAGAAAATATGTTAATGTTCCTTTACTAATGAAAGAATGTTTTTTGTTCAGTAATTGGGGATTTAATTATGAAGTAACTTCAGTACTTGTTATTAGCAAAAAGTATTTACATCACATACCTTGAATGCATTTTGATAAATCTCTCAGGTTGAATACGTAATGGGATTTAGCAGGTGTCGGCAGTAATTCTTTAGCCATTCTGGAGTATATCTCAACAGCAGAATTCACAACCGCGTCGCCATTATTACGGACTCCTTGAGGGAATTCAAGAAAGTAACCCTGAAAATTAAAACACATGAATGATAGAACAATACCGAGAAGCGATGGATTTCAGAAGTAAGAAACCATTAGACGATTTTCAAGTACAGTTAACAATTCGAAATTCTTAAGATTAGGGAAAATAACAGCTGTGAATTAATCTGACGCTCACTAGTGACTGACTATAGGACGAAGCTGCCTGGATTTCTAGTGAGAATCCGTGACCAGTGGCGTCCATTAGGTTGGGTGTGAGAACAAACACCTGACGATGACACTGTCTGGCGGTAGCACTAAGAATCTCCAATTGACAGAAGTAAGAATTCATGAGCCATTGGATTGAGTCCCAATGGTTGAATCATCAATAAGCCGGTCTCGTGGCCTGAAGGTTCTGGGTTCAACCACAGTTGGGGTCATGGAAGCGTACTGCTGAACAGTTCCAAATTATAATTTAACTGGGGGATGGTGACTAGCAGTGGAATCCAGGATGCGCATTTCGTCCTATTTGGGACTCGTCATCTGGATGTACCTGCATTCCCCAGTAAGTGATGATGTTCTCACCGAGGCTCGAACCCAGTGCCCATAGTTTCAAACGCCAAAGCGTTATCCACTAGACCACTTGGGCCACGATAGCCACCTCTTATGCAACGGGTCATATTAATTATTTAATTCAACTTTAGATTTTCCCGTCGATTGATTGAACCGAAGTGCTCGGTCTCAGGTTGACATGTAGAAGGCAACTGTCCAGTGCTCCCAGGTTTTCAAAGGTTCTCTAACCAATATCCAGTCAATCCTTACAAACTAACACCTGAAAATTAACAAAATATCTTTAACATGGTCTGTTAACAAAAGACGCCTAATGTATGAGGGTAGTGATTGAAGGTGAAAAAAAACATAATACGACTAACGGCTCTTGATTTACGGTCTCAATGGATCACAAATAATTACAGACCAAGTTTTAGCCCAAACTTATTTTGTATGGACTTTGAAAATTACCTTTTTTATTTGTATGCGAATTAATAATCATGTTTCTTTCTATAATCTGACTGATATTATACACCTTTCTTTGGGATCAGTCGAAGTCCTTTTCGACCTTCTGTCCTGATAAGCTCTTATTTCTATTATGATACAATGTGCTTCTAAATTTCAGACTTCTACGAGATGCTGATTGTTCTGGAGATATATGGAAAGCCAATTGCCGTTTCAAACTCATAACAACCAGTCTAGTTAAACAGATTTCATAAACTGTAATCCTTGCAAGATTTTGTAAAATCTAAGACTGCATATCATGTAAAAATTGCCAAATACTTTCAAAACCTTTGTTAAAATAATAGTATAGAATAATTTTGAACTGTTCTTATTTACTAATTTTTTGAGTGTCACTTATTTCGGACTACCCAAACTATCGCCTGACCACCTAGGAAGGCTTGTTTGAAAAGGGTATATGATAATAGATGATATATTCCAGAAAAAGAGTTCAAAGATAGTCAACAGTTCATCCTTCTAAGTGAGACATTAAACAGCCCATCTGGTAATCTAGAAGCCCTCAGTTCCTTATCTTGCCATTACTCCACTTTTGCTCCGACAATGCTCATTCAGAAGAAGATGAATATCTTGATTTTCCATTATTCTTATTGTTGACGAGATAAACACTTGGAGGAAATATTTTTCCGTATCAACGACGTACTGATGAAGTAGTTTTCGAGTTATTTGTGCATACAATCTAAGCGATTAACGATATCTAGTTAGTTATGTTCTCTGAGCCGGTTGATTTTATTGCGAAGCTTTTGCCGTCCTTCTAGACAACATCTTCAGCACAGGTTTTAGTATAAAATAAATGATTTAATTGTATCTCCTGGCAGCCATCGTCGTGACTGGTTGTTGATTTGCATCTCTATTGACCATCTCTATGGTGATTCACAGGTGTATGTGGTGTCATTTTAATAAAATTTCTATCTTATAACACTATGAAAAGAAAACATTGGTGAAACTCAAATACGATATAAATTTTTTATAAAATGACTTCATGCGGTTTTAAGTGATATCACACATGGTTGAAGAAATTCCTAGACATCTTACAAAAACCATTTATACAATTAACCTAATGAATATAAAATTATTCAACTGAGTTTCTCTCTATAAAAAGATAAAGTTGAATGCTCCTTTGAACAAACTCGGTGGGGAAATATGTTTCCAAAACACTTCTTTCCAACAGGCACTAAAAACTTCGAAGGCTGGTCATAAATCCAGGATTTAAATAAGGTATTGGCCACAAGGTTACGTGAATTAGGGCAAACTGAACCAACTTTCTTATCAATAGTGAGTATGAGTAGACTCAAATATTTGTTAAATCAGAATCCTTACAGCTCAGTTATTTGAAATATAAGTGCACTAATTGTAAACACAAACTTTGGAAATAATAAAAATATATAGCGCTAAATATTTACATTGATAATTGAAGAGAATATTTGCTTTAAGCTGGTTTCAGATGGTGGAGGTATAGCGAACAGGGAAAAATGTCTGATCAGTCTTGCAGTAACTGGATTTCTCCCACCTCCTGGTGGACCACATGCTGCACACAGTGTCATATCTTTAATCTTAATCCACTCCAGCTTGTCCCTGTCATAGAAACCGTGAAAATCTTGATATTGTCTCAATAATTCAATGGGTGGTTGACTTCCGAATGTATCTTGTTTCGGCATATTTAAATCGTCTACAAACAGTATCACACGTTTATCTTTTGGTGCACCACGAACATTTCTCTTCTTTTTCTCCAATTTACTTTCGATCATTTCTTGTGTACGATTGCTGCTTGTCTGAGCCGAGAAGTTCACAAATGCAGGTACATAATTTTTTATTTGAGCTATGGAATTCAGAGTTCCACGAACAACAACTGACTGTAATAAAGAAAAAAACAAAGTAAAGTGAAGTATGCATGAATAATTTTGAACAGTTATTACAAACTTGTTGACCAGTTAATTGCCAGTTAGCCTTGGTAAGGCCTGTTGACAGTTCGAGGGTTGTTTGTTTAAAACTCACTGTGTCGGTCGCTGGCTATTAACCGTTGACTTGGTATAGTTGCTATAACGTTCGCTTTGACTAATTTTTGCCACAGTTGTTCACTTTAATTTTACGATTTTAACATTCTATAACTCGAGAAGTAATTTCGAGTTGTTTTAAAAAAAATTTATTTGCTAAACGAGTGAAAGTTTGTGGTGTAACTTCACTCCATACACGTAAAATGAGCAGTTTAAATTAATGCTAAACAATCATGTGAGCATTTTCTTAAAATTTGTCTTTTATACTCTTGTTTTAAGTTAAGCATATCTAATCAGAGTATTATAATAGTGGTGAGAATCTCTGGTTCTAGGATAACCGTATTTCATAACATTCAGTTATATTCAAGCGTCTTATCAACACATTTGAATAAACCCTGATTTAAGACAAACCAATGAACAGATCCACCTTCAAGTAAACCTGTTAACAAAATGCAAAAATAGAGCAAAAACAATAGTGATAATAGTGATATTACACATACTTTTCCAACTCCTGTCAAACCAGTGAAGAGAACACTTTGGTTGGCATCCAACAATTTCTCCAACATATAACCATATCGAACTGTGTCTACAGTCGGTACAATCATATCGAAAAATGGTATTTTCTTATTATAAATAAATGTGCCAAGCATTTTATCCCAATTATCCATACGACGTGTATCCATATCAACATAGCAGGACCATAAATCAGCATGTTGTGGCAACTAAAGTATGTGTATGAAAAAGTAGGCTATAGGCGTTTTGTATAAATGTTAGTTAAAAATACTTTACTGAAATTGTGACTATGATGAAAAACGATATCGATCGAGTGATATGATCCAAGTCACTGCAGAGTTTAGGCAAGACAAACACGCAGAACCAATTATTTGCTCAACTTTGTTGTATGGATTACCGTGACGCGTTTTCAAAACATCCGCTACTCCATAAAAGCCATAGATTTGAAAATATCAGTGACGCTGTGGAAAATTAACACTAATGGGATAAATGTGTAGCGATTTCAAATATAATAATAATAATATTCACTTTATTCCACAACAATAACAATTTACAGCATGGAATTTTCAACGTTTCTTTTACATACTGCAATGGTTTAGCTCTGTTTATAATTATATAAATGTATAAAATGTTAAAATATTGATAGTTAATAGGAAAAAATAAAAACCCCAACAAAATCATACCAATTGCTAGGTCATAGTGAATAATAAATAAATAATATAACAAATAACACATGCAATAATATGCATCATTACATTTTATAGTTTACTTAATGATTTAAAAGTTGTAAAACTTCTTTTCTGATATTTGTCTCTTCACATAATACTCGTGCCAAATATGGTACGGTCGAATTTTTATATTTTGTAGTACGAGCATAAATGTTTATGAAATTTCTTCTGGTCTTACCCGAAGAGATACAAGGAAACAATTGTGAATAAAGAGGATGTTCACTATCGGACAAGATAACTTTAGCTAAGTGTTTACAAGAATTCATGTGCCTATTGACAACAGTGTCGGTTAGTTGAGTCAAAGGGATAGCACTGACCCTACTTACAGCCTTCAATGTTCTTCGTAGTATTATATGGTCTTTCTTGAGTAGCCCAGGGAAGAATAATGGAGAAAAATAAAGAATGATGGGCAAAACACATGAATTAATAAATTGTATGAGAAGAGATTGGGTTATACCTCAGTGCCTCAACTTCTTTATGTAATAAGTCAGACGGTAAACTTTCTTAGAAACTATAAGAATATGAGACGACCAGCAAAGGTTTGAAGAGAAACTAATGCCAAGATAAGAAACACTTGACTTACTCTCTATCATGGTATCATCAATATTACAAAAATCATGAGATTGGGTCGATCCATGCATGTCTTTTTCACTTCTCAAGCTGAAATCAACAGTATTACATTTAGTTGGATTTAGTTTAAGACCATTTGAGCCAGACCAATCCTTAACTTCAGCTAAGAAGCCATTTATATGGCTTCATAAGTTTCCAATTTGTTTTACCCAGACAGATATTTTAAAGTGAAGGTAATTCAGTCAATGTATTCATCATGTGCTAATGCTTTGCACCTGAGAAAATTATACAAAAGCATTGGAATTTGAATACATTGTAAACTTTAAGTTTCTACTCGAAAAGCAGGTTACAAGCAGACAAACAGGAGTATGCGTTGTATATTATATAAATATATATTCTATGAAAAATGGCCAAAGTTAAAACTTACTCGAGCGTCGCCTAGGTCATCAAAAAGATTACGTATAAATGCGTCACATGAATCCCAGTTTGCATCAATCAAATTACCTGCCAACCCCCATAGCAATGAGAATACAAATGACATGGCTAATATTGGATTTAATTTACTCTTTTCAGGACTCATCGGTGGACCCCCTGAATGAGTTAATAAGACTTCCAAAAGTTTACACATTGTTTGTACCCGGGCAATTGGGACCTATACAAATTTTAAAAAAATTAGGATACAGTAACAACAACACTCAAGGATCGTTGAGATAAAACCATAAAATAGCATTCATAGTATTGCTATTATTATTATGATGATGTAGTTTTTTCGAACTGAAGCATAAATATTAGGGTAGATAATATTTATTACCAACATAGATTTATGATGTTACTAACTGGATAAGGTTTCCAGCACAATTTATTGTTCCCCAATTTCAGTTTCCAAAGGGAACCGGGGTGAATTTTCACATCGAAGTGTCCAATTCACATATGATGAATTTAATGTAGATACTAGTTCCACCAAGTAGCTAGCCAGGATTTGGGTTGTCGGAACTGATTCAATTCTTTGAGGTCCGACTAACTGACAGCGATGCTGATGAACCCGGACCCAAAACAGTGAGACTGCAATCCAGTGATTACGCAACTTCCGACTCACTAGTAAGCACTTCTGTTTGACTTGAATGGTTACGAACTACTCAGCCAATCACTATTACATACCATCATGCTGTTTTTAATAGAACAAGACATATAAGCGAACAATATTGTTTTCAATTAGATCTTCTTCAGGCTTTACTCTAATTTGGGAATCATCGGCAGTACGCACCCACTGGGATTCGAACCCAGGACCTTCCGGTTACAAGGCAAGCTCGTATACCATTCAGCCACTGGGACCCGATTCAACTTGTAAAACATAACTAATCCTTACAAACCAAACTATAGAAAATTAATCTGATGCTCGCTAGTGACTTGCTACAGGATGGAGCTTCCTGGAGTTCTAATGAGAAGTCGTGACCAGTGAGGTCCAATTAGATGTCACGTGTGTGGATGGATGTTCCACCAACGACAATGGTTGGAGTCGCGCTAAATCACGAATTGGTAGAAGTTAGAATTCATGAGCCATTGAATCGGGTCCCAGTGGCTGAATGGTATACGAGCTTGCCTTGTAACCGGAAGGTCCTGGGTTCGAATCCCAGTGGGTGCGTACTGCCGGTGATTCCCAAACTAGGATGAAACAGCAGCTGTCCAGAACTCCATGGTTTTCAATGGTTCTCTAACTGATATCAGTCCGTGATCAACTCGTAAAACATAACTAATCCTTACAAACCAAACTATAGAAAATTTACTCTAATTGACATAGACTTATATATAAAAAATTTTAACCAATGACGGTGATTTTTGGGAATCAAATAATAATAATGATAATAATAATAATGTGGTAAATGTTTTGAACGAAATTAATAACGATGATTATAATGATAACAAAATATTGATAATAAGGTTTATGCAGGTGATAAGAATAACAAAGATAGTATTTGTATATATGTGTATATGTAGACAATTCAATAAATAAATAAATTAGGTCAAATCTTAAAAGGTGAAGTGGAATGATAATCAGAGTTTAAATAAATATTATAAAAGTACGAAGGAGATGAAAGATTAGAAAGGGTGGGAGGGTTTTGAATAGAATTCACCTAGGCCAAGGGAGAGACAAAGGTAGAACAAACTTCTTTTGTATGCAAAGACTAGGATTGTTCTCTCGAATTCCCATAGCTTCGGCTAGGTGTAAAAGACGGGTTCTGATTCCGTTCGAAAGACTCGATGGAATACGATAGATAACTTTGAAGGCACTATTTTTGTCCACTTGGTGACCGCTATCAATCAAATGAGCCAAAATAGAACTTCGTATGGATTTTATTTGACCTTTTCCGAACCATGAAGGAAGATGCTCATGTTTGTTTACTGTCTTGATTTCCATTTAAAGGTATTACTACTATTATTTCTATTCTTAGTAATTATCACCTCGACTGTTATTCACCGATTTATACGCATGAACTTTAATTCTATTAACCAGAATGGTATCGAATGTCTATTCTGAATAATTTCAGCATGTAATTGCAACGGCTGTTGAAAAATTACTGGAATTATGCATTTGCTTAAATTGTGTTCTCCAAAAATATTATAATGGGATTATTTAAACTATTGGAAACTTAATATTCACAGTTGTTTAAGATCATAACTCCCAAATTATTTATTGGTAGTAAGATTGTCTGTATATTTCGGAAACATGTTTTCGATAATTACTGTAGAAACTGTGTACTGTAATTAGGGAAACCATTATTAGGAACAAAACTCAGTCAGAAAATAACGCATGCTACTTGGATAACACACGTAAACAAATTATAAGGAAAAATAAACTCGATCGATAGACTTCACTGGGCCACTGAGGTCGTCCAGTGAGCCATTCTTTTTATTTATTCAGTCAAAAACAAATTAAGTGCAGCCTGAAGAAATGAGCTACAAGGTGATTGACCTTAGCATTCTAATAGTCCAGAGTGGCATGAAGTTTTCAAGGCATAACACGTTTGTGAGCATGGAAAGACAAAACTTAGATGAAACAGGCCTTCCGTTACATCGACTTCCGTCTTTCAAAACAGAACCTAGTCGTAATTGTAAAGTATTTGATTGCAAACTGTCAAGCATTAGAAAGTACAAACCACTAATGAACTGTTTACTTTAAATGAATTAGGTGTAATCAGCAAAATATCTGATCATAAAAGTCCACTAAATTCAATTCAGTGGAAGAGAGGAAGGAAAATAATGAGCTTACCTGTGGGATAATTGCTGAACATTTATTCATTACAAACTGTAGGAAGGGATCAACGTATTTCTCAAAAAGACCCATAATGTATTCAACAACATGAGGAACTAATTTATCTTCAATTGATTTTAGCCACGTCTAAAGTAAGCGAAGGAATAAGGAATGAATGTATTGCATAAGATTATTTATTTCAGTATCAATTTTTCACCAAATTCTGATGAAAGAGACGTTTAAACGAAACAACTCGGTACCAGCAGCAGATCTAAACTATCATTTACTTATTGGAATTGGCGACGTCATAAATTTGCAATATTATGTAGTTTTTAGAAGTCAAAGAAAACTCGTTTTATTCGTCTACAATGGACTTCTGTTTGAAGTCTGTCTTACATGGCCTAACTGAAGGAAGAATATATCAAGTGGAGATTGTAAGGCTTCAAATTCATGTTACAATTTCAAACATACAATTTCAGGCAAAATGTAAAAAATTCTACAAATATAAACGGAGAATTCGTAGCCTTGTTGTTTCAGAAAAATGATATTCATATTCGTATGCCATCCCGAGTCAGCCATAATTTTTACGCCAGCTGACGGTTTGGTTTTTATTTGTGTTAGCGAAAGTTGGACAGAACTAACTGTTAGCCCGTTCAATGATAGAACAGTCTAAGAAAATGTCTAATAACTATAACGATTCATATCAATGTTTTCCCAATGAGATGACTAACTGACCGCATAATTAACGCAGAACATCGCACGGATGTACACTATTTCAAATGACCTACATTAAGTAAAGAAGATGAGATCGAGACAATAAATAATCAAACTACACAGAACAAACATGAATACTAAATGTCCAATTTTCCAGTGTATAAATATTAAAATCTTTGACTTTTTCAGCTTATGTGTACCCGATAAAAATTTGATTTAATTGCCAGTATTCCTCGAATTCTCGTAAACTAATCGTCCAGTCATTGTTTATAAAGTGGTTGACATTTTGTTGTAACTTCTTTAAAAATGTATTCCAGAGGCTTCTAATACGTCTAAAAGCCAAGCGTAATAACCTTCAATTTTCCTTATGAATATACTTCGTTTTGCAATAATCTTAGAGTTATGAAAGATACGATTTTCAGAATACCTAATATTATTAGTTTTTGAACAAAGCAAGAACTACAGTTTTAGCAGAATAAAATGGTACCATCTTTTATTTCGTTGTCTTCTCGTCAGCTGCTTACAATTAGTTTTAATCTAAATTTATTGTATATTATTTGAATAAAAGGTCTTAGGTAGTGTTAGATTCACCGTCATTTCATATCACTTAATATTCAACAAAGTATTTGAATTTGATTTGGTAATAATTATAGTTAAATGACCTTCAATTGGGTCACTGTGTATTCACGCATGCACGTGACTTGTCTGGTTGATCAGCTGACTGGTTTTTCCCTAACCGTTCTCATTTTCTAACCAACTGAAAATGAGAATTACAGCGGTGTTTGTGTGTATAATCTAAAGTCAGTCTATAAGGTGAGTGAGGAGACATACTTAAGGTAACCAGTTTACTGTTTCAGACCAAGTATAATTATAAAAATTTGCAAATAAACTAAGTTCATTAATAGTCAAAGATGAATATCAATTGTCAATTATGCATAATGATCACTTACTTTTACATACGGTAACCATCCTAAGTCTTCAGGATCCACATACACCATACCACAACGACTAACAGTTGCGGGTGAGGCAACAGCTAAATCTTCTACCTCAAACAACATGTGGACATAATTGGTTAGTTTGATTCTCTCCGAGTTAGCCAAACACAGCATTTTATTGTCATCCAATACAGTATTCATATTTTCAATCCATAAAGCATCGACTGGTCCATCGCATATAACCCACTGATGATCTTGTGTCTGATCCTAAAGATTAGAACAAAGTTAAAGTGCTTGTTCCTTAGGATGTAAATGTGCAAACTGCCTTACTTTGTGTGCATTATTTTTGATTGACAGATATGGCAATTTTATGCTAGATCTCGTTATCATCGTTGTCTCATCAGTATAAACTCAGTAGGAAGCGAGGTGGCCACAGTGTGCGCGAATATTTCTAACATACTCCTTTACCTGAGTTAACTGTTATACATAATTTGGTAGACTGATGGGTAATATTATGAATATGACTTCTGAATATGTCAACCTTGAATCTCTCGAATAGGTCTTCAATTTTGCTTTTAGCATGATATACGTTCATCAGTACCAATCAACAATAATGAAGTGAACTGAAAATGATGTCTAGCACGAAAATGAAACTATATGCGTTGACATTTTCAACTCAAGAAGTAACCCAATCTGATCAAGGTTTGTGTTAATTATTCTTCTAGTAACATTTAAGTGAAGTATTTGAGTCAGCTTTTCTAAAACATGACTGAATCTGTCTTCTCTTACCATAAAGTAAAAAACTCTAGTCAGAATAAAAGCCAGGAAAAGCTGTCTTCAACAAGCGTGTTTGTGAATACACTTTTTGAAACTTACTTTACGTAGCCAAGAAATACTCTAAATGTCTTTCGGTGGAATACGAGGCATGAGTTAGATATTGTGAATGAGTTTAAAATGACGACATGAAGTGTTTTGCGGAGAACCGACTTGGTTTAGGAACTGAAATTATTTAGAGATAGATAGCAGACATTATAGTTTGGAAACCCCATGTATTTCACAGCTCCTAGTGCAAAGCAGGGAGAAAGAGCTTCGTCATCGCGCTGATCACATTGCCATTCCACCAATGTATTGTAACTCCAGGTAAGTACAGGTGAGTGAAGGAGGACAGACATACTTCATCCTCACAAAATGCGTGTACGTGACTGTGACGTCATAAATCTTACCACGATGGTCTTATTTCGCTCCCATTACATGATAAGCAAATCATGAAATCTAATAATAGTAGGTCAGTGTTGGCAGTTTTGAGTATGTTGGCGTATACAGGGGATACACACATAAATAAAAGCGTGATTTAAAACCAGTGACTAAATGCAACCCAGTTACTTTCCTCGAGTTTTTCCATACACTCAGCTATTAGCCCCACTTAGTTTGCGGAGAATTATGATTCTTCACAGAAGATTTGAGATAAGATCTCAAAACCTGTTGGTTGAATGTTCTGGTTTCAGGTGAATGAACTATGCCTGCATTTAAGCATAGATGCACAGTGAATTAGTCACTGATTTCCCTTAGAATTAGAAATCAGATGAAAATATACTTTTTGCATGTAAAATCATAAAGCATACTGTGAATGCTGAATAGAAGCGCGTACGTCGAAAAGATATGAGTAAAGTCAGCTGAAAGCTTTCAAAACGAATAAATCTCAAATCACTGTTACCATTGGCAATGTTTTCAGAAAATTTAAATAACTGTAATAACGATAAAATGCATTTTACTAACCACACATGTTTGCCGAACGATAGAAGCCAACAGACCATCGTGCCATTCAAGTGTTAATTTATGCACCTCTCCGTATAATTCGCCCATAGTTATAGATTTTGGGTTCAGAACGTAAGTTTTTACAGGTTGATATTCGGGTTTATTATCTGGTAGATCAGCTGCATGTAAATTTGCTAGAACTTTGGCTAAAACACGGTAAATAGTAGTCTTCCCACCACCAGTTGGTCCGACCAACATGACTCCATGACGTACGAGTAACGTTTCGAAAAACTGTATCACTTTCAAGACTTGATCCGAAACAATCTGTAACCCCATTTCTTGAAGGACAGTTTCAATCTCAGATAAAAATCTTCCGTAATCATGTTCAGGCAATGTTACTCCCGGGAATAAATCTTGTAAAATTGCCTAAAAATATCAAGGATATTTGTTAGGTGATTGGTCTAAATAATTTTCCAGTTTAAGCTTCAGAAAAAATTACCATATTCTGTTGATAGTCTCTTACGCACAAATGTAACATTATCAGTTTATTTTCTTTGCAAAAATATAGCATTAAAGAGACCGAATTCAGCGAAAATGAGAAACATTTACATGAATGAATGAGTGTCACGTGAGCCTACTCATTTTTAATAGTAACGGTTTAAATAATGAAATAAGTGCGGGACTTTCAACAAACAGAACTTTAATGAAATTTAGGGACGCATTTCGCAGCTTCTAATGGCATCAAGCAATCGATCGTAAGTAGGAGAACCAATAATACTGAACAATCTGATACAATTTGTAGGTATGAAATATGGAAAAACAAAGCTAATGTGAACAATACAAACCACTGGTAGAATTTATCCAATACATATTTCTGTAGTGTGATTTATTAAACTTTGATTACTCTGTATGCAAATACATTCATTTTAGGGGCTGCAAGCATAGACGGCAACTTCGGATGAGACTAGTCACAGAAATAAAATGAATAAGTTATGCAATGGCAGCTGTTTTGTTTATTCAGTTCAGTCAGAAAATTAATAAGCATTAAAAATGTGCAACATAATTTTTCTTGGGGGGCTCGTAAGTAGTCAGAATGCCAGCTTGAGCCAATATACTGTAGGTCTAGGTTCAATCTCTTAAGCACATAAACTTCAATCGTGAGAAACCCAAGTGGGTCGAAGTCTTCATTATCATCATCGCAGATTTCAACATGAAAAATTCAAACAATCACATAAATATAGTTGATATTGTAGCCCATATGGATCCACATGACAGTTATTTGTTTCCTGAGTTGAATGTTGTGATGATTGTTTTACTTCTTGTCCTCAACAATAACACTCTGAGACCCAACTTGTTTAAAAAAAATGAACTGGAATACAATTATAAAGCATGTCTTTAACTGCAGATATGAATAAGAAAGGGTAAACTTAGAGTTGAACGCAGAATTATTATAACTATGCTTACATGAACTATGACTAAACCTTTAATTCACAGAGTTGTCCATATAAAATCATTTTTATCATTTATCAATTAAATGAAAATTGGTTAGAATTCAGGATTTGTTAACTTACAGTAAACAGAACAGCATCATGTTTAAGAAATTTAGGTAGATTACTATCACGTAAAGCACGAATTAATACAACATCTTCTGGTTTATCCGGATTTTCGCGTTTCAATGAACCAGCCATAACTAGAACTGACTTCAACGCTCTCATACCAAAATCATAGTGATCCTGTTGAGACAGTTGTTCACTGCACAACTTATACATTTGTGTCATCTTTAACGCTAGAGTTTTTGAAGATTCAAATCCTTCAGAATAAAGGATAACTTCAGCGATAAGACCTGTGTAAAAAACGATAAATTGTGAAAAACGCTTTATTATTATTGCTTTGCCTTTATTCTTTAAATGAATCATTGTCAATCTACAGTTACTAATACCAATTAGGTTCCCTAAAGAACTTCACTGAGATTTTGTATGATTCTGCTTTCGTAGTACAATAAAAGTTACTTCATCTGAGTATTTTGGTATAAACGACTATGTAGTAGTTCCAGTGGAACATAGGGCTTCAACCTAGAGGCTTGAAGTTTCTGTAGCAGTGTTTGTTTTTACAGGATGGGGTTGCTAGCCTCATGCCCAACCTTTCCTCTTTACCAGTGTTACTATGCTTAGCGAGGTAGTAGTAAGGAAAGATATATTTCCCCATAGTGAGATACAGATCTCCAACTTCGTTCCACATAAAACTGAACAGTTAGTTAAACCTCAATTTTGAAATTATGGAAGAGATTTTTCTAGCACACGCTGACACTGCAAACTATTTGCTGTCCTTTAGGCTGAGGAGTACGATAATGGGCTTTCTCTTAACAGGCTTCCTTAAGAAGTTATCATGTCTGATGATAAAACACCACCAATAACGTTTCAAACTATAGCAAACTAAACGGCTTACATCGTCATCTTCAGGGATAACCAAGATTTGCCCAATAATACATTACAGTGTCAGATCACGTGAAGTTAATAGGTCGAATAATTAATTAACTATAAGCTATTAATAATTACTGGATGCTGAAATGAAGATTTCTCTCTTTTATCACAAAGAGTGTGGTTGTTAACTTTCTAACATGAAAATTAAAATGTTTAAATTTCAAGAAAACCCTTCACTTAATGATCACATTCACTTATAAGCAATTCATCGTCCATGCACTCCAAGCTAAAGAGTTCACGTAAATTCCGGAGACATTATCAAACAAAGTCATATCCAACGGTTCGTCTATAGAAAAATTAATTAAAAAACTATCACATTATGCATCTCTAGTGGGAATTACTGGTTATATCATATTAAGTCATTTGGATAGAACACTAACTAACTAACTGAGAAGTGTGAATCACATATATTGGCACCTAATGCACGTCAACCTGTAACTTATACTACCCAATAATTAAAAAGATGAGAGTTAAAACAATAAACTAAATAAATTTCATTGAAATATTCATTAATAATATTTGTAAATGAATTCAGTTGACTCACGATAATCCGGCACCATCATAGATATTGGACGAAATAGAGATTTTAAATTATCAGGCAGTTCAGTACGTCCAGCATAGCCTGGATTCATTGTAATGAAAGCAGCACATGTTGGCACTAGTTTTATTTCACGGCCTTCAAACATAAACCGTGAAACCTATGAATACAAAGGAAAACAAAATAATGATAAGAAAAAGTTTCTTGATTAACCAAAATCAAAACAATGTTTTTCAGTTGAAAAAGGTGTCTCCCTCTGTTCGTTTAACTTTATTATTATGAGTGATTCTAGAATCCTCAGAAGCTACAAATGGTTTACAAGTATGTAACGAAATAATTTGTTTTTGGATAAGAATTTCTAAATCATTAAAATATACTGAGACTCTTGGCTGAAAATTACGAGAGCAACTTAGGAGAAATAGACAAATGAAATAAAAACAGAAACACTGTTGTTAGTAAGAAAGTAAACTAGAACGACATGGAAAAGTTTAAACACGAACAGTAACTATGTGGACGAACAATGTCAAATGATCAGTTTCAGTAGACCAACAGCCTTTCGCATGTGATCTCAAGATGTAGGATTAATTGGCAGTGATCCACTAAAAATTATTGAAAAATAGTGATAAAGGATACTTACGCGAGCAGCTTTGGCATTTCGAATAGTAATCAGCTGTTGAGCGATAACAGACAAAACCTCAATGTCAATCCGGTTAAATTCATCGAAACAACACCATGCACCGGACTGTGCTAGACCAGAGAAGAATCGTCCCATCATCTTGTAGTCCAGACCGTCGGAGCAGTTAAAGACAACACACTGTTTTGCGACAGATTTTGCTAAATCTTTCGTGGTTTCCGTTTTACCAGTACCAGCTGGACCAGCCGGAGCACCGCCCAAATCTAATTGTAATGCCCCCATTAAGCAGAGATAACATCTATTTGAAAACAAGTATTCAAAAAAGATTTGTGAATCTGTATAGAGAATGCATCCCAGTATGATAGAATTTAGTGTTTTATAACTGAAATGAATGTTGAAAATCAGATTTAGTCTTAATTTGTACTAATGTGCTAACCATAAGAAATTCTCTCTGTATATTCCTAAGGTATGATAAAACTTCGTTTGTTATCTGATAGCATCTTTTCTGGTATTAGTGTAGAGGTTGCACAAGAAAGGCTGAATGTGATTAGACTCAGATAACTTTTGCACCCACCAAATATATGTGGCTTTGCCAAAAACTGTTACTGTTAAGAATTCATGAATTTGACAGAGCGTGTGATGAGCATACTAGTCAGCTACCCAACTACAGCTTCTTATCTGGTTGCATTAAAAAACAGAGACCCAAAATAAAAGTTGACATGACAGCAGTAAAAAAGGGCCCACACTTAAAACTTTTCCCTGAACTAGCTCTGCTACAAAAGTCTCGACTTTTCAAAATACACCCTCCAGAAGAATTAGTTAATGACATTCATTAGATGAAATATTTACCTATAATTTATTTTGTCATTGGAAAGTTCAATAGTATTAGCTTTATAAGCAGTTTCGTTAATGCTATCACATATTCCCTATTTTTATCCTTCTAAGAAGTACCAGATTTGAGTTACGTGTTAGCTTCACGTGAACCGATAGAAAGAGATTGACTAACCAGTCCTGTCTATCAAATTAAGTGACTAATTTAATTAACTTTAACAATTACCGGTGCGTCGACAGCACTATTATCAACTGCATTATAATTTATATTCATCATGAAGAGAATTAATGCAGACATCATTTAAACTAATTTGATCTTATGCTGTAACTTGTGCGCCTCACTTATTCCACAACTCACACCAAAATAGATTGATTACATTTTATTTATGTAACAGTTGACCAATTTAATTACTGAGTTATAAATTCATATCAGTATTTAAATTAACCCGCCGATTTTGACACCAACCATAGTAACATCAGATACGTATTTAGAAAATACTGAGATGACAATACACCAGTTATTCCCTTGGTACAGAAACAGTTAAGTAAGTTGATGAAGCATACTACTACAAATGACATTTAAGTATTTCATCTTTTCTCAGAAGCATATTTTTAGTTAGTAATAATAACATACGGTGGAAATTTAATGTTAATTTCTTACCTGTCGGTTAATGGAGTGATCACCAGACGTGGTGAAGCACCCAAGTATTCGTAACCATAAATATAACATGCATTCGCCATTTTTACAACACACGTATCTAAATCGAGATCCCAGTAGTATCTCAACTGGCGCTGCCAATCGAAATTACTTAGTGAATCGACTTTACTATTGACTAATTCTGTTACCATATCTCGAGCATGTACGTCAATTGTAATTAATGAGCACAGGAGAGCACGAAACAGCTTCGGTAACTCGCCGCGTACCAATGCTGCAAGTTTATTCAGTCCCTATAAGTGAAAAATAAAGATCAAATAGAAATAAATTACAGAAACCACACACCTAACTTATTAGTGCTGCAATGTACTGATCCATCTGAATAAAATAAATTCTAATTTATAATTCCAGACTTGAGACCGTAAACTTAATCAAAACTACCATTTCCTCTTTCACAAGCTGATTTTCACTAAACATTTGCTTAAAAGCTGTTTCCTTTCTTAATTTTTAATCAACGGCATGTAGGACGACGCATAAGTTTAACTTCATTGTAAATGCACTTGTATACATTTTGACAGGTAATGAATGTAAATTCATTTTAAAACTCATAACTTCATAATTATCCCCATTTCGATTCAAATTTTCAATAAAATAGGAAGTTCTTGCAAATTTCTAAAACTTAAATGCTATAAAATTGGCTTTAAGTTTTCTAATAGTAGTACAGATTCAACTCATAATTGCAGCAACAGAAGGCAAGACACGGAAGCAAAGGTCTACTTTTCATTAATCAAACCGTTGTTTATATATATGCAGTTTATATTCTTTAACCAATCACTGAGCGTGTGATTTCGGTTTACATTGAACGACATTACATAGAATGATTTTCAATACAAACGTCAAGTCATTTCTTCTATACGGATCAGAAACTTGGCGGGTCACAATGAATATTTCCAACAGCCTGTTGCAGACCTTTATCAACAACTGTCTTCGCTCTATACTGAAGATCAGATGGCCGGAAAGAATCACCAACAAGAAACTAGGGGAACAAACAAAACAAGAACCAATCGCCCAACAAATATGCAGGAGAAAGTGGAGATGGATTGGACACTGGCTGAGGAGACCGCTGGGTGACATTGCGCGTCAGGCCATAGCTCGAGTGGAACCCGAAAGGGAAGCGGCGAGTGGGACGTCGAAGGGTGACATGGAGTAGATCGTGTGAAGAAGAGCTGAAACAGTATGGACTAACATGGATGCAAGTGAAAAGTACAGCAGAAGACAGAAGCAAGTAGAGACGTGCAGTTGAAGCACTATGTTCCACTAGGAACCCAAGGGAACAACAAATAGTATGTTTAAATAGATATATCGTATTCTGTTGCTAATGCTGAATTGAACTGTGGTAATATGTGAGAATAAAATTCCGTTAGTGCATATTTTCTGTATCACACCACCGCATACTTATCAGCCCTGTTTTCTGGTTGACTGCATATACTCAATCAAAAATTTTTGATGGAATTTTATGAGACTGGCTGCTTAACTCAATGCATAACAAGTAACTTGTTCAACACCCCATCTAAGTTGATGCTACCAAGTGCAAATGACCTTTATCTTCTGCTCTATTTTTTGAATTGGCTGGTGAGCGTGACACAAACACTATTGTTGTTATATGACTTCTTTTCTCTACCATAGGACAGACATCTATAATTAAATCAAATGTAAATAGGAGCACTAGGCATACTTGGTTTCATATTTCTGGTAATTCTATTAGCTGTGGTGCAACATTAGATGCACAAGGTACCAAATATAAATGGAAATCATTCAGCATAGAGCTGATAAACAGTTCGTTGAACAAATGTACAATAAATGCAGACGGAGGTGATTCAGTTTAAGTTCAGACAACTGAGACAAAACGGTTTCAGACTCTTACTTACGGCATAACACTTCTCTTCATATTCTTTCAGACCATCAATCCGATCCTCTGGAAATGGATCTTCCAAAATCAGTGTGATGTCGCGTGACCACATTAACTGTTCTACAGTCAGAACAATTTGGTTCGCGTGTGCTTTAAGCCAATTCTCACGCTCTAGACTTTCAAAATCATTGATAGCAATTTTCATTAGTTTACGCAGATTTGTAAACATTGCCTCCTCCACTTTACCCAACCAGTCTTCAACATTTCCTCTTGCTTTTAAGCCCTGTTAAGAAAGTGAATTCAGAAAAGAAAAGTACGAAAACTATTATTGAGTTTGTGATGAATGCCCACATTCCTAAAAAATGTCTAAAACAAAGAGTTTTTCAGAAAGCAGTTATTTTCACTGGCCCCCTCGCCAGGTTCTATAAGTTTGGGTTGATGAAAGTTAACATACAATAGCCAAATTAAGGATTGGGATAGATTGGAATGAATTTCGCGATGAATATAGGCTAAGGAATGATAAAAACATGAAATGTGCCAGTGAATATGATTTCATTTGAAATGAATACATATGAACCCATGGAAACTAAATGCATTGTTCATTCTATATAATCCTTAGAGATATAGGTTTTAGGATTGATCATGAGCTGACATCATTTAGAGAAGCATTAGGAAACCTGGCAGTACTGACCAGATGTTTCGTCCTAGCTTGGGACTCTTCACAGTACGTCTCCACCAAGATTCGAACCTAGGACCCTCCAATTACGAGGTAAGCTCGTAGACCAATCAGCCGCTAGGACCCAACCCAATGGTTCATGCATTCCAACTTCTGCCAATTCTTAATATATTTTTATTTGGCTCAGTCGCCGGCCAGTGCCACAGGCAAGTAACTGTCCCCTTGTCTAACTTGGTTTTAACCGAGTTATTTGTCCGTTTTATTTTACCGAAATTTCGTTTAAGAATGATGCGTTTGTAGATTTTTTCTAAGAAATCAGGAACAATCTTCGGTGATCGAACTTTTGACTAACTAAACCAAAAAATTTGATTTACGCGTAAAATCCAAAATGCAGCATCACTCATAAATACAGTAATTGGATATAAAAACATAAATTTTTGAGGTGTCTTGGCTGTATACAACCAGTGCTCGTCAATAAGAAAAAGACAGCAGAACTGTGTCAAAATATTTGACCGTTGGCTATAAACAGCAAGTTAATGAACAAAAAATGTTCAACAGAGAGTCGAAAATAAGGGAAAATGTACTGAAAATTCTGCTCACCCATAAGAAAATAGTTATGCCAGACAAATGAAATGTTGATACAATAAGTGAGGCAAATTCTAATAGGTGTCAATAACTATGGTAACGGAGTAACAAAATGGTAAACCAAAACTACTTACTAGTATTAAGTAGTAAAAGTTAAATACAAATGAAGTATTGATAAAGAATAGATGAAGAGTTAACAATGCTGATCATTTTTTCCTGCATGCTGGAAAATAATAAAGCCGATTTAAGCCTCTTGATGTTGTTTTATGGAATAACTTACTTTCCTTGAGTTGCCACTAGCACGATAAATCTGTTTAAATCCGCTAAGTGTGTAATGCGGAATCTTCAGGCATAGTTTCTAATTTATGTAGTATTATAAATCTTCGTCACTAGAATAATTAAAAATTTCCAGTCGGTCCCTAAACTACTGAAACAATATTGGCGCATTTGACACCAAACAAGTTCACAACAGCTAATTAGAGCAGCATATATCCTAGAATGATACTCCTTAAGTTGCTAGATATCTTAAGAGACTATATAAAGAAGTACGGGGATTCAAACAATGTCTTGGAGACTCTAAGGAAATACTTCAACACTTTGCTTAAATGTCATTACCTTGCCAAGAGACACTCTTTCACCTTCTGGCGATAACATAGCCAATATATCATTTGTGTAGACTGGTTCGTCTAAAAAATACGATAATTAGAGTAAAACAGATGAATTCAACAAGTACAATTCAATATAATTTAAAAAATTGAGGTATCTTTCATTGATGGTACTATTAGATAAAGAAAACAAAAATTTAAAGAACTTCCACATCCTAAGATTCGAGTTTAAATTGCTTAATATAATCACTTGCCCTGCTGTACTTGTGGCTGTGTCACATAGATAGTCCGTACATAATGTCTTATGAGTAAAGAAATGCAGCTTTATATGACCACATTTCATCTCTTGATTGACGCAATCAAAAAAATTAGAATAGGAGGGAAGTTTTATCTACCATCTAGCAATCTGATGCTAGAATTTTCCCGTAGTTAAACTGAAGTCTAATGGCATTAAACATGTTCAAGTATGTGAGAATAGATATGTAGAAAATCTAGTTCACTCATAAACTTATGGCTGAGTGGTTTAGTGACACCAGAGCCGAATATCTTTCAAGATATGGTAACACAGTTTGTACTGGTAATACACACGATATTTCACCCTTAGTAAATATGTCGAATATAGACCTTACATACAACCTTCATAAACCAGCAACCTTAAGTATACTATCATTTCTTAAATTCCCGTATGAGTCATTAGAACTAACCTTGACTGTGGAATGATCTGCTAATTATAAAAGTGAATTAGGCATCCAAACCACATTATAGCGGATTTTGTCACGAGTATACAACATTGGAAAATTTCAGCTGCTAAATCTAAATTTAGGACTCTTTAGAAATGTGCATCGAGAAAAGCTGCTGAAGTATTTCACGCTTTCAGTGGTTTGCTAGCTGATTGCGGTTGTAGTTAAATTGCTGCGATTCCTATGACTTTCAAATCTGAAGATGAATATCTTGTTTGACAATTTTCACGTCGAGTGGAACACTCTTTAGAGATATTTCTAAAATTTGTCTGTCATATCTGCATTTACTGTGTGCATGCTTTTATCACTCTGGTTAACTGTTTCTTTTGAAGTTGGTTTCTCGTCTGTTTCATGTCAGAGTTATCTTTACTTTGTTGTACATACTACACTGACAGTGATCATCTGGTGACACAACCCAGTATTTGGAAACGTTGTATCGAGTTTTATCGTTGTCCTGAAGTATCAGGACTTCGCATTACTATCAGAAGCTAAGCTGTGAGTGAATGTATACATAAGTGGACTTAAATTTCCCTGAATGGTCTCTACTAATGATTAATAACACTAACCATATTTGTGGGGTACAACGACATGTGACATAAGAGAAAACCATGAAAATTTCGAAGCATACCTTTATCGGTAGAATCCGGGGCTAAAGCAAACTCTAATTTCACAATAGCATCAAAACATTTTCTTAAATGAGGTTGTACAGCCAGGGGATTACGCGTTTGTGCCAATATCTCCAACAATTCATCATTTGATAAGAAATAAAATCTTGGAAATACAGAACGTTTTGATTCTAAATATGCTTCAAGACACTTTTGAATTTGATCGAGTAGTTGGTTATTGTTACGAAAAGTGTCCAACAGACCAGGTTGTGTAGCTGCGCGCATAGCCAATGGGACTTTTTGCACCTTACGCATTACATCTTTGTAAGACTTGTCAACAGCCATGAAACTTTTAGCTTCACTAGGCAGTTGACGTTGTATATCTGGAGCAGAGAATATACTTTCCAAATATAGCCAACTTCTTTGACACTGCATCCATTCATCCTGTTGGTTGAAAAAAATACATAGAAGAAAAAAGTTGCTGAATTTAAATAAGATCAAGATAATGCTTAAATCACCCAGCAAGTGAAGAAACTAATTAAAAGACAATCAACTAAATTTTATAGGAGTAAGAATGTATTCTAATGGCATTACATCAAAAAGTACACAAGGCTTTAAAGAAAAACTTGGGCCCGATCATGTATAACATCAAAGGGGAACATATTAGAAGAATTGGACAATACATTGAAACACCGATCAAGTTGTACTTGAGTTTTAATGAACTTGAAACCAATTGATTTTCTGATCAAATAGATATTGAATCATAAGATATTCTTATGTTTATCAATAAATTATTTTCAGTTGGATTTCTTTGAGTTATTATGATGGCTTTCAACTTAAGCTACAAAACAAGTCGGCTATAAGCGTCAAAAGCTTACAGCTAGCATAAGGTGATGGTTGTATTTTAAGTAAGTATTGAAGACTGAACTTGAAAATGTAAATCGTCTAATTTCAAATTGTCTTTTCGAAGAGAAAACTTTTGTAATGCTAGATAGTAGGTTTCTAAGTTGGCATTAACTCCCGACATTTACTTTCTGAAATTGCTAATCCTGCCTGGGTATGTTGCAAACTGAAAGACGACATACTTTATCATCCGCGACCTTTTATCAGTTGAAGAACCAATTAAAACTAAGGTGCTGGGAATTTCAGCTTCTATATAAGCATGATGTTGTAAGTGAACACTAGTAATTAATGTGCATTATTTACAATTTACTGCCAGTTGATACCGAATGCACCACCAGTTTGACTTGTTATGTATATGTAGAGAATCAATAAATAAACTGGCTTGGTTCATCAATTTACCACGGACATTATGCTAAAATACATATGACTGAGAGATAGTATAACAATTGGAGTCAAGTCCTATTTCTGTAAAGATCACTCGAATTGAAGTTTTAAAAGATGTGCTTCAACCAGTAATAATTTAACACATTTCTTCTGAACTGATTACAGCCGGGTGATATAATGACGTTTTTATTACTATCACTCAATTATATATATATACTTAACTCTTGTCGAAACACATCGATTTCGACCTTTGGATGGAGAAATTATAAACCGAGAAGTTATTTGTGATTAACCGTATGTTTATGACGTTTATTATTGTTGAAATGCCAACAATCCAATCAGTGAGTTACAAAATGTCAATGAAGAAACAAATAAAGCGAAAAGTTTTATTAACTACAAAATGTACGCTGAAATTTTTGCAGAAATTCTTTCGGAACTCATGTGAAAAACGGACACTGTTTATTAAAAGAAAGTTAAGAGAGAATTAACACTCTTCTGAGTGTCTGACATTCATTAGGAACCCTAAGCAGGAGTTTTAGTAAGGCTGGGATAGAAGCAACATTTAAACTTGGAGAGAAACATCGCTTACTGAAGCATCCTGTAAACCCTAATCTATATTTCAAATGCTTTTCATTGATTAGAAAATCAAGAGCATGAGTAAAACTAGTTAGGCAGAGTCATTTATGTTAACATAGAAAAGGAATATTATTAAATGTGGTAAGGTGGACTTTACTAAAATAACTAATTTAGAAAAAAACTCATAATGTGTGAAAATAAACATGAAGACAAATTATTTATTTTTAGATGTTTAGTTGTGTGAAAGAGACGGTTAGTTCACATAATGGAGGCGTTTATATAAAGAGTATCTCTACAAGAAAGTGTATGTATTTTTTTAGCTCAGTCAGTATCCACTACGAAATCAGTCTGGATGGAAGCCTTATGAACAGGTAGAAAAGGATTCATTCCGACAATTAAGTGCATTAAGTTACATTCATAATACTCTGATCGAAATGGGTTATCCTAATAGATTTATCAGAAGGCACATGAACCAGGTATACATATAAGTGAAGTCACTCAAAATTGATAAGAAATAGCTGCTCACGAAGCTCCAATTCAATGGGAACTTTGACAGTGATCTGTGGAATAATAACTGTTGAGGTCCATGTTTTCGGAATACGTTTCCGAAAAAATTTACTGTTCGTATTGATTTTGATGGTGAAGTTGCCTGAGAATTCCAGTATTATTTGATTTCTCTTCTCACCCATTAACCATGAGTGTGCTCATCTAAGAAGACTTAAGACAAGTGATACCTTTTCACTGGTGGGATGTGATAAATATTTGTTGGAGTGTGTTTTCTTCCTAAATATACATAAATATATGAGATTTTAATAGTGTGAAATATTCCCATATCATGAATTAATAGTCAATCTGAACGAAGAATATTCTTTTCAATAATTTCTCTTCAGGTTCTTACAATTATAAAATATAATATTTGTTGCCGTTACAATAAAGGCCAGTTATGCGCCGGATACATTTTTTACGTAGAATAACAGATTAGTTATGGGGTGTCAAAATAAATAGTAGTATTTGTGTGACAAACGTGCTAGGCTGAAATCGATTACAAAATATTGTAAAACGGGAGACAATGGTGGTGGTTAGTCATAATAGATTTCATGCAACCGGTTCCCTTTATTAGTTTGAAGAGAGAAAGAATGAACATGTTTGTAGGATAATACGAGCTCGTTTTATTTCGTGGATTCTCATCAACTGCATACATCCTAAACAAAATCAAATTATAAGTTTAAAAAAGGTTTGGAACATACTTTTTCATAATTACTTTGAGTTATAGATAGAAGGCATAAGGAACATAATTCCAGAATTTGATGTAGGTAGACAGGTTATTCGGTGTCAAATACAACTAATTATATATAGTGGAATTAGATAAGAGCGGTAAGAGTTCAGATTTCTATTGGACCAGATTGCCGAACGAAACGTTGGAATTACTCATTTCAATCTCGCTGAGACTTTACAAATATAATTTTTTACAAATGAAAACAACACAGATTGGTTAGAGACATATTACAGGGTCAGGGTCAGAGAACAGAGTAAATTTACACATCTTGTGGTGGAGAGTTTAAGAGGGTGGGGGTGAATAGTGAAGTAACATAGATTTGTAGAGTATGGGGTAGGAAAATTGACAAGTCAGTTCAAGGTTGTAAAAGGTGTCAGGTGAGTGGCTAGAACAAAGTGGTATGTATGTATGTATTCTCTCAATACCATTGAATTTTCCATTTGTACTATCCGGACTTATTATTAGTGATATTATCCCCTTTCTCAGTATATGCCTCCACCCGTTTCATTTCACACATTCGTTATTTCATTATGTAGTCTTACATCTCCCCTTTAATACACATCACTTTGTACTGGCCACTCACCTGACACCGTCTATAACCTTGATCTGACTTGTCAATTTTCCTACCCCACACTCTACAAATCTATTATCACTAATCTCAACCATTGTCTCCCATTTTACAATATTTTGTTGTAGATTTCAGCCTAGCACGTTTGTCACACAAATACTACTATTTATTTTGACACCCCATAACTAATCTGTCATTCTACGTAAAAAATGTATCCGGCGCATAACTGGCTATTATTGTAACGATATTATTATTATTATCATTTTGCCTTGCATATTCAAAAACTAATTGACTATTGTTCCATTCCATCTTATACTTGTTCCACAATGCAATTCTGATATGATTGTAATTTGCCTTTACTGGCTATCGTAAGCTTAATTCAATGGGTTTAAAATTGTAGAGCCTGAAAAAGAAATTACTGAAAACAATTGTTTGCTCTATTTTTTGGTTCTTATTTGATAATGGGAATATTCAAGTTACTGAAAATATGTTGTGTAATGTACAAAATAAAAGCGGATGTAAAATAAAAGAGATTAGTAGACATTACGTAACAAGGTGAGAAGTTGGATAAGGGGAATTGTTTTACACTCCACGGGATACTCAATTTAAATTAGTGAATCGGCACAGATGGAATATTGAGGGAAACTGTTCAAAGTACAAATAATAATAATAATAACAATAGTAGTCACATGGGAAGTGTACGTAGACTAATTTAAATGTTGTTTTTATCCTTCTTTTTCATTCTAAGGGCAAGGTAGAAAGATGGACACTACATACTTCTTCAGTATACGAAGAGCTTACCTCTGTTCACAAATATGCAAGGCCTTTCACTGTTTTTAAAACAGCTAAAGGTTTGCATGAGTTCGATGAACAATCTTAAAATTCTTGTCAGAACTGGTTGCGTTAGAGAAGTCGATTAATTATCTAGCATAGAAGTTCTCTCGTCCTTTTTATCCTTTGTTAAACCCTCAAGAAATATGCCCTCATATCCACATTTTTCGGCCGCAGTCGATGTATTCAAGTTAAATTTTAGGTATCTGCCCACTTCATCCTCAGTACTATGTAACTATCTTTTGCATGCTGACTGATTCACTGAAGCGTTTACAATGTCATCATTCTTATCGTCACTTGTGTCAACTATTTATACCTTTGTTGTCATCGATACTATTGTCCGTATCACCTGTATAATTCACAGTATTCAAAACTTGTCATTGACCCACAAGTCACTGTCATTGGTCATATGTAAGGCATATGATTTAGAGTGAAGCCCGAGGAAGATCTAAGTGATAACAATATTGTTCTTATATACGTCTTATTTTTCTACAATTCTCAATAAAATGGAACAGATTAACAGTCTCAAAATGTAATATAGTTGGATGAAAAGATGGAGACTGATCACTCAACCTTTATTCATCCGATCAACAACTGGTGCATGTAACAGGAAACATTGAACACCAATCTGTAGATATACCGTAAACACTGTCAGCTAAAACGAAAAATGCACATTACCAAAATAATGTAAATCAGGTGTAAAAATTTTGATTACTTTGACATAGTTATGAGTATTGAATTATGCTCACGAAGTTATCGAGTTAATAACAGTGATCTACTGTGATTCATAGGATAAATTCATCCAATATAAACATCTCAGAGGTTCTCTAAGTCTATTCACAGTGTTGGTATATTCAGTCGACTCAGAATGTAGCTTTGGAATGTACAATCAACAAACAGCTAATTTAAAAAAAAACATACATAAACTCACTAATGTTTTACCGAACAAATCCAATAAACTTTGCCATTCATCAACACGGTTTTTAATTGGACCGACATGACGTGATGATGCAATAGTTGATATATTAATATTGGAATCATCCCATAATTGTTGTATTTCATCTGTTCCACCGACAATGAACACATCTTTGCTATCTTTATACGGCAAAACAATGAACTCAGTTGATTTCCAAGAGTCTTCAACCTTGAAAACATAAATTTAACAAATTATTTAGATGGATGTACGCTGAAAGAGAAGTAAGACTAACTGGAATCTCGTAAATACATTTGGCTGAAATTACCACAAACACATTGTGCTTCCGAATTCTTCACCAAACACTCCATGTGGTATCACATTCAGTTCCGTCATGTGTCGTTTTAAATCAGCAGCCAAATATCTGACAGCTTGAGACTAAACAACTGCATGGCCTTCTAGCTTGACGGCCAGATAGAATAGATCACATACTTTTATGAAGGCAATCTTTTTGGCATACTAAAGAACGTTGTATAGCAGAATATAGTCGAATATAAATATCACAGTAATTACTTATTTCGGTGGCTAAGTCTTCGGTGCGTCGGTGGCACAGTGGTTAGGACTCTCGCCGACCATGCACATGGTCCGGGGTTCGATCCCCTGCCGGCGCACACCCGATATCTATGGTCGGCCTGAATTTGGGCTATCGATATCCATGCTGAAAATTCCACACTTGTACTGAAAATACGGTGTGGAATCAAGCTTTAAATCAAAAAATCAAAATCAAAATTTAAGCACACTATTTGAAGGCCAAAATACACGACGAGTAGTTTCTTGAACTGGAACAATCATAGTTACTGGCTTTACAATCCAACCTGAAATACTTTCTACGTTTATTGATAGAACAGACTAGCCGGGGCTGCAAATGGATATTGACAATGATTGAAAAATCATGACTTTGAACTTTGAAGCTTATTTACAGTAACTACTTTGAGTATTTTAGTAAGTTATCATTATTTTACAAATTTCTTGGTTATACAGTAACTTGTTGCTAACGCCTAAGAATCAACTTATCTTGAATTCCGTAATTAATTTTCATCCCTCTTTTAAAACTTAGATATCTTGTTACTAACATCTATTAGTTACTTGTTTTGACGACCTTTAACCTCTTGATTTCACCTACCGCCTATACCTGAAACTGATTAACTAAAATAACCAATTGGTTGGTAAAATCTTTGATGTGGAAAACTATATATTAGTGTATAGCCGATGACGAGGAACTAATTGAAAAGGAATATATTTCTTCGCTCAGTCTGTTGTTTTTTCCAAATGCTTAAATGGGAATTTTAATAAGTGTTAAAGTATCAAAGCGTGGGAAAAATCCAAGGTACACCAGTAATTGTGTTTCCATATTTTATGTGTAATTATATTAATACCCCTTTCAATCAGCCGCCAAATTTAGAGGTGGAAATTTTCGGAGAAGTTAGTCAGTTTAAGCTGCCACACTTCAATATATAACTAAATAAAGCAGAGAAATACAAATAAAATAGTGGTAAAACATGCACAACGGAGAGAATAATGAGGAGTAATGTAGACATTCAAAACTTTGGCAGCAAAGGATGAATAAATCTAAGGCAATATCATCAGTTATGAACCCTGTTACAAAAGTTCGTTAACGATCAATCCTTAACATTGTGAAAGCCTTTGATAAATAACCTAAACTTTCATGGGTAACTCAGACCAACACTTAATGTATTCTTGGAATTTTTCCGTGCTTTGGTTTCACAAATCCCAAGTTTTTTTTTTCAATTTAATCCTATTTTGGCTAACATTATGCAGGTTAGTTGACAGATTAGAGATCGAATGAAGTGACTTCTTTACTATAGGGTAACAGACGAAAACAAGGCATGACTTTGTTCAAGTTTCATGCTGTACTATGAGACCTCTGGTGGTTTGAAGAATTTTCACGAAATAAGGAAAGAAATTGTTTCGCTTGCATGTTATGGGATAATATGTTTAGTACAGACAATGCGCAGGGTATCTTTTCTGTACGACTGTATAAAAGATGCAATAAAAAGTGTTTGCATTTATGGCTGATTTTGAATTAACATTGACTAAATGTAAGCAACAGCATATCGCCTGCAATCTCTTATAATGGCTAAGGCTGACAGTGAAGGGTTTCATGAATCATTGACCTACCTAGTGATGGCGAAAGCAAAATATCTCAGCAGAAAATATTCAAAATGCAACTAACTGTAGATAAAGGTGTTGATAAAAACACTTTACAACCCAAAGTTAATAATAGTAACACTGAATATATTTAGTAAAATAAGGGTCACTAACCTTTTTAAGTAGACTTTCTAAACTTGCTTCAGAACTCGCTTGACCTGACACTTCTTGAATTTGTTCCACTTTTTGAAATGCTTTCAGTTCATTCAAAAAGCCTAAATTCAAAGGTTCTTCAAGTTCAGACATTTGAAAACCAATTAAATCTTCTAGCATTTTCCAGTGTCGTGGTTTCAGTGTTGGGTTACGTAAATCCATGATAGTTGTTAACTTTTAGTGAAGTAAAAATATTTCGAAACAGAATAACACAAGTTATGCGGAAATTTTTTTTTCATTGGAAAATACATAAGCCTTAAGTGATATGTATTTCTTGATAAACGTGATTCTAGATTTCCACAGGATCAGAACAGTGATAGCGACATTAAACTACTCAACAACAGTAGGTTTAATCCAGAGCAATCCCAGTTTCACTGTGCTCCTGGGTTCCACATTAAGAATGAGTGTTTACTGGTGTGCACACATAAGGTTAATCTGTGTACTACTAGTGTAACAACAGAAGACAAGGGCCAGGCAACAGATCGTTTATTAAGGAAAATCAACACGTATTTATAGATTTTAATGTACATCATTGTAGATTATTGTTAGTAGAAAATACAGTCTTTTGATTGGTTGTTTCTCACAGAAAGTTAACCTTGCATCTCTTTGTGGCTGTGTCAGATCATCTATATGCTAACTGTATCCGCCTACGCAAAGCCTTTGTTCTGATTTTCTCACCACCAATATTGGGGACATAAACATTGACGTCAATAACTGTCTACCAACTTCGGCTATCAGCCAGCTCTCACCACACTAGTACTATATCACACATTCCTCACAGTTGAATACTTTTTTTCTGCCAGTCAGTGTTAACTATATACCAGAGATATAAATGTCTGTATTATACAAGTTCAAAATGTTGAAGGCTTTACGAGTTCAATCTTACCTACACTTGAAATCAGTTATGCTTTCGCGACTTTGGTATTATGATAGTGTGATACAGATAATATATGCCAACGGAATATAACTCTCATATATTCCCACAGTTCAATTCGGCATTAGCAATAGAATACTATGTATATTTGAACGTTCTATTTAATGTCGTTTAATGTAAGTCAAAATCACACGCTCAGTGATTGGTTAAAGAATTTAACTATATATATAAACAGCTGTTTGATTAATGAGAAATATAACTTTGCTTTCGTGTCTTGCCTTCTGTTGTTACAGTATTACAGTGAGCCAGTAAGATGCATAAGTGTTTAAAATATGCAAATGGATAATAAGGAAGGTGGTAACTACATAAAATTGGATGTTTTTGAATAAATACAAAGTAGTATGCAACTAATCATCTTGATTAATCAGTAGTATATAGTTTTAAGCATAAATGGTTGCTTTATTGATTACCATTTATGGTATCAAGCAGATCATATACTCTGAGCTGAATAATTTGGTTTCCAAGGGAAACTGTAGTAAGGTTTCACGTTCTATTGCTTCACCTACAGTTTTTGTAAGTGGGATGTAAAATAACAGTTATAACAAAGTTATATAAATTCAGTTACTTCGAAAATTTGATGGAAATCACAGTTACTAAATTAGATATGGAATTTAATGATGACTCAAAGAAGTTCAACTTTTAGCGACTTCCCTATGCCAACACTATTCGACATACATAAGTATATTCAAATAAAAATAAGGTTAGTAAAAAGTGAAATGAGGTTAAATATTTCAGACTTTCTAGAAGAAGGATCAACGAATCAGTTACGTTTTAATCTTTACCTTTCATGAGTGAGCGTTTTATTGTTTACAACGTGATTGCTTCACCATGACTTTTTGATTTAATTACATTTTATAGACAAGTTAAATCGAATTGAAAACTTATGTTGTGTCCTAATTCATTCAGACGATCAAGTTTATCAACCGTTCTTTTAAGTAGAGGAATGATCGAATTATACTTAGTCACGTTCAACATGTATGGATACGGAGTTTCACTGCGACTGTTAATATTCAAGAAGCAAACATTTCTAAGCTGTCAGTTTGATAAAGCTTTCATATGCACAGGATATACTTACTTTTCCTTTCATATCCTCCACTTTTTCCTTTAACAATGGTACAACAGAGTTGGGTGGTAAACCTTTTTCTAGTAGTGTGACAGACTTCACATATTTCATTGTAACATTCGTTAATTCTTCTGGATTTAATTTGAAAAAATCTGCCTTCATCCACTCCTTAACAGTTTCATCCCATTCTTCCAGAGAATTCCACAATAAGTGTTTCAATTTCATCTCTCCAACTAGTGTTTCCAATTCCTCGAAACGTGGTTGTTCCACCTGTGAAAGGAGATTAGAAGGTCATCGTCAAGCATTCAAGTAACATTAGGCATAGGGAATTAAAAGTTAAACGAATAAATTGATAAGATGCACTCATGAATAAACTCCAAAGTAAATATTTAATCTTGTCTAAATTCATTTTTGAGATAAAAATGTAATATTTATCAACTGAAACGATACAGAATTAATCCTTTCGCCTCTCAACTGTATACATTAGGCATCTTTGTAGGCTCTCTGCATGAAATACGCTGAGAAGTTAAAATTCGCATACACTGAATACACTACTGCTAAAAATGGGCATGCTGTTCTTCAGCTTGGTAAGTTTAGAATCAACGATAACAGTCTTCAACAAAAACAAATAAACAGCAAGTAACTTAACAGCTAACCTTTATGACATGTGGAAACAGCTTTTGTAAATATTCCTAAAATAAGTTAAAAGGTATTGAAAATAATGGGAAATGTGCTACTACATCTAAAACAAAGCATAAATAATCCTGATGCAACGACTGCAGATAAACTTACTATGAATGATGTGGCTCGTACACCAGCTCGTGCAAGTATTTGATCCTAGAGTGTCAGAAAATAAAGTAAAATATAAGTGTTAGGAGATTTTAAACGCGATATGCTTTTGGGTTACAAGTGTTGCTCTTTAAGTTCAATATCTTCTCGTTATTTGCTGTACTTACTCACTAAGAACACCATTTTCACTAACAGTAGTACTAACGACTGAATTATAACAGGAATATCTATTTCATGCCAATTAGAATAAATTAAAATATTTCATTCGTTTTAGCTTCTTTGACGGTATACAGTAATTTCTGTTCTTAAGTTATACATCCAAAAGACAAGTATGGCGAAATGATGATTTCTTAATTTTCCTATGATCAGGCCACAACTAGTAAGACTGAAGGAGGTAAATTATTCCTAACCACATCATCCTTTAGTCATTTGTTCACTTCATGACTTGTGTTTGAGTATTCGTTTCATCTGTGTCATGAAGCAGCATGAGGATATTAACTATATTCATGGTAGGTGTTCTATGTGAAGACGATAGGTATGAGGTAAGTTTCAGGAGAAAATATTCACGATATCTGGAAGCCTACACTTTCGCCTGGGGTTAAATTTTCTAGATTCACACTACTGTTAACTAGTAATGACAAGTAACAAAGTGACTCAAAATGTTTATCTGAGCATCACACCAAATGGGTTGAAACATATTTTTACTGTCATGCGTACCAAGTTCTTTAATGAAACAGATCATATGTTATCTGAGTGGAACGCATCTTGAAGTGGTGCACACCTACTTAATATAATAATAATTACGTATACATAATGAAATAAGTGATCACTCACTTCAATCGGGGTTCCTGATAAGGCTTGTGATAGGTCCTGGAATAAAAAAACAGTGATCAAACTGAAAAATGTTTATAGGTAGCCACATGTTTATTCTCAATCATACTTAAAAATGACACTTTCGGTTTACTAATATGAATCGTGGAAATCAGTCGTCCAACTTAAATCTTTTGTATTCGAACTCAGCTTCGTTTATTCAAGAAAACAAAAAGTTGTAAGAAGAGGAAGTCATCTAGCAAGTTGTCGGTATACCACTGTATCTTCACTAGTCGACCTAACTAATCAACTTCAAAGAACATCTAGACTTACAAATTATATTTTTATTAACTAGAAATTAATTGATAATGTACGACACTAGTTCATTTTACATGAAACCACTGGAATAATGAACAATCAAAGTAATCAAAGTTTTCAAAGCTGCAAACAATATGCAATTGTCTCCAGAATAGATTTTAATAGAGAAGTATCTAGTTCCCTGATCAGACATACTAAGACGAATAAATTCAAAAAGCTGTATTAAAAGTGATAGAAACCAGCACGAAATAGTGTGTTGTCCTTCCTCACAAATTATGTGATTTATCTTGTGATGGAGTTACTATGCTGATCTATCATTTCTCACGCGTATTGTGATTTTGGTGTGTGATCATCGTTTGTCTCGCCTTGGTCTTTGTCGGATTGTCAACCAGTCAGGGTAGAAATTTCCAGCCAATAAGAACAATCCACTCTTGCGGCTGTAAGCTGACTTTATTGTGGCAAAGAAATGTATAAATGTGATGTTTTGTTTCCTAATAAATGTACAATACTCAATATCTATATTATAGTTACAGGCCAGCTCCCGTTACTCAGTGTATCGGAAGGTACAACGGACAAATAGGTGTATATTAGCGTACCAGTCTAGTTCATTACTGTTATAACAGTTAGCGGATCAGGCATAACAAATCGGCGATGGGTTTATTCATTTAAGTGCAGTTATAACAAAAAAATTATAAAAAACTCGGGGAGGTCTAGGTACGAAGTTTTTGAATAGAGAAAGTAGGATTTGCTGGAATAGCTAAAGTTTATGAATGATACACCACTGACAAATAGTTGTCCTGAAATGTTTATCATGAAGTATTCTAAATAAAACAGCTTGGGACAATCATGTAACAGTATCTAAGATACAGATACAGGTCTGCCAAGCAGAGAGTAGTGACACCACGGGAAAGATAATATAGTGATTCTCACAGTATTCAAGTATATGCATCAATTTACAGGTGTTTCTGGAATCATATGTATCCAGCTTGTTACTGAACTCTACTGAAGGCGGTTAGAACTCATCTGCGTGACAGGAATCAAAATAGTTCAAATATAAATCATTTACTAGACTGCGGCTTCAATACTGGTGTTGATTGAAGTTGTCGGGTCATCAAGAGACATCAATGAGTAATTATTCAAGTGTTGGTATATAGGGATTTGATTGATTTCAGGATTTCATCATGAGCTGACATTAGTTAGAAAACCGTTGGAAAACCTGGGAGTTCTGGACAGCTGTTTCGTCCTAGTTTGGGACTCTTCATCAGTAACTAGAAGGTCCTGGTTTCGAATCCCGGTGGGTGCGTACTGTGAAGAGTCCAAAACTGGGATGAAACAGCTGTGCAGTTTCCCCCCAGGTTTTCCAATGGTTCTGTAACTAATGTCAGCTCACGATGAAATCCTGAAATAAGTAATTATTTTGATTCACCTCTGCCGTTGTCATGCATACAGTTGAACTTTGCGCAGAAAGTAGAAGTAATACAGGATGGTATCTTTTTATTCAGTCTTTTTTCAAATAAATAATTAACTGTTGTCAATATGTTCATTTTGTTGGAATGTATATTCACCTTATCTTAACTGGTGGATTTTGTCGAAATTTATACGTTCATTAGATACCCATTTGTCCACCAATGTTATCTGTTTCAGTCTCACAATATCAGCAAAGAAGTTTTTTGAGTAAGCTCTAAATTAAGGTATTTCACAATTATCTATCTGATAAAATGTTTCTAAATAGATTTCAGTTACCTTAAAGTTTTTATGATATGTTCTGAAAGTTACAGCCCTGTTTTGTAAGTCATCCATGGTTGCCTTCAGTCTAGACAGTTCAGCGCGAACAGCTTCACGTTCTGCTGTAACATCTAAAAGTAATGGATTCTACAAGCATTCAAATAAATACAAAGAAAGATAAGTAGACAAGAGATCAGTTAGATATGAGAAGAAATGAAACGGATAAGGTGTAACATGATAAGCATGGTGTGTCATTGCATACGACATCCAACCCATTTTTATTATAAATTCGGTGAGTAAAAAGAAATACCTGTGTCGATACATATTTTTACTTCTTTTATAGACTGTTAATGGCTGACATGGATGTTTCTCCTCAAGGATGAATTCATTTGACTGTATACTATTTTGATCTCTTTCCTAACGAATTAGTCCTCAAAGACGATGAGATTCCCTTCAGTGTTATAATTACCAGTGATACGATGACATCCAATAGGAATGCTGTGCGACTGAGCAAAGCTGGAGAACAATTAGTTTATTCTGTGAACCAATCTTATCATCAGACTGTTACTAGCACTTCCTATCTGACAAATGAGTGTTCAGCTTTTCATTGGAAAGGGGATTACCTGAAGAAGTGAATCATAAATTTACGACAAAGAAACAGATTAAGAAAGACTCTAGCATAACTTAACTATTTTTGATTGGACACTAGTCAGTAATTAGTGTGATGTGTCTAATCCTTTGTTGGCTGTAGACTGAATTCTATCAGTCAAGTTCGCAATATGGCATCACTAGATCACGCGAGTTCGAGCCTCAGAAGGGAAATGAGTTCCTTCCAGGTTGTAGATGCGCCTTGTTGATGAGTGCCACGTAGCACGAAACCTAAGCCAAAGACTTCCAGCCGATTGTCTCCAGCCATCTTATAAGTTAAATAGAAATGGAGTGTGTCTACTGCAAACTAAATAAGGTAGGTTGGTTTTAGTATTGAAGAACCAACTTTTGTATTGTAAAATTGTGATACATTTTCTTCGGGGCTGTTATAAGAAGTGATTAGCTTTTTCCTTACGCTTTCATCTTAGCGGTGAACACTGCATCGTTTTGACTTCTAACTGTCTAATTATGTACTAGGCTACAGCCCAAGTGTATTTGCTTATACAGGTGTGAAGTATCTAGAGCATATGTCGACCTCCACGACCAATAACTTAAATACAAAGGTATTTGAAACTTGATTTACAAATAAGATATTTGATCAATGGGATCTTTAACACAGAACTGACTAATTTAGTCAGCAGGATGATCATAGCCAATCCACCTGAGTTCACGCTTATCTTCCAGCGTTTATATTGTAAGGTCAATTACATATAACCGAGGCGGTAGCGATTGAGCGGTTAAAACGCAATCTAAATATTCAGAAAGAAACTGTTGTCATTTCCTTATGTAGCACCGATTGATTAATATTAGTAGTTGGAAACCGCTCATGTCAAACAGTAGTGTTTACTAATCAGGTCGAGGTGATCCAAATACCGGACGGTTGTTCTTCTCGTTTGAAGCTGAGCTCATCAGCGGTTTAGCTGGTTCGACTTACCTCAGAGAGACGAATCACTTCAAACTACCTGGAATCTAGATAGCTATTGGGCGAGCTGGTAATACGCAGAGTCAAATCTGTCATTAGCAAACTATAGAGTTCGAGAAAGGAAATCACCACAGTTTCCTGTGCAAACCAAACATATCCAAACCATAATATGTGATCTGCTTGATGCCATAAATGGCGATCTAGAAAACAAGTGAAAAAGCGTGACACTATATACCAGTGGTTCAGTGAGGTGAGCAGCTAGAAACTACTCACGTCAAACAGTGGTGCTGGCGTTTCGAATCATTAGACTTATAATCCTACTATCAATTCACACTACTCTTTATTGTCCAGCTCTCGTCCCTTACTCTAAAATATCCTTGTAACTTTTCTATTTTAGGCTGTATGAAGCTGACAAGAACCAAATAAATAAAATAATATTATATTATCCTGTTGTTCAAGTTTATTAAGCGGGAATTGTATGAAGTGAATAGGTTGTGTTTGTAGCACCAATAAGAGCGGTTTTTAAACCTCTCGGATTTAGTGACGAATAAAGTTGCACAAATATGAACAGAAATATATTCAGTGTTATTCAAATAACAAATCACTCACATTTATGGCTTGTTTAGCTTCTTTAATGTCACGCATAAGTTCTGCAACGTCTTTCTCCAAAGAACCGAAGAATTTGTCAATACATAAATCACGATCTCCTAATGCTTTGTCGATAGCATTCTTGGCTCTGTCTATCGACGGTATAAGACTCTGAAGCAACATACCGAAATTCAAAAAATATCAGTGATAAATGTGAGGAATATTCATAACTTCAATGCATAAAGTGTGACAAATTACCACAAAGTCATGGGATTTAGCGTTTGACGAGGGTGTTTATAAGTTACATAGTATGGCCATTTCTTCATTTTTTCACCGAGGAATCCATCTGCAGTCCCATTGGTTTGTTGAGCGTTATCTAAGAGTATTTTGGGGACAGTGCAAATCTGTAGCTCCACTAAATCCACAGTCTGTTGCTGATTGTTGGGAAAATTCTAAAGTCAGTAAGACTTCTGTATTTTATACCGGAAAACATCCGCAAGATTCAATTTTACATGATTTGCTAAATGGTTCGGACAACCCTGTATGTATTCTTTTACTTTTTTACGGTCACTGATACAGAATTCATAAGCATTTAAATAATTTACTTATAGCTCATAGTAACCGGTTGATAATGTGTTCAGCGAACATATTAGGTTACGTTGATCCAGACATTGAAAGTATAAATTGTTAGGGAGATATATTTCAGGCGTTTACTAATTATCCATCAAAACAAATCAGAGGACATCTTACTACTTGATTTTACGCACACATCTGATGCCTGCGACCTCACAGTTATGTATATATGAATGATTACTAGGACAACTTTATTGGAGCTTGCTCAATACTTGAAACTAGGCAATGTAGCATAGACTACTGTCAAGTGATCAGTCACTTTGTTTAATCTGGTTGCTTTGAACGTCAAGTAAGGAACAGAGTTGTAGTGTCTTTGACTGCATCATCCTATTGCGTCCATTCTATTTAAGTTGGAGGTGGACTTTGCTGAGGTATACAAAGACAGGGGAAATCCAGGTTCGCGGCTTTTCGATGTCTTCTCCCCATTCCCTACTATCCTTGGAGAATAATGTGATTATGATAACAACTAACAAATAAACAGGATAAACAATACATGTTTCTTCGCTTTTTGTTTCAAGCTTCTTTTCGATTAAGTTATGTTAATACAGCACTATAAAACATGAACTTGTAATGATTAAGAAGTTTTATAACTGGAGTGGATGATTTTGCTGTTGTCACAGCACTCTCTGAGCTGGGTTGTTTAACTGGTACTTGTATCTAGTGTGTCAGATTATGAATACCAAAGAATCTCAAACCACAGTGAAAGTGAACAGTTTTGGTGCCATAAATTTGTGAGATATCACCATGGTCACGTTTGACAACTAAGATATATATATATATATATATTCATATAGGGATTACTGGATACTGAAAGTCCTGCCAAGTCAAATGATATGGAAAACCCCCATATATATACTGCCTACTGATAAGAGTTGTTGGATATCAGCTACGCAGTGTTATTCGTTATCCAAATGAAAGTTATTTAGAAGCAATGCAGGTATTTTATTCACTTCGTTTCAAAATCACACTGCGAGTTTTCCTAACAATCGCTTCATCTTATAATTGTTATCACTTTACGAAAACATCTGGCTATTATTTTTGTTATGATTATTACTCCAGTTACGATATTACCTGGTAAACTGCATAATCTTCCGGTGGTACTGGTACATTAAACGCTTCGATCATTTCATAAAGTTCTTTAATAACTTCAGCTTCCTTCTCAACCGGGTCAATCTAAATGAAGAATATTAATATTAATCAATATTGCAGAAGTTATAAAAGAACATTTATTATCTTTTCTACTAAGTTTATAATTGTAAGTTTGTAATTCTAATCATAAACATTTGTGTCTTCATTTCAGAAATGTGTTATTAACTGAAAGTCAAGTAACGTTTAAAAGACTTCATTTTTATTTGTTTTTTATTGGTCAGTTTGAATTTTACCGCGCTGATCTAAGTTTCCTTTTTTAATTCTTCGGTTGAGCTAACGTATCACTCAGTCGAAAATTGTAGATGTAGGTCAAATGACAGCATCTTCGATCATGGCATATGCTGACTAACACAGACTATAGCTTAAGTGGGTGCATTCCTAATCTTTCTAGTAACTAGGAATAAATTCTCATTTTGTGTAAATATTTACTTTGGCATGTGATTTATCTTCTTATTTGTCGAATGTGATATAGTACAGAATTATAAAACCTGATTTCCGTTTTTAACTGTATTTTCTGTTTTACTCACAGTCGATTTTGAAATGATATCACAGTCCCATGCCGATACTAATCTACCTGTCTACATCACATCAAGACATGAACCAAAAGATCATCATATCATAATTGGTCATATTTCTTAAGCATTTGTATCCATTTAGTCATACTCCAACATATCCTAAATAAATTTTACATTGAGATGGCTACTAAACCCGAAGTAATATTCAATTTTGATAAAGTTCATATGCGCAGTATTAACTCGATCCGAACATAATTAGAATAAAACATCAATTTAGTGGAAATCGTAGAAGAAGGTAAGTTGTACTTCTAAGAGAATTTCAGAGGAAAAAACGTAGTTAATTCTACTTTCAATAGCCTCTTGATAATAAACACTTGATTTCAGTGTGTTTGGAACTTCTATTGGTTCCACTGTAATGTTCTTCTGGATTTTCCTTTGTTTGTAAAACTACTTATATGTACACCTTGATTGCAATGAATTCGTGTTATTTGACTTCATTTTATCCTGCAGTCTGCAGCTTTAGAAACCTTTTTCCATTTTAATTCGAAATGTTTTCAAACTTATCACCATGGTTTTCCTGAGGAACTGATTACTACTGTGGTGACTCGATCCATTATTCATCACCATAGACAAGTCTTACTATGTAACCCAATATGTGTTTTGTTTGCCCTATAGACTAGTTGATTACATATAGTTGAATTTAATTGCTCCGATAATTCATGTTCCAAAGGCTTCTTGTAGACCTTTTGATTTCAAATTATGTGTATTGATAAATCACGAAATTTGGCTCATTAAGAAGTATTCTGAAATAATAGGATTTGTGTGTGCGTCCTTGGAGTCAGATAGAGTATACTCCACTATTTACGCGACAACACACTGATATATGCTCTACTAACCTTAGGCTGAATAATAAAGTGCTTTCAAAAGTCAGTACATAGGTGAAGCGTGTAGCTCACGTTGTCATTCATTCACTCATTCGATTAGTCAGTAAGTAATTTAGGTAGGTGTGCAATCAGCTGTCCAGTCAGTCGGTAATTAATTATAGACAACAAAAAAGAAAAAGACACTTACCCTACTTTGTATTTGATTGAGAAATTCAAAATGATTCACATAATCGACTGTGGAACTTGGTGATACAGACAAGGTATATTCAGCTTCTTGAGTTTCATGCACTAATCTGTCAACTTCACTACGTGTATATACCGGTAGAAGACTATGCAACATCTCTAAGCATCGATTTGGTGATGGCAAAAGGCGGGTACGCAAAGTCAGTGTATCAATTAAAAACATTCCAATGGGTCGTTGAACTGGTACAAGTTCAGCGATTTTAACTTGACGATGATGTTTCAGTAAGTTTGTTTTGAAGAATTCAACAGCTGTATTCAAAAGGTATGTAGAAAGAGAAACTGGTTTAGCTTCATTATAAATTCGTTATTTCTTTACACTTATAACTTTCATTTAGATATCAGCAATTTGGAGTTCTTCTTCATTGAGGAAGTAACGCTTCTATATTAGTTTTTTTTACTAGAAATACAGAAAATTGAAACATTTCGAACAAAATTTTGTTGTTCATAAACGTATCAAATGTTACTCAGCGTTTTTGAAAATCGTCTTTTGTAGTTCTATCTTTTCTTTGCCGTTTAACGTAGGGGTAGGGGAATAAATTGAAGTATACAAATCAAGTTTCAGTGTTTTAGAGTTATAACTATGATCAAGAAATTTTACTCGAAACGTCATCCAATGAAGAATACTGTTTCACTGTTTCGAATATCAAATTGTGGTAGTTGATACAGACAATGGGTTCCAACGGAATATTATTCTCACAGTTAAAATCATTGTATTTGGTGGTGTTAACGTCTGAATACTATTCCCACAGTTCAGTACTACCTTTGCAACAGAATACTATGTATATTTGAACATCCTATTTAATGTCGTTTAATGTAGACAAAAATCACACGCTCGGTGATTGGTTAAAGAATATAAACTGTATATATATGAACAGCTATTCGACTAATGAGAAATATGCCTTGGCTTCCATGTCTTGTCTTCTGCTGTTACAAAATAATCTAATTAATGTGGAATTACACGGAACCACAGAGCTGAAATTTTACTGATATATTGAAGAGGACTGCTGTTTAAAGAATCAGTGGAATCTTTAAAGATTGGTTTTACCGCACAAAAACAGGCCACGCTGTTTCTAGTAATAAGGTTCTCTCATAGATAATTTTCGAATAACTGAACCTATTCTTTTAACTATTTGACGGGAAATTGCATTGTTCTTCTCAACGCTTTAAGTTTTGATTATGATACGCTTGTCGCGATATCTGCAGATTTTGAATAAATAGGTTTTGAGTATTGTATTGGGGTTAAATGTTACGAATACACATATTTAACTCAGAACTCTTTTCAGTAAATAATGTCGTATATTTTGGGTGTGCTCAACACCATTATCCTTTCAAATAACGGAATAAAAGTCACACGGCCATTAAAAAGTGAAAACACTAATTGATTTGGAACATATATCAATACTGTTTACGGTGGTGCCTCAATCCATATTTCTGTTCATGCACTGTTAGGCAACATAAAAATATCTTCACGTCAGGTGAAATTACTGCGATACAGTCCAAGTTATCGCACTGCACACCTTTTAACCGTCAGAGATTTAGTAGCTAATAAGTGATCCACCGGTAGGCTAAGCACCATGTAGAATCCATAACAATAACGTGAGCTTATGAGTATTTAAAAGTGTCAGCATATGACGACATTTTGTTATGTAGATTTGATAAAAAATATGACTTTTAGATGGAAGTTCTAAGCTATGATGGCCGATATCCACACAATTTCTGTGTTGATTTCAGTGCAATGGTAGTATTCACTGTAGTGCATGCCATATTTGTTTAATTCATGAAAAACAAGTAAATTACATCAACGCGTAAACTTACTCTCACTAAGACGTCCCACATGATTCATTTCACCAGTCCGTGCTGAAAAATATTAACATTTGAAATTAATGAATCATTAACAGTAATTTCCATCAACTTACTTTGATTAGATGCTTTTATAAAACTCAACCTAAGGATAAAAGAATTTCAAAGCACTTTCTTTGCCTTTTTAATCGTTTGTATTGAACGTGTTAGACAATCTAAGAAACTCAGTCTGAGTTTCACTGATGATGCCTTTTTAAAATAGAATAACTGGAATCTGTGTTAGGCTGGTTGTACCAACTTATTTCGCTACACTACTAGTGATCTCAGCCCCAAACCAATCAAACGATCAAGTGTTGTTTAGGTTATTTTTATCTGCCTGGTGAATACTACTGTTTAACCTGAGTGACTCCCAAATTCTCACATCAATTGGTAGTACATAGAAGCTTACTATTTATCCTATTTCCCTAACTGTCATTCATAGCATCGAGCAGATCACGGTATGTGATCTGAATATTTTGCCTTCCTAAAGCAAACTATGCTAAAATTTCACCCTTAAATATGTTCCTTCCAAATGTCTAATTCGGTTTGGAAATTTTCTTCCATAGGAGTTTAGAACTCTTTTAATTCATGGATAATCCCCAATCAAACACTAATGAAAAGAACCAAAACAAGTAGTTCAGCGAAGAGGTGGAATTCACCGAAAAGAGAAGAGAAAAAAGAATGTGTATGCAAATTATTGTTTTATATATTATTGTGCCTCAGCAGCTATATCGATTACCTGTGAATTATTCTGAAGGTTTTCGTGTTGTTGTCTATCACACTGAATAAACTAATAAATGTAAACTTCAAAACCCCCTCGGAAATAAATAGTCATATAAAAAGTGTTACCTTGGTAACATTTTAACTATTCACTGAAAGACCTTTAAACGCCAAGTTTGAGTCTAGTACAGATGATACATGACTTTATGTTGATAATTAGGATCCAATCAGGATCCAACCCTAGGCGCAGATTTTACAGCTCTCAGCACTGATTATCAATAATTACCTGCCACCCTGAGATTTTGATCTGCATTGCGAAATCCTTAAAACACGGTAACTGCTATTCAGGTACTCAGATGTTAGATGGAGAACGTTCTTTTGACTGTTAGTTAATAACAGTTATATGATTTCATTGTTTAACATCTATTGACAGTATTCCTTTAAGTTTACTCTGATGGTATATGCCACGAGGTCATTCAGACATATAGGATCAGGAATAAACCTGAGTAGACATCAAAGAACATGGTCAATGAAGTTTCAAAAATGATATCAAAAAACTGTCATTATTACAGAATGACTAGTAAACAAAATTAACTTGTTAGAGAAAAAGTAACAGGTGTTCTTGTCCCCGGGAAATCTGTTCACTTTTTTCTGAATGGTGAATTGCAGTCATCGCTTTATTAACTCCATCGACCCAAATAGTAACTAATGCAACATCAGTGTCATTTCCTCTTCAAATCAGAAATGAACTGCAGTACACGGACATCTGTTGTCTTGAATATGAAAGTGTTTTTAATCTGAACGTAGTCGAAAAGAAGTTACCAAAGTAAATGATATCGTCTAATCCTGTTCAAACTACTGTTCATGTTTTATTCAAACGATAATAATAACAGTAATACAAGTTTGAATCTACCAATAAGTAAGTGAAAACGTACTTGCATAGTCCAGTTGTATACTTTCTTTAGTTATTTCCTCGTTGTCTCGATAGAAGTCATGAATTTCTACAAATGTATTCATATATGAATTGACAGCTTCAAAAGCGCTTTTCAAAGATTTTTTGACATGATATATGATTTCTTGTAGTCCAGTATCTTCAGCAAACATGTTTTGTAGCTGTGGTCCTGTGCCGCATGTTTTCTCCTCGAATTTATTATTTATTAATGGTCTTGTGAATGCATCAAAATAAGGATCTGGTGTTAAGTTCCTAATGTTGAACACTTGCTCCTAGACAAAGATTTAAAATCATGCATATTTTTTGGTATAAAATGGAATTTAAAGGAAAAATGAAACAACAGCAGGTTTTTATTATTACTTGTAAGAAGGTAGCTCTGTTGTTTCAAATATCTATTTGACTAGAAATGAATTCTTAAATGTTAATAGGATTTTGTGTGGTCACTTTTCAAATGGTTTAAAGTTTTAAATGATACCTCATCTCTTGAGATCACTACCTCATGTGCAAAGCTTCGTAACACACGCTTTAAATTTAGGAATATTTAAGACTAACTTAATAACTTTTGGTCAGATCACTATGCAACTCTGCATAAGCTGTCATTGGTAACCTGTTCTCGAATCCATGAAATTTCTCGTGTGAGAGTCAGATATATTTTCTAAAATAACAGTAATATGAAATCGATTGGTGTTAAGGAAAGGGTATACACCATATGGCTATATCAAAGTATATTGTCCACTGGAGTAACTAATATGAACCTTATTCTAATTTTAAATAGATGTAGCGCCAGCTAACACAGTAATATGTGCTGGATGACAATTCTAGTATAGTTTATCGCTCATTATCATTTTTCATCAAATGAATCTACTAACATGGAATTACTTTACAGGATTTTCATCATGAGCTGACATTAGTTAGAGAACCATTCGAAAACCTGGGAGTACTGGACAGCTGTTTCGTCCTATACGAGCTCACCTTGTAACCAGAAGGTCCTGGGTTCGAATCTTGGTGGTTGCGTACTGATAAAGAGTCCCAAACTAGGACGAAACAGCTGTCCACTATTCCTGGGTTTTCCAATGGTTCTCTAACTAATGTCAGCTCATGATGAAAATCCTGTAACCAATCAAATCCCTACAAACCAACACTTGAATGGAATTACTTTCTTTTATAGTTATCCATATTGTTGTTACTAGTTTTCCAAACGATAATCGTTTTATCGCGAGGACAGAACAAATAACTATGTATCTCAACATCACGAATAGATTTGCTTACTCCGCTAACTCAGATTTATAAGGTTGGTAACGACTGTTTTATGCAGATACCACCTTGTTAGCAAGGTCTGTTGAGTAGTGATAAGACTAAAAACAACTGTCATTATTTAGCAGTTAGATGTTAGAATGTTGTGGCAACCCCTGAGCTAGTTATTACTGCTACTATAAGAGATGTGGTGACGTTAAGGCGTTTATCCTAATAGCTATTCAAAGACCAGAAAGTTAGGTATGTTACACTGCAAATCTTGAAAGTTATAACAAAAGATCAACCTCAAAACTGTATGCTCTAACATGATGTAAAGCTATTCATTACCAACAGTGAGCTTTTTCAAATAAACAAAACTTCATACAATACTCCATTTGATCATTTTCATAGAGACATTATTGTTGTTTGACACCAACACAAACTAATCAATTGCTCTTTTTAGATATGACAAAAAGATGTTAACTTTTAAGGTGTGGACGATGCAGGAGTATTAGCTTCCCATACATCTGTTTATCCCCACTACTGTTTTTGATTATCCATTTCTGTTACTTAAATATTATCTAATAAATAAGTTTCCACATAGGACTATGAATAAATAAAGTGTACTTCTTTAAGGATTTGTGAACTATACTAACTTCGTAATGTAAGGTGTGTGTGTGAGTTTGAAAGTGCTTGGAAATTCTACCACAGCAACACCTACCTATTTTTTTATGACAGATTTATACAAAAGCCATCAGATATATTATTATTACAATTGTTATTGCTGATATTGTGAAACCATAAACTTCATGAATGAATCATTTATTTTCTATAAACAGTGAAAATTCGGTAACATTTATTAGAACAGCCACGACAGTTTCATTCATTCATTTCAAACGAAACAATATGTACAATAAACTTGGGGGTGAGGTTGAATTACCTCAGAGTGTTAGGTTCTGTTTATCGGAGAGATAGGTGCCTTTTTCTAATTTCATTTTTAAAACAGTGAAGTTGGGCCACTTCCATTCAGTTACAAATGAGTATTTATTTCTGAATGTATTGTGACGAACGCGGATTGCCTAGAAATGTACATATTTGTGCCCTTGTAAATAACTGTTACAGGTAACTGATCTGTTTGTGCTTTTACAGCATTCTGGAATTTGTTTTTCCCCTTTTGAACAAAGTTAAATATTTCTGATGTATTCTGGGGCCGTCTGAATAATAAAATTGTGCAATGAATGCAAACTATTCAGTGAAATTGTGAACGTGTAACGAGTAATGGAGGCAGAATACAAAATAAACACTGAATCATTGTCTACTGCAGCTGATAATATTAGAGTGGGTATAGTGAGGTCCTATTGCAATACATAAGTTTAGTGACTTGTTAATGGCACTACAAACCACTTGGTTAGGCTGCTTATGGCTTTATGCATTTATGATCACTGTGTGCTATGATGGCACGGCCTAAAATCTACCACAGTAGGACAGGAGTACTCCTATTTTAAATCTGCTTGAATGTTTGAAATAGCTTATAAATGTCCGTTAACTTATTTTCCCTCCTCCTACACACATGAGAAATTCGACAACTAAAACGACTTTACTTGTCCGCTAAGCTCTACGTGGTTAATGTAACTGCTTGTCTAAAGTATGCCGTAGAACGAACTGAAAATGGATTTTCACACTAATAATCGGAAATGGCTAGTAAGAGATCTTGTTTGTCTAGGTTCAACATACACTGAAGTGTCTGTATGTCTGCTAATTTGATTTATGCATAGATCAATTTCTATTTAGATATTCGCAGCTTATAGGATAAAACTATACCCCAGTAGTGGCTACCAGTTTTAGAGAAGCTGTTGTTTTTAATTGCACTGATAGCCGCTGTCTAATATGTGATCGAAAATAAAGTCTATTAGTATAAGAGACGAAATGTACACTTTACCTGAAATTTATTGATAATTTCAAGAATGCCATCTTGAAATAGAGACTCGTCTGGAACTAAATATAAACGAGATGGTTCTAGTATAATTTCCAATGCAAAAAGCGGAGGTAGTTTCGACTCGTCTTGGGTTTTATCGGTTGAAGATTGTTTTGACACCTATAGGAAAGATAAAAAAGTTCTTCACTTGCTTTTAGATATGATTTTAAAATTAACTAAACATTTTTGAACAAACGATATGAATTAAAATCCTACTGAGGAATAGAAACCAACGACAAACACTTCTAGATAATTCACTAATTGAGTGGTCACCAGTCACGTCGCAGGTCCAGGTTTGATTTCCGGGCGACGTGACTGGTGACCACTCAATTAGTGAATTATCTAGAAGTGTTTGTCGTTGGTTTCTATTCCTCAGTAGGATTTTAATTCATATCGTTTGTTCAAAAATGTTTAGTTAATTTTAAAATCATATCTAAAAGCAAGTGAAGAACTTTTTTATCTTTCCTATAGGTGTCAAAACAATCTTCAACCGATAAAACCCAAGACGAGTCGAAACTACCTCCGCTTTTTGCATTGGAAATTATACTAGAACCATCTCGTTTATATTTAGTTCCAGACGAGTCTCTATTTCAAGATGGCATTCTTGAAATTATCAATAAATTTCAGGTAAAGTGTACATTTCGTCTCTTATACTAATAGACTTTATTTTCGATCACATATTAGACAGCGGCTATCAGTGCAATTAAAAACAACAGCTTCTCTAAAACTGGTAGCCACTACTGGGGTATAGTTTTATCCTATAAGCTGCGAATATCTAAATAGAAATTGATCTATGCATAAATCAAATTAGCAGACATACAGACACTTCAGTGTATGTTGAACCTAGACAAACAAGATCTCTTACTAGCCATTTCCGATTATTAGTGTGAAAATCCATTTTCACTTCGTTCTACGGCATACTTTAGACAAGCAGTTACATTAACCACGTAGAGCTTAGCGGACAAGCTAAAACGACTTTACT